ATGCTCAATGTAACCTCCTAGAATATATTTTTTTCATGAATTGTTTCAGTAGTAGCGTTTCTTATTTGGTTTAGGAAGACTGGGTTTAACCTCTTTAAATATAAGGATTACCATAAATCGTTTTTAGTAATAATATTTCTTATTTGTTTATAAGGAAGACTGCGTTTAATACGCTATGAAACCTTCAAGAATGTAATTTTTTTCACGAATTGTTTTTAGTAATTAGGAAAATTAGAAGACTGACTTAAATTTTGGTTGTAACCTAATTGTTTTTAGTAATAATATTTCTTATTTGATTAGGAAGTGTACATTTAATACTCTATGTAACCTCTTAGATTATGATTTTTGCATGAATTGTTTTATAGTAATAATTTTTCTTATTTGGTTTAGGAAGACTGAGTTTAACACTAAAAGGGCCGGGTTATTTTGACGATCTCTCAGCCGGGGGCGGATTTCCGCCCCCTAAGATCTCAGCCATCGAGTGACGAAAAATTATTAAACTTGGTACGTGCATAAAACAACTTATCATAAACATACCCAAGACATTTCATGACTATAGGTTAAAGGGTTTTGGAATTATGGTTAATTAATTATTCATATGTACAAATGGCAATTCTGCTCTGTGTACACTCCGTGGTCCGATGTTTATGTTTTTTGGTATCAAAAGATGCGCAAGGCTCGAGGCTAAAAAGTCATAACAGCTCGGGTCGGGGAAAAAAATTCAAGGCTATCGCGGAAAAAATTGGGGGAGGGGGCGGCGGATTCCGCCCCGGCCCTTTTAGGGTCAATACTCCATGTATATAACTCCGAGAATATATTTGTTCGTGAAGTGTTTTGGTAATAATATTTTGTATTTGGTTCAAGGAGCCTAAACTCAATTATGTAACCACTAAGAATATATTTTTTTCCACGAATTGCTTTAGTAATAATATTACTTATTTGGTTTAGGAAGACTGAGTTGAATGAACCTCCTAAAATATATTTCTTTCATGCATTGTTTTTAGTAAGAATTATATATTTGGTTTAAGGAAGACTGGGTTTAATACGTTACATAATCTCCTATAGAATGTAAGTTTTACATGAATTATTTTTAGTAATAATATTTCTTGTTATCGGTTTCGGAAGATGAGTTTGATACTCTATATTATACTCTATGTAACCTCCTATAGAATAGAATTTTATTCATGAATTGTTTTTAGTAATAAAATTGTGGTGGGGCGGAGGGGGGGGGGCTGTTGGGCCTGATCCCCCTTCGCGAGCAATTGCCCCCCCCCCCCGACCGTTAAAAAACATACAGGTATTTTTGTGTCTTTTATGGCAGTAGGCCCCCTAGTTGGTACTCTCGCAAATGAGCAACCTATTAGCTTTAAATGATACTTTAGCCACTTAGCATTACGAGCAAGCGTCTATTAACAGATGTTGGGAGGGGTAAATACCCCCTACGGCCCCTTCCCACGCGCCACTGCTATTGGACACCAAGACAATACGCAAGTGAATTTGCACTGATGAAAGATGCATGGCTTGGACGTTAAGCCTTAATTACATGACTATAACTTGCACAAAAGGCAAAACATGGGCCTGTAAATAAATTATTACTTTGATGGGAAGAATTTCCTTTAGAAATTGCTGGTTGGGAAATGGCTTACTCATTACACCAAGTACTATCGTATAACCTTGAGTTTTCGCTTATGCATCTCACGGGGCCATTCCAGGCAGAAGCAATTGACTTTTTTAACAGGTGTCTTCTAGCAATCAACTATCTCGCAAATGAGCAACCTATTAGCTTTAAATCATACGAGCAAAATTATCTTTAGCCACTTAGCATTACGAGCAAGCGTCTTTTAACAGATGTCTTTTAGCAATCAACTTATTTCCTCTATCTTGCAAATGAGCAAGCTATTAGCTTTAAATCACACGTATCAACATCGTGGGCGGGGCTACGACACGTTGGTTTGATACGATCGGTGACGGTCTATGACGTAACTGTTTTTGATGAATCTAAGAGTAAACCACAGTGGATTATATTTTAGCATGAACAACCAATGCGGTTGGGTCTAAACAGGTGTACATTCTGTGGAACCATCCCTTACTGAAAGCCAGCCTCTGTACATGTTTCAGTTTCGATCTTGACGCACGGCAGTTCTATCGTCTTGTACATGGAATGACACTTGGACGTTAACAAGATTCAGAGTCAATTGACAGACAAGTTGGATTTGACTACGACGAGCAACAATCAACAGAAATTGAACGCCACAATAAACTTCATATTTTCGGTTGAAGACTCGAGACTAAACACCGACTTTTCCTGATTTCACTCCTTAGTGTAGCTCGCTAAACTACAGGACTCAACAATGGCAAAACCAATAAGTTGGCTCAGTGTTTTCGAAACCGTAATATTTTGGGGCATGGTCATTGGTGTGACCATTGGTGATCGTTGCAGCACACACCAACACCAAATGATGTATCCTGCAGAAAATCGCGCCCTGTATGAATGCGCGTACTCTACCAAAACCGTGCGCTCTCTTCTCATCTGCGGACGAGAATGTGGCATGGATCAGCGTTGCAAGTCCTTTAACTTTAACTACTGCAGTCGGATGTGCACACTGAACAACGCCACACGGGCTGAGTATCCCAATTATTTCGATGCAACGCCCGGAGGTGTGTACTTCGATGCAGACAAGGACACGCCTCTCTCCTCGGTCGAAAACTCCGCGAACTCCGCAAAGAGTGGCAGAGAATAATTATACTTATCTACGACGGTTGACGTTTTTTGAAATTCTGATTTACCGCGGCTGATTAAGACGATGAAGTTTTTACGATGAAGTATTTACGAAACACCTTGCTAGGATGTTGGTAAATGACAGTCTCAAGCATCTTGTAAAATTATGGCACCTGGTGTGAAGTCATTTTCAAGAAAATTGTGTTTTGTATACATTTCCAACGCTGGTCGGCCGACCAGCGTTGGAAAAACCTAACTATTTTTCAACTACTGCTCCAAATTTACCATTTTTTCAGTCCAAATTTTGTTTGCTATTGGTTACATGTTCATGAACGGGTGCAGGCCAGCTAGACTGGTTCCCTTGCCTTATAATTTTCCATCATCTAAAAATTGATCCATTTTATCTTTTGTGGAGTCAAGGAACCAGACTACTTGAACATTTTTGTTTTTCTTGGTTTTTCCAACCTTTTCGAACACAAAACTTCAAAAATGTCAGTGTAACAATATTTGAGCTATTATACTAACCCCTCAAATAGTTCATTTCTGAAAATTACAGCAAAAGCCAATTATGTACAATCCCTTTAACATTTAACACAACAATCGAAATTGTACATTATATTCAGAATATTTGAATAGTAATTTTATGAAATTGACGATATGAAATTTACATTTCTGTGCAACATTATAGTCAAGTTAGTTTTAGCTTACAACTTTTCTCGATATATAATGATATTGAAATAAATTCCTTCCATATAATTTAGAAATTTACTGATATTTTGGCAGGTGCGATGAATTTCTGGATTGATTTCAGCGAGTGATAGAGAATTTAGACTGGTTAAAATTTTGTAAAATCGTACTTTACCGCCACTTGTAGCTGTCATGTTTTATATCATGTATCTATTAATAAGAGAGTAAAAAATGGGAATTATATACGGGCGTCTGAAAAATTGTTGGTATGACCTAGTTACATCTGAAAACCTTGTCTGTCAGCTTTTCATACTAAGCGGCACCTATTATTATCAAACAAAAACTTACAATCATTTCGGCTGGTAAGGCCAAAAAAAAAGTCTCCGGTTTCTGGTATGGAGCTTGTCCAAAAAGTGGTGCGGCGACGCGGCTTTTTTTTTTTACCTGACTTTTTTGCTTCAAATGTCGGCTGATGACTGCAAATGGTGCCCGACTAAACTTAGTGAAAATATATGGGAGTCCAGAGAGGCCACATAAAGCTTATTCTCGACCATAACCTAATCTAAAAACACGTTAAAATTGTGCTGCAGCAGGATTCCAGTCAAACCAGTGAGTTTGGCGGTTTTGAGACGTCATTTTTCATTGAAAAAAAAACTTTTTTGATTTTGCCGACGCGCATGGCTACGGCGACGCGCGCGCATACCAGAAACCGGAGACTTTTTTTTTTGGCCTAAGCCAGAATGTAGGTCTTTGGACGACCCATCCAAAACAAAAACGTCGCTGTAGTGCGTTGGAAGGACAGAAAGACAGACATGCTGATGGTGATGCTACTTAAAATGGTTCATCATCAACATTGTTTCTTAAATAAGCAGATACATTCTAAAGGTATTTTTGTCTGTTGAGTTTCACAATAGTAAGGAATATCTTTTGAGTTATACACCTTATAAACAATACACATTTGTTCAAAAGAAGACATCAAAATGAAGGGGATTTTAAGAATGTTTTAATACTTTCAAACTTGAAATGTAATATTAATATTTAGTTATAGACGTTGAAATGGTGTACAGCACTTTCTTGTATTCAATTTAAAGAAAAAATTGTCGATAAACGAAGTTTTCTTCAAACCATTTCTGAACGATTGTATGTAAACAATTTTACAATATTTAAAAAGAATCAGCAAAATCAAGGTTGCTCCGTACATTTTGATTAAGAATTTAAATTTAGTAGAGAAATTTATTGTAAATGTGTCAAACATCAGTATAATATGTCAACAACAAAAACGTGTGCTGAATTTGCGAGTTTACCGTCTTTTTATGTTGGAATGTTAAGAATCTTCTGCGCAAGCGGCTATCCTAGGTATGACACCAAGGCTAATTTGCTGACTTGTTAAGAGGGGAAATTGTCATGTCAATCAGCTTAAACATCAATGGTGAAGGTGAGGATCAAGATGCATGTTCTCAATTTCAACACCTCGAATTTGTACAGAGAAACGTACTGGGAACGTTCAAGAGCCATTGTAAAACTTAAAGTGGGGTGTTGCTTAAAATTCGTGTTAATTCCTGCCGTAGGGCCTATAGTGAAGAACTGCACTCCGTAATGTATTGCCACTCTTTCTGCTTCTTATTACACGAGGCAAGAGGAATCTGCAAAGATAAAAAAAACCAAAATGTTGATTGATTCTCTTTTTTACAATCGATCCATAAACCAACTACATGGGCGTGGCGAGGGGGGGGGAGAGGAGCGCTTGCCCCCCCCCCCCCCATGAAAAAAAAGAGGCGCGAAGTCATATTGCTGTTAATTCAATGAGTTGGAGGGGGGCAATGTCCCTGCCCACCCTTGAAAAATGATAAGTCGAGAATATGCTGGAAAGTACAGGAATTTTCTTGTGGGGGGATATGCTTTGCCCCCCTCTAGAAAAAAATCCTGGCGACGCCCATGACCAACTATCAGATTGATGCACTCACAACAGATATGTCAATGAAAAAAATGGATGTGCCATTGCCCGAAGACAAGACAAAGACAAAAATTGAAAATGAAAATTAAATACTTCTGAATCTCTTTTTCTAAATTACCTCAATAATTGGTGAAGACTTGCTCTGCAAGCAGGTCATCAGTCCTTCCGTCGGTCCTCCTCCCTGCTTCCGGCTCCTTGGAAATTAGAATCGATCGTAACTTCGTCCAGAATGACATCTGATCTTGTAGACCCTCATCTCTGCCAGAAGATTAAAAGGAACACAGTGTAAGAAAATGTGTGTTGGTATTGAGCGCCCGCTGCTCTTCTTTTTCTATGTTGATTTCTGAAATTGTTAAGTGAGTGTTCTTTAAAAAAAATTTTAAACCTATTTACTTGTAGATTCATCTTTTTTTTCGTTATAAGGTATCAATAATTGCGGACACAACAAGCAGAACCACTTAAGACAGCCTACGAAATTAAAGCAAAGTATCATTAACGTGTTTTTTTTTACCCATGGAAGCAGTAATGGGATGCCCTTCAAGCAGGGTCCTCAGTCATCCGTAGTTCTTCCTCCCTGCTTCCGGTTCCTCCGCATCTGACAGGAACACTCGGGCTCGCATGTCGTCATTATCTAACTGCAAGTGGCTGAAAATGGACTTACAAAAAAAAGAAAACAATTCTACCTAGCGGGGCTAGGTTAAGTCAGTAAATATGTACAGTCAGTTCTTGGTCAAAATAGTGACCGTTATTTTGGTGAAACGAGGGGAAAATGTGGCCCTTACCTGACCACGGTAATGAAAGATACAACCATACGCACTTTTGGGCCAAACATTCTGGATAACTAGGCCTAAGTAGGTAAAGTCTCATTCAGTAGCCCTTACCTGACCACTGTAATGAAAGATACAAGCATAGACATATGGAAACGTAATTTTGGGCCAAACTTTCTGGATAACTAGGCTTAATTAGGTAAAGTCTCATTCAGTGGCCCATACCTGACCACAGCAATGGGTATAAGCAAAGAAAATGGGAAACTAATTTTTGGTCTACTTGCTGCAAAGTACAGACAATCCGGAGGAATCCAATTAGTGGCCCTTACCTGACCATTTAGAGAATGGGATAAGTCAAGTTAGTCGACTATTCTAAATATCACTTGGACTACTGGTTGCGAAGTCTCTTAGGCCGTGTCCGAAACGGGCTTCCAGAGCTAGGCGCGTCGTGGTAGTGTTTTCAAAAAGCGACATGGCTCATTACACACGTAATACTTTGACAAACAAATTGGCAGGTATTCATAATGCAAATTTCTCTAAATCAAGAGGGCCTTCGCTACTGCAGGAATGGTATTTCAACGTACAATGTACAGCAATGCAAAAAGACAAACCCATGTAGGAGAATGGACGACATTTTTGTTGGTAAAATGCAGGCGTGGTAAAATGTACACATGCATATTCTTGCTAACAACATCTAAGCATACACTACACATTGCAAATACAATTTACGGGAGCTGTAACAGATTGTTATGGTGCAATATAACTAATGCAAGACACAACCTCGTAGTACAATATGTTGGTTAAAAATGTAAGATTTAAGGGTTCAAAGAGGGGAATTTTCTGGCTCGACTTTATGGCCAGTTGAGGTTTAAAAAATTGGGGAAAATATCAGGTACCAGGTACATAATATTGAAGATGCAAGGAGCTGTTTGTTATGTGTGACCAGAGGAGAAGCTAATTTTCACTCACCTCGATATTCCCATATAATACGGTTTGACTTACCCCCGACGAACTCCAAAAGCTTGACTTCAGTATTTTCCAAAATCGTCATTCAGATCATTCGACAAAATTATCAGTTCACAAAAATGTCATGTGTGCATTCAGTTCACTAGCACAAAATTAGCATTCAAAGGAATGCAGTTGCGAAGTCCAGTTCACTAGTTCAGAAAAATACAAGTTTTTTATGACAAGTTCTGTAGGCCTACAGCAAAGTTCAAGTCAGTGACGACGACTCCGCACATGCATGATACATGACACCGCAACATGCCAGCATTGTGCGGGTCGAAATGTTGCAGTGACCCGGTCACATGAGGCCGGCTTTCTGGTCAACTTGCCAGACTCCAAGCATCCAAATTCGACTTTTTTTCGCGCACATGAAGACTCCATGGTAAGATGTACGAGTTTCCGGGTTGGTGGTTGCAGTTGGACGGCCGACTTGAAGGTAAATATCTCCAGTTTGCTTGTGAAGTTTGACGAGATGTTTTTGGTGACTGACCAAAAATAGCGGGTTTACAAGCTGCACCCGGTATCTATTGGCCTGGGCTCGGTAATGATATGTCGCGTAATGATTCGGTGGTGAAAAGGTCCCCTTTTATATCACAGGCTGGTGCACCTGGGTCTTTGCGCTGCCTTGGGCCAAACTACTTAGTATGTATTTCTCCGCCTAGTATATAGTTTTGTCCCCGCAGACCTACAGAATGCCACAATGTTCATCCTGTGTATATATTGTAAATTAAAGGGAAAAATTATATGAAGGAACAGTTTCATTTCCAGATCGAGTATCAACAATTTCATACAAAAATGTCCTATTTTTGTAAGACGGGAAAGCATTCGAGGCGGCATAGATGACGTAGCACGCGTGGCTCGCTGTTTCTCATTGGTCAGTATTTAGGGTGGTGTCTTGTAGGCAATCCAGTCAATTTGATTGGACGAAGGAGCTAGTAAAAAAAAAGATGAGCAGACGAAAAAATGAGTACATTATAACCGTGTGGAAATACATGTCTTTCCAGCTTGTATACACTGTAGCGTATTAAACTGTTTTGCATTAAATTTAAGTCTGCAAAAAAAAGAGATTTTTTATCAGACCACCTGATGGGTGGGGCTCAATTTTGAACCGGCGGCCACCGGACTACAGGATGCTGGTGTGGGTACATCAAATCTGAGGCAGGTTTTGTGGATTTTATCAATTTCATTCAGAACAGATAATAATAGGAGTAGAATCAGGCAAGGCAGCAGTAACTTAAGCGACCTCCTTTACCCGCAAAAAAAAAACACGGTGACGGAATTAGAAAACATAATTTAAATAAAATAAGAAAATGAAAAACTAAACAATTTAACTATGCTGAATTTGAAAACATGCCCCCCCCCCCCCCACCAAAAAAACCCTTCCCTACCTACCGCATTTTCGAATGCAATGTAATCGGAAGCAAAACTTTTTATGGCCCTAGTAAAAAAAAAAAACACTCCGTCGTTTTCCGGATAAGAAATATTCATTAATACTCTCGAGCATTTGAAGAAAAAAAAATCATCCATTCTACGGTGTCACCATCCTGCTTCAGTAAGTGTGTACTATGTCCCAGTTCTCAATGGAAGTAAATTTCATCTTGTCATAAACAGAGTGTTTAAAACCGGCTAAATTATTATATGGTTTTTTTTAAGATGGTATTGTGATCAATGACTATACCTGGTTGCAGAAAATAATAATTGCTACTCAGACGCTTCCGTACAACCTCGTACATGGCGTTGGTACTGTATAGCGCAGCACGCGCTATATCCAGTGAGTTTGACAGGAACGAGGTTACGCGAACAGGGTCACTGTGGGGAATATAACAAATTTAGAAACAAGTTTCGCAAAGCATGGATCTGTTGTTGTGAATTATGTTTTATTAACTTCTGACAACATAATCCCCAAAATGACAGAATTGAAACTTGAGCATTATAAAGTTGAGAAGGTAAAAGTTTATTCCTTATTATTTTGACACATTGTGTGATGTCGTGCTGTTTCCTCATGTTACTGCAAGTGCAACCTTTTTATAGGCGCCTGTATGATGTATCTCAGTAGGGGCCTATTTCTTTTCCTCCACTCAATGATGATTTTCATTTTTTGACGGGGGTGTGACGTAGGAGAGATGGTGGGTTGATGGTTCTACTACTAGTGAACGTAAACTGTACTCCTTCTCTATACATGGATGTATAAAACAGCTAGCCTATCCTGCCTATAGTATCGGAAAGATTCTCACATCTGCATGTCGTGCATGATCTGGCCATCACTAATGCGCCTATAAAATGCCCCCCCCCCCCAGGTCCGATGTCGGGATTTGGTCACGTTTTTCATGCCCCAGGGTGGGGATTTTGGTCATTCAAATTACGGTGTTACCATTGGCGTACTACATCATTAAAGGCAATCACTAGTGCGCCCCTAGACCCGTGAACGTGGCTACAACGCCACGTTCACGGGTCTAGTGTGCCCCATATGTATGTCCATGGAGGAATAAGGTGCATGGTCAGGGATAGCCCCATAAATGTGGCCTATTTACTGGACTGCCTCCGTAAACATAGGCCACACAGCCACATGTACAAAAATCGTGTCGACGGAGCCAAATTTTGATTTTCGCATTTAGGCTTAGTTTGTACGTTTTTTTTGCTTTAGAAGCATACTCAACCTCTTTATAGGCTAATCAGAAAGTGCTGCCTTTTTCAGATGTATATTTTTCGTGAAATTTCCTGATTCATTTTTACACGTTTGCGTATCAAAATTTCAACATGAAATTTCACAAAAATTAGACATCTGAAAAAAGCAGCACTGTCTGATTAGCCTATAAAGAGGGTGAGTATGCTTAAGCAAAAAAAACCTACAAACTAAGCCTAAATGTGAAAATCAAAATTTGGCTCCGTCGAAAAAAAAAATTATTTCCCTACCTACCTACCCTATTTTCAAATGCCATGTAATCGGAAGCAGAACTTTTTTTTTTTCTTTTTGGCCTTACCTTGCACTTTATTACCATCTTAGTTTTTGTGTTGTCCTTTTTTGCCCCATAAGCTCCCTCTCAATTCGAAATCCTACCATCTTCCAAGACAATCCTTTTACTTTTAAACATTGCGGGCTGTTGAGTCCGATAAACGCTGCCTTTCCATTCTAGAATGTCCTAAGCTGTACTTTCACTTTTCTTTTTTTAAATTCCCCGCAGGTTCCAGCTACAGCATACTACATCCCAGATTTTATTAGCAAAGATGAAGAAACATACCTTACAGAACAGGTATATTAATGGAGGACAAAAAGAGGACATGTGTCGGCTTTTCTGCTGTCAAAATAGCAGAAAAGCCATTGGAACATTTTCAATATTTCCAATTTTCAACTTTTCTGTTTTCTGCTACCAAAAAACAGATTGGATATTTTAAGCTAAATCTACTCATCTGCTTGTCTTGTATCTGAAAAGAAGATTTTACTTTTCCTACTTCAGCTTGCAGATGAAAAAATGGGCATCTTTTGTCAGAGCATTTTTCAACTTTTCTGTTTTCTGCTACCAGAAAACAGATTGGATATTTAAATAAAATCTGCATATCTGCTTTCTTGTACCTGAAAAGAAGATTTTACTTTTTCTCCTTCAGCTGGCAGATGAAAAAAAAATGGGCATCTTTTGTCAGAGCAGCAGAAAATCAGAAAATCGAACATTTTCAAGGTTTTGATTCACTGGCCATCTGGGCCCAATTTCACGGCGCTGCTAAGCACATGATTTTCTGCTTACAGAGCCTCCGTCTATTTTATGGAGACCGTAAGCATAAGCACAGCAAAAGGCACGCTCACTTCACAGGAAAAGTTTGCTTAACTTAGTGACGTAACAGTAAAAATCTCCATGCACACGCGTCTGTTAGCACGTCCACGCCGTGAAATAGTGCTTAAGGTTCGCAAATTTTTCTGCTATGATAAGCACAACTTTTCGGCTAACTGTTAAGCAGCGCCGTGAAATTGGGCCCTGCTTTTCTCATTTCAAAGCAGCAGATAAGCAGTTTTAGCATCAGCAATTTTATAAGTTTTCTGTATTGTTGCCTAAATCTGATGTAAAGTATAAATGGAAAGAGTACCATACCTGGACATCACTTGACACACTAAGCACAAACCCTATGAAACTGGTCTGAAAAACGTTGTCTCAGTAAATGCTTCAATATTTTTCCTGCTAAATTTGACTTTTGAGGACATGTTATCGCTTTCTGATGGCTGATAGGTCACTGCAGGGAAAAAATAATGAGGTTCGTGTGTGGATTTCTTTCCGTATAAATTGTCAAAAAGAATGGAGGAGTATCCCGATGCCACATTGGTGGTGGTTTACAAAGTCCATGACTACAAGAATTATGAACATTTTAAAAGTATTTTCTAACAAAATTGGAAATGTTTCTCAGTCCCAACGTTTTATTTTTCAACCCATTTGCAAAGACGTATCACTATAGTAGCATCAGGTTACAGCATTCTGAAATCATAAGTGTTTTGATGAGCATACCAGCAAAATAAAAAGTGGGGAAAACAGTGGAGATACTGTAGTCCTTACCACTGTGTATTCTTCACAAACAATACAATAAAACATAAGTGTTTTGATAAATAGGTTTGAACTTCAAACTTAAATTTTGTACTGGTTGGGTTTCTTTTTGTCTTAGGTGTATGCTGCACCCAAACCAAAATGGAAACAACTATCGAATAGAAGGTTGCAAAACTGGGGTAAGTATAGACTTGGATCAAGGCTGGAATTGGATTGTGTTTTCCCTTACTGCAGCAAGTCCCTTTCGCTCGTAACCCCCGCCCTGCAAACAGGGCGCTGGGAAGGGCTGATGCCGCTTCACAGAATCTTGTGAAGGAAGTGGGGGTAGCATTGTGGGTAACTTATCATGACCTTCGCATGCAGCTAGCGCACGCTACGTGTGCTGCATGCTACATCACAGGTCACGCAAAATCTATCCAATGAGAGCTCAAAGAGATCCGCCCTTCCCAGCGTCCTGTTTGCAGGGCAGGGGGTGCGAGCGAACCAGTCCCTGACAAGTGCGGTCAAGCAACCAAGAGGGCGCTGTCAACAAGATGATTCAAATGCAGTCTTGGGAACTTTGGCACTCTGACCAGAGAAAAAGCTGACACACACACAGTTGAGCTTGAATATTGCACACATGAGGAATGCTAAGAATATCTCTGGTCCCATGTGCTAACATTTCCAAGATTGAAATTGATTATTTTATTGATAGTGCCATTTACCACCACAGCGGCTTGATTGCGCTTGCAGAGGATGGAGACAGCTGCAGGAAGGGAATAACATCCAAATTGGACCAAGACTGGGGGAGTACACTATCCTTCTCTAGCTTGAGATTTACTGAGAGACAACACAAGACACTGTATCATCTCTCCTCTCCCCCCCCCCCCCCCAAAAAAACCAACAACAACAAAACAAAGAAGTGACAAAGGAATGTCAGTATATTTCATTTTAGCTTTTCACTTGACTCAAACCAAAATGGAAACTACGCGGTCTACTCTTGAGACCCAGAAGGAGGACAAGTGCATGTATGTGCGTGTATATGGGCAATTCCACCGTAACTCACATTACATTTGGAGGGGCCTTCTGTCAACTTTGTGCTGTTATTCTATAAAGTCAAAGCATTGAGGGTGGATTTTTCTCACAGAAGATCCCTTGAAATGAAGTGACTAAAGTATAACTACTACAAGGAAGGTAATATTATTTTCGGTAAATTTATTTTCAGGAGGGCTACCGCACCCTAAAGGCATGATAGCAGAGAAGCTTCCTAAGGTATCTAACCAACTCATTGATATTGAAATGGGCAACTTCCAAATCAAATTATTGCAAATTATTATTGTGTACGTGCAGCATGTGTAGAACCTTTCAATAAGACCAGTCTTTACCTAATCACAAGGAGATACACTTTCTATAGATATTGCTTGGATTTTTAGTTTGCATTTATTCATTTTTTGGGGGGGGGGGAGATTTATTACTGTGCAGGCAAAAAAGGATGAAGTGAATCTTAACATTAACTGGATGTGGAATGAAAATAACGAATAGTGTTATTTTTTTTCGTTCTTTTTTTCTTCAGTGGCTTGAAGTGTACAGTCAAAAAATTGCTGAGCTCAGAATATTCGGAGATCTGGTTCCCAATCACGTCTTAGTGAATGAGTATCAACCAGGCCAAGGCATTATGGTATGAGGATTGTGGGGTTTTTTTTCTTTCTGTGTATATAATGGTGCAATAATATTTGGTCTTTAGATATCTTGGTACTCCACAGCAGAAAACCCATAGCGTTGGTGGACAATAGTTGGTACCCATAGGTGGACAATAGTGGTATCCCATAAACCCAATATGTACGACTGTGCGTGTTTATGGTGTAAATCGAGGACACACACGTGCAACATCATCGATGAATCGAAGACAGGAACCGAATCGAGGACTCCTCAGTTGGAAAACATGTACAAAACCAATGAGAGCTGTTGCAAAAAAGTTAAGAGTATAAACAAAGGAAAAGGGAAGAGGACTAATAAAAAATCCTCGATTTACACCATAAACACACACTCTTGAATTACTATACTCCCGAGGACAATGCTTTGTGTTTTCCTTTGTCCCTGTAATATAACACTCTCCCATAGACTAAGCACACGAACCTACTACAGAGGACCGTTTTGAACAAAAGACCCAACTCCCGAGGACTGAAAGGATCTGTTGTTCTCCCTTTGTGTGTCTCATTTCATGGTTTGGTTCCAGCCTCATGAGGACGGCCCGCTCTTCCATCCAGTAGTCACAACGATCAGTCTGGGTTCCCACACATTCCTCGATTTCTACCAACACCGCAGAGACGCAAGCGAGGCCGGAGACGCTATCACTCAATCAGCACAGGTGTTGATTCTTTGCTTTTTTAAGCGGCATCATTTTTAAATTCATAATTATTATTCAAATCTAACATGAGGACTTGGTAGGATTGGAAGAAAGAAGAGCCCAGCCTCTATATTGCTTAATATTGGGGGCTTAATGCCTCTTCAAAGATTAAAGACATATAGGATCAATTATGGTTTTAATGCATTTCGTTTGTTTCAATAGTAACACCTCTTAAAATTCAAAGTAGACAGTTCAAAACCTAACCTGTTGAAGTTTCAGCTCAGTGGATATTACACTATTTGAGAAAACAGCGAAAAACCATGTACAACCTTTTGATCATGAAACACGATTTGGTCAATTGCACTCTTTATTCCAAAATTCAGTCAGTTGACCGATAGTTGAAAATCACCTACATTGCTTGATTTCTTCTAAATGACAGCAAGCCAGATGGAATAATTGTACAGGTTGTTTAATACCAGTATGATCTTTAATCCAAGTAAACTTTTCGATAATAATCCGATAAATTGGGATAAATGCAAATGAACTCTTTAAGTACAACTGTGCCAGGTGAGTTTCTAACCAAAACTTTACATGGGATAGAGTTCATTATAACCCATTAGTACTTGTATTAAACTGTATTACTCTGTATTACATTGTATTTATTTCTTGAAGAACCCATAAAACCAAGCACAGGGACAAACGGCCATTGGTTTAGCCCCACTCGGTCAAGCTTGTGAATTTTTTCTTACGTGAAAAAAAACAACATTAAAATTTATACCTCCTCGATGCAAGAATCTATGATTTGGGTCAGCGTTATTTTTTGTCATCCTTATTCCAAGACAAGTTAAGTTTGCGGTAGCACCATGTGAATAAATCTCTTTTCAGAACCACTTATCTTGTCTTAGTATCTTTCCACCATGTAAACCTTCAAATCTCAACCTTATTCCACCCCACATCCATAGGACCATGATATGCCATCCGAGGCTTCAGTCCAGCAACCTGTCTTCTCACTCCTCCTTCAACCCCGCAGTCTCCTGATCCTCAAGGATGACATGTACACGTCTTGCCTCCATGGCATTGCAGAGAGAACGGACGACGTCGTCACGGAAAAAGTCGCCAATCTCGACCGGACTGGCCGGGCGCTCGGTGACGGGTTGGAGCGGTCGTGCCGCATTTCACTCACCATCAGATACGTGCCCAAGACACTGAAGATGAAACTGTTTGGGAAGAGTTGATATTGGGATTGGGCAATTTGAAAATAAAATAGGGAATCGGTCGGTTCGCTACAGGAGAACAGTGTGAACTCCCAACGGATGATTGTAATAGGGTGTTCAGATGTGGATCCAGGTTTTTTTATCCACGATTTTGTTGATGGAGTGTATCCGAGTTGTTGAAATCAACACATGCTGAGCCTCCAAATAAACTGAGAGTTAATTTTTTTATATTGGTTTTGACCTTGACCGACATATTCTTTTAGAAACACTGTTTTTAGCCACCTTAAACCTCTGAAACCTCTTAAACCCCTGAAATCAGCAAAATATAAGTTTATATTACTGTACACCTGAATGTACTTTGTAAATGTATCTGAAATTGCTATATATGTTCATTTGACAATTGACATTTAAATTTGATTGCTACATCGACTTTACTTGTGTTCTGTTTTTGTTTGTTTTTTGGTCCCTTCTCTTCCTTTTTTTTTTTAATCCACCCCAACATTTCTCATTTATGTGCTCGATTGCTCCAACATATATATGTGCAGCTCAGTTTTCTAATTTTAGTAAAACAAAATTGATTTGAAGGACAAAACTGTACATTTTTTACCATTCCCCATTTATATTTTTAAAAAAAATTGTACTTCTTCGTAAAAGCGAAATTGAAATTTGTCTTATAAGGCAAAACTTCGAAGAAACGAAATTGACACGAGTTTGGATTAATGTTGTAGCCTCTTGTAATTTCATTTTTTTCACCCCTAAATTATGAAAGGTGTCCCCGCCCCCTAAAGAGAAAGTTTGTCCAAAATTGTGTTTCAACATGTTATTCTCAATTCAAAGTTTTCATCTGCTGCAAAAAGTCTTGATAAAAGACCCTTCCTTTGAGTTTATTTTGCCAAGTTTTACAAATGGACGCCCTCCCACAAAGAAGTAGTGAAAAATCAGTACATGTACATGTATTCAATTGTACATTTTTCATTTCGGCTCAAACCATTACCATGAAAAACACTTATCTGCGATAGGAATAAAAATGGCATCAAGTGGATGTGGGTTTGATAGTATTTCATTAATAATCCCAGAAATGTTTAAAGAATGTACTCAAAATTGCATATGGGAGATGATTTTTCACCATAATCCAACTGACTATATAAGTAGGACAAAACGCCTACATGAACATTCCCCCCAGTTAACTCTCAGTTAACTTTGAGTTACAAAAAAAAATGTAGTTAACTCAAAAGCGAACAGCTTTAGGGCCAAACGATTTCACCAGAGGTAAAATACAGGATGGATAAAAAATAAAAAAAACGAGATATTATTGCTAATTGTAACAGAAGTAGGACACATGTGAATCAAAGGGAAATATCCTCTGTTAGGGTTGAATCTCCTCTTTAAAATGACACCCTGGTCATGTCCTTACATTCACGGTTGCTTGCTCCACTTTTCATGGTGAAATCTCTTTTTCCCCCACCTGCCTTGATTGGCAACCATAGCCTTTCACTCTAACAAATGACAACACAAAAATAAGACACTTTCATAAAATTGGTCACTGCTCAGTCAACCATGAATGTAATGACATGATCAGGGTGTCATTTTAAAGAGGAGATTCAACCCTAACAGAGGATATCTCCCTTTGATTCACATGTGCCCTACTGCTGTTCCAAATAGCAATAATATCTCGGTTTCTTTTTTTTTTATCCACCCTGTATAATTTTGGCTCACAGGCGGCTAGGACTGTTTGTGTACTGTCGTTTTCTTGCAGTTTTGGGGTATTCATTACACATCTTGGAATAGGATGAGAGATATATATTATTGGGCTCTTTATAAAAATACCAATCCAACACAGAAAGAAGCCAATTTTTTCAACATTAGTATTGCAATCACACTATTTTTTTTCCTTTAATTTTCAATTAAATCTTCCAAACTGTTCAAAACACAATCATAAAACTGCCAATACAATGTCGACAGCTTTTAGCAAAAAAAAATCCTGACTTCAGAAATTTGTAACCATTACATGTACAGTTAATAGATACATTATAATTTCCGAAACAAAACAAAAAAAAAACGCTGTGGATTTCAATTTCTCATCATTGTACATTATCTACAGATTACTCAATATATTCTGAAGAATTCTTGAACATCAAAGCACATTAATACCAAGTTCTAACCATTGTTGGAAACGGGCGTTTTGAAGTTCAATTTAAGAAGGCAATAAAACTTATACATGTATATACAATGTATACTGATTTGTAGCCAGTAGATCTATGGACAGTTTGCACTGCGGCAATCTTGGTGGTGTGTGCATGAGCAAACCTATTGTGCCTTCATTGTTAACGAATTAACATAACAAAACACACCTTCAAGATGTCTGCTAAACGCAATCGATCAATTCCTGAAGCAAGTTGACAGTATACATGTAGCTGCAAGTACAACATACATTTAATGTGTTTTATTTTTTACAACACAGACATATACTGCATTTGGGTTGGCTTCAGAGGGCAATATTATTTCTGAGATGGGCAGTACATGTATTTCCACGATGAACAATGTGTCGTGTTGTTGAAGTCTTAAAAATGTACCAGTCCAGAAGCAACAGCAACCCAGTACACAAAGTTCAACATGGTGGTGTTGAGCAAGGCGACAACCCTAACAGCCAAGATTAAGCAAAAATTAACCTCCTTTTTTTTTTTTTTTTTTTACCATGAAAAGTTTCCTTGCAAGGATCCCAACAAGTCTACAAATTCATGTAGTTCATAGCAACACTTAAACCCTTTACACTTAAGAAATGTTAAGATTAATTCTTCGTCATTTTATAATACTGTACATTCAGATCCCATTCTTTTTCTCTGCCCTGTTACTATATGGCAATCATAATGTGTTCATATGATTTGTACACATTAATAGACTATTGAAATATTGGCTTCTTCTTTTTTGGATTCTCGAATTATAACGAATCTGAAACAACCCTCATCTGAGCTAGTAACTTGTGTATAGTTTCTACTCTATCACAATCAATTGACACTACAAGGTATTTCTAGATACATCTCAACCAACTGAAAATACCTTTCCTGAAAATTAAATTATCAACCAAACCGTAACCCGTGTTGTTAAGTTTTTTGTGTTTTTTTAAAGGTATTTTCCCAACGTTATTACTAAATGCTACAATATATTTCCTCAAAGCGGTTAACATTTACATCTTTCTATAAATTTCTGTCAGTTGTTGATTTCTCACAGAACCAGGCCCAAAAACTGTGTTTTCATCATTTTTGTGAGGTTCTTTTTTGCTATTAATTACTTCAGTTTGTTATTCATGAGAAGCTGGATGCGTCTCAACTCAAACAGAATTCTTCCTTTTACGATTTTAGCTACCTTTTACCATCTACAACATACAATACAGTTGTACGAAAAATGTGTAAAAACTAAAGTGATAAAATTCCAAACATCAGGGCACAAAGCTTTCCTTTCATAACCAAAATTAAATTCTTTTTTTTTTAAACGTCAAATATGTGCTTGAAAGACCGTATAGAGTGACGTTAATGCATCAATGGTACACATTCCAATCTATGTCAGCAGATTACAGTTGCATATTGAGTGATCTAATTCTATGTACATGACAGGACTGAGCAGGATTTTACAGGCGATAACTTGGTAGCTTTAACAATCACATTTGCAATCTGTTAAACTATAAAATGCACTTTTACTTTGCTTTCTTTGGAGATGGTTTCATGCTATGGAAAGCAAATGGGTAAAAAACAGTTGAACTGTTAGCCTTGTATGTACATAGTTAAAGCAGTGTACAATTTTTGATCAGAGCCAATATCTTAAAATGTTCAAGAGGAGAATATGATCCTTTGAATAGATGCTGGACCTTTGTCAGCATATGTTCCTTTAAAGTGATCCATTCATTGTGAATGTTTAGTCCCAGATAATTGTCAAGCAAACCCATGTCGAGCACTGAGCTCCTGTTTGCCAAATTTTTTTTATTTTCACAGGATCGTGCGTGTATGTTTTGCAGGTAACTATCATTGCTGCGTTATGCACAATACATGAACTGTTTATATGACAAATGACCAATGCTTCCTAGATGCCAAATGCTTACGACTGGTCGGATCAATCTGTAGTCTTACTTCACGACTGGGTTTGTATTTTTGTTCCCCGGCCCTCAATCCCTGGCAAACGTGCCTCTGCAGCAACAGAGGTCGCTAATACCAAGATGAAGCAAATCAAATTCTTCAGAACTTTGGCACTCAAGACCCTCGAAATTCCAAGCGTACCTCACATGTATACCTCAATTCCGAGCGTACACATTAACTTAAACTTGGTGTGGTGTGTACTAAGAATTTTTCAGGTGCAAGCGTTCCCAAGACTGGATCTGATTCATCTTAATGGCAAACTTTACCACGCTTGTCAGGGATCTCATTTATTAGGGGAACAAAATCAAAATACAGTCTTGAATTAAGACAAATCGCTGTAATTTTCTTTAAAAAAAAAAAAAATATAATTTTTTTTTTTACTTGGAACTTTACATTTACATACATGTGACAAATATTTCCAACGATCAATAATATACAGAGTATGATTAAATCCTCAAACACTTTTGTCAACTTTCAATAAAAATAATGATCCAGTCATTTTTTTTTTTTTTTTAATCAGGTCATTTTAAAAAGGCATAAATTTCAGAGTCAGTGACTGAACAAATTCAAGCAGTTTATCACTTCTATTTACACTAGGCATTTTATACTCGGTTACGGTAGTTGATGTAAACGAACCAATAAGCAAGATATACGCACCTATCTACATGTTGTATGCAAGCAGTTCAAATCGGGCCATTTTTTCAAGTTAACGATCAATTTCCTGCTTACGTATGTTGTTCTACAGTTAATAATCCTTGCTTTACTGTTTACGCATATTAACACGTAAACACAGATGCATTAAAAAAACAGCGTTGTAGTACAAGTACTCGTACTGGTCCTCATACTCCAGTACAAATTTTGTATTTGTACTATACTCATCTGAATGTACTTGTACTTATACTCATGACAAGGTACTCGTACTCACATTTCAGCAGAAATGTTAAACATCTCTCAGCTAATGAAATATGATTACGTACAAAAATTTGGACATGCTTTTAGTGTGGTCCAAGTTTAGGCATGAGATTGTCAATGCAAACAAAATGGTGTGAAAATTGGGTGATAGGTCTGAAAGATGCATTTCTTTCTATACTGATAATGTCTCTCTCTCAGATTCAAAAAGTCTGATTTCAGACAAAAAGTTTGGAAAATCTCGTGCCCTTATTTTGTTACAGTAGGGGGTTTAAATGAAAAAAAGCTTATGTAAATCAAGTCGGATTCTTGCAGAATGTGCTTGTCTTTATAGTAAGATTAGTAACCCACAACCAAACACAAGATCTAAAAAAAATACACAAAAAGTAGCAGTATTCAAAAGAGTATTCAACAAATCACACGGAACAAAAATATGTCACGGTAAGAGTATGTACCGCTGCATCACAAAGTACATGTATAAATGCTACATGTGGGCAATTTCATGTGTCGTGGACAATAAAAAAATAATAAGGCTGAGGGAAGTTTGGTTGAACAATTTAATAAATGTTCAATCTTCACTTTCGTTTTACATGTACGCAAAATCAAAACAAATGAGTCACAGGCCAGTGTTATTCACATGACACGGGGCTAGCCCACGTGGAGGAAATTGTAGTTCATACGCTGTGGAGGGCACATGACATGCAAGCAGTAATGAAACTGTACCGATGTGTTAAGCTTTCTAGTCAAGGCTGCATTACACACACACAAAAGATTATCTAGTATTATGAATTGTCAGGACGATTACACATGTTACTGTAAATAACACTTTTGCTTTTTAATTAGTAAAGGAATGTTCATTTCAAATACCTGAATGACAATTTCAACCCCTTCAAATAATATGTCTCGATGTAACATTCCGTCATGTTGTAGTCTGAATGTGGTAATATTAGTATCAATTTGCAGACTTCCATTGACGAAGGAGAAAGCCAGTATCACATTGCTGAGCAAAAGGATATTCTTTCAGCAACTTGTTGTCTTGAGGGATTTTCCGGTGTTGTCAAAATACTTGTGATGGATATCAAGTCGAGTCCATCACAAGTCATCACAAGACCTCCAGTCCCAAGTTAAGAACTCGCAAGCTATTCAAATGAACTATGACAAAGGCATTCCTTCGTCACAGTTCATCGTGCTACTTGTGACTGGACTTTTAGAGTTTAAGACTTGTGTTTTACTTGTGATCCATCACAAGTTCAAAAGGAACAGTCCATCATTTGTAATTTGTGCATTTTGTTCGTTCGAAGCAACAAACGTGCTCAAAATCTAAAGAAGGGTGCTGAACAACTAACCTGAGAAAAGTTTCAGCTCAGCTTCAGCTGTATATTTCGAGAAAAACAACATTCTAGGATCTCGATTTCAAATCAAAAGTTGCTGAATCATGTTTTGAATTGGGCCTGAATTCAGCGTCCGAGACACGTTCTCACCGAGCTGTTTGCAGCTACGTGATGTGATCATGTCGCGCACTGATCCGACGAATTTTAGCAACCGCGCTTGCGAGTGCGTCGTGCCAACGCTTGCGCGCAATTCGCCGAACTTAAAAAACGAACTACTAACGGAAATTTCCAACAGTGCGTTTTAAGACGGAAAGGCCTTACGTTGATTTCTTCAAAATGACAGCTTTCCATAAAGAATAATTTCACAGGGAGTTTAGTCCCCTTACTATCTTTCAAGCAATATGTTTTTCAACAATAATTACGTCAGTTACTTTTTGGATAGCTGCAAATGATGGACTGTAGCTTTAACCAGTTCACGCCAGGATTATTTTGACATTGACTGGACCCAGGCGCGGGATTGTTTTTCACGAACCTCGATGCCAGACGGGTTCAGGCGGTCATCTGCCGGTAGCACACCCTGACATTTCCGGCCTCGCTCGCTGCGAGCGGGTCACTGACAGATATTTCAGGCCTTGCTCTTTGCGTGTTTATCTGTCATCTGTTCCGAATACCGCAAAATCTTTGCGTGTACATGTATACACGTCATCCGACGTGAACTGGTTAAACTGGGTTTTTTTCCATCTTTTATTTTTTTATTTTTTTTTTAAATCTTTTTGGATGAAGCTTTAGTATAAATAACAATGGTGCGCAGGTATATATGAACCAGTCAAACACAGTCCGAGACTGATACCAATAACGGTCTGGTGCCTGTTGTGTGATGACAATCACACTAATGACTGTATAACGAAGTTCATCATGTACATACATGTAGATACACCCTAACAATACTACTATTGTACAGAAATGGGTCACTTCATTATTTCTTTTTAAATTCAATTTGTTTAGATTAAAACAATCTTTCTTACCTTTAAGGCGTATTAACAAAATATTGCGCATTAAAATTCAACTTTTTACCATTTTTTTCCTTATGCAAGGGAGGGATAAATCAAACCAAAAAAAAAACTTCCTATATTTTCACTACAAACATTTGCCCTTAACTTTATAAAAACAATTTTTTTAATGTTTGAATTTTATTCACACATGCTTGTTAGTATTAAAAAAAACACATTTTTTCTACACAAGTGGATAAACACAGCAGGCGTATGGCTCATTACAGTGCACATGCTCGTATTCTCACAATGCTCGACACTATAATAGAATAAACGGTGCAAACTAAGTATACGTCATCTAGGTGTGGCCCAGATCAAAATATGTACAAGTCTCAAGCCACTCTTGTGGTAACTCTCGTGATGAGCACGACCATTGCTACCACACGAAAACCATCTAGGTTTTCTTGTGGTTAGGTATACAAGTTTATGTGGGTCAGCGGAGATGTCTCATTCTTTGCTTGTACATGTACTCACAGAATGCAGTGACAACAAAACAACGCTGTCCGTTTTCATCCCAGTCTTCTTGACGTCTGGAAGGTAGCCCAGAGGTCAATACGTCTTGACAACTTTCATTCACACGTTCGCCAAGTGGTGCTCCAACAGGCCTGGGTGCAACTGAGAAACATCACATTGGTTCTTCAGAGTTTCTGCATGGAGAGGTGAAGTTACTTGAAACTCAATGCTCACCAGTTCCACGTTACAGAATAAATCTTGACCCATCAGTATCATATGGGCTGGACATTACGCTAATTCCTCAAGTCGTTATAAATCTACATGCTTGTCTGCCAGCTACCGATTAGGCGGCCTACCATGCATCATCTGAGGCCTCCTAAAAGGAAAAAAATGCAAAACAAAACAAATTATAATAATTTTTCAAAACTGAACAACGAAATTGACACTGGAGTTGGGTTTGAACCTGGGGAATCGCCAACACAGGGCTAGATAGCTCAGTTGGTAGAGCACCAGAACGGCGATCCGGAGGTCGCAAGTTCAAATCCCACTCCAGTCAATTTCTTTGTTCAACTTTGCAGTTTTTTTTAAAAACAAAACAAAATTAAATGGCAAGTTTAGAAATGGCTTTAGCCAATTTTAAGTAATAACATGAATTTTAAGTAGTTAACATGAACTACACAAAGTGCATTAGGTTCATTCTATAAAGTTAGGGTCCAAAGAGTGAAATTTGTTTCCTGCCCTGTTACATCTGAACACTGTAATTTGCCATTCAAGCATCATTAACCTTAACTCCCTAGGCGTTTTTACTAGGACGCAACCTCAATCCTGCAAAATCCTCCAACTGCCTCCATGTAAAAATTGCATACAGCCTCATTTCTTGAATGTGGTTCTTGGAGGAGTGACCGCTGCCTCGATCCTGCACAATCCTCCAGCAATCACTGTCAATATGTTGAGGCAGAGCCAGTGACATCCTGGAGCAGTGCGGAGGACTTCAGGTATAATATACGCATAGATTTATGCACGGCTGAGCATAAACAAACTTGACACAGTGCATCCTCCAAAATCAGCAGCACATTTTTGCCATATAGCCTCAATCCTGCAAAATCCTCAATTTTGCAAAGAGGATTTTGGAGGATTTGAGGTTAGGGTTAATTAATTGAACATGTTACTCTTCTAGCTATCTAGAACTGCAAGGTGCCTTCACAACCTACCTCGTCCTGCTTTTGGTCGGAATTTAGTCTGTTCACAATAGCTTCAATGGTGGATTTCCTGTTTAGAGGAAAAACATTTCATTTTTAATTCCACTGCCTGGTAATGATATGCCAAATAATGATGTGGTAATTCTTCCGTTATTTGGGCTGCTTGTCTCGCTGAAATACTTTTCTCATTATGTAGTAATTCAGAATGCACTCTCTGAACTGTTTTAAACCTTGAACAAGTACCCCTGAACAGCGACTTAACAAAGGGTATTTTGGCACCTTTTTTTGTTTTTATGCTAATGCCAACTTCCATATTCATGGTAAAAGTGTAATGTCATTTCATGCAAAAACTTCAATGTTACAGCTATTTCAGCACCAATAAGCTGAGCGTCTTTCTGAAATGACACCCAGCAACAGCGCCCTCAGTTGTCCGGAAAAACATTTTTTTGTTTTATGTTTTTAAGGAGTCATTGCCACCCCACCCGTTTTTCCATTCTTTTCCTGGATGGAATAGAACACATTTAGAACCTGCATCAATGCCCAAGTGTAGGCACCTTTAAGCAAACACTGTATGGTTTTTGCAAACTGCCTGTTTACTCACTTTGCTTGTATCCCTCCGCCCGGTGGTAGCCCCTCAATTTCTGTTGTGGTCATGACATGCATCACCAAATCAATGCCGACCCGCTCACCAAAACTGTCCATTATCTCTACAATCAAAAAAAGGGAGAAATTGGAAATGAGTACACCAGTATACTTTGAATTCAATTTTTTTACAAATCAGGGCTTTACTTATGAAAATGGTATTTCGGATATCATGCATATCAATTTTTGGGCTAATTCATCATGGATATTTACAATGTGTTTGTTATGAACACTGGCTGTAAAACTGCTGCCTATTCGCTGAATGTAGGTGTATATTCACTTAATTCACGGCAAACAACACCGCACCACTACAACAAATTGTGTCATGATGGACAAGATAGGTTTTAAATAAGGCTTAATGTCCTCATTTTTCAAGTTCAAAAAATGTGACTGATGGTTGAATGCACCATGCTGAATTTATTAATCATAATAATAATAGTAATATTATTGAGTTATACAGGTTGTTCCCCCAAAAAGGTGACCCACAAACAAAGTGATATTATGATCAAACTATGAACATAGTATGGTTTTATCATTGGCAGTAAGCTTTCCATTGATATCTTGGATGCATACCAATGATCATGCATCACCGAGTTCCAGTGTTTTGAAAATGGTATGTACAAAATGTCTTGGAACAGTTTAAGTAAAAAAGTGTGAACACAGCCAGACATAAGACAAGTAGCTTTAAGGGATATTGAAGAAAACACGAACAAAACCGGAGTTCCATCAATTGATGATCTTGTTCCACATGGTGAAGTCCCCAGCCCACATACACACCCACCCGCAGGCCTACTCATTGCTGTCAGGAATTGCTTTCAGGAACTTTTGGGGGACAAAGTAATCTCACTCAATCATGCTGTGGAATGACCTCCCAGGTCACTGAATTAAACTCTTTGTGACTTTTATTTTTGGGGGAGAGGGGAAATAGGCTGGGGGTTGGAACAAAAATATGTGTCCGAAACTTGGACATGCCTCAGTTATAATGTACATATATGTACAATAAACTTCACGCCCAATTTTGATTTCCAGACACCACCTTCTTTATTATATACAAATTGTATAATGTTCATGGTTTCAAAGTTTCAAGTGAGTTAATCATGTTTTTCTTCCGGCCACTGCCACTCAAATTAATATTTTATGCCTCTTCACCATCCCCAAGATTATCCTCATGATTTTTAAAGCATTGCATTTTGTACTACTAAATCTGAAAACTCCAAAAATAACGCAGTGCAGGATTTTACTGCAGTCGATCTCCACATGGAAACAGCCTTGAAGCTCAATACAATGTAGTTTTGGACGTCATAGGCTAATCCTTAAACTTATCTCCAGCCGTTAATCCCAGTCAGAGTTTGCTTTTGTGCTTATACCAAACTAACTGTGCACTGGAGACCTGTTGAAGAGATTTAAAATTGCTCACAAAACAGACATGCCGTTTTCATTCAATTTGTTGAACTTTTAACTTAAACAATCAGACTTTGCAGGGGAAAGATTTTAGAAAATCGTAATTTGGGAAAAGAAATTTGAAAATGTCAGAATTCCGATTAAAATCTCCGAGTATAAAAAGTGTCAACTCTGCCTATCAAAGAGGAAAAACAGCGCTGTCCTCGGATGTGACCTCAGATGCAAGGGGACTATGCTCACTCGGCCAATAAGATTATCAGAATAAATCCAAGCCTCGACTTTAACAGTAACAGTAATAGCTTCTCATTTTGCGGGCCGGATCTGTCAGTGAGTGTACCTTTTGTTTTGGCTTCCAATAGTTGATCTAACTCTGCCTCCTTGGACAGGGCCTGGTCCGACACCTTGGGTGCGTTCTCAAACGTGACGATTATAATACTCATGTTATCGCGGCTCCCCTGCAGGACAGGAATAGAAAACACAAAATGGAATTGGGTCAGAACAGTTTATTGCTGCACACACAGTAATGCTAGTACCTATCTTAAAATCACTGTGGTTTGAACTCCCCTCCCCCCCACCAAAAAAAAAAACCATAAAAGTAAGGGTATCTAAAAAATACCTGTCAAAAAGAGGCAAATTTCAACCAAAAGTTGAAGACACTAATAGTATTAAAACAAATTATCCTTCAGAGATACCCTCTGCATTTTCTGAATTAAAAACTTACATGGATGCTCTTCAAGCAAAAATCTTATAAGCTTAAAATACGAATGAAATGTTTGTTACCCACAAAGCAGAAAACAAAGGAAATATAATATCATCTGTAAAATTTGGAAGAATAGTCGGACAGTAAACCTGTTTTTTACCAACCTTGCATAGGCAGGTGTCCACCACCATGTTACAGACCTCCTTCAGATTGTCGGTGAGTTCTAGCCGTGACCGTATGAAGTGACACACCTCATCGTTACTCATGACGTCCCAGACTCCATCGCAAGCAAGAACAATGAATTCATCATCGGCTTGCCGGGGTATTACTTTAATGTCGGGCTCCGGCGAGACAAGTTGCTCTGTCGAACCCATTCCAAAATTACTCTTGTATTCATAGTCTCCTAAGGCCCTGGACACCGCTAGTGATCCGTTGACTCGCTGGATCATGACAGTTCCGCCGGCTTTCTCGATGCGATTCTTTTCATTCTGCTTACTGGGCTTGTGGTCCTCCGTGGAGAAGCACACGCCCCCGCTGCGACTTAACACGGCGCGAGAATCCCCACAATTAGCAAAGAAAATGTGCTTTGGTGAGATGATACACCCAACAGCCGTGGATCCACTCTTGTCGTTATCTCTCGCCAGTATGTCTCTCATCTTCTTATCTATGTTGAGGAAACCAGTCCGCAATCCCATTTTAACATTGTCTTCCGTCGGATGGAAACCAGGACCCGGCTTGTCCGAGCCTTTAAACTCCTTATTTGAAGTGATTTCCTCCAGCAAATTTTTGGCGCAGTATTTGGCGACTTTGGAGCCTGCGTGGCCATCGTAGACGGCAAAGAATGACCAGTCTTTCAGGCCAAAGGGCAAGCCTATGACAGCGGTGTGGGCGTCTTCCATCTCCACTCGCCAGCCTTGCATGCTGCAGAGAGCAAACCGTAAGCCATTGCCGCAGCCGATCTCGTTCTCTTTCTCCATCTTTGGCTTGTCAAGAAACGCCCCCATGGTTCCTACGTACCCTCTCCTCTGAGAACAACCTTAGTTCACTCGTTAACAATCACATCAACTATGTCAGCTACTTTCAGCTACTAGACAAGGCAAGCAGTATTCCCCCTCACTGCGTCGATAAAACAGGCACCTCCATATTGATGTAAGAAACCTGTCCATTACTCATTCGATCCTCAATCTCTTATCCATATAATGATGGGCACGGACTGCTATCTCTTGTCGATGAGGTCATTGGTCTGATGTCACACACAAGGATCTGTGACAGGAAGACAACAATCAAATCATTAACGAAATCTCTGGCGGGACTTTACACACAGCTAACCTTGTCATGTCCTTACACTACAAAGTCCTTCGGGGGGATTCTCACAAGTGTCGTTAAATCTAGCACAATTCATCTGTTGTGTTAACCATGAGAATGCTACTACATGTACATGTTAGTCTATATGGTACATAACGTGCCCGGTGCACGAAACTGTGTATGTATGACATCATTTCCTGTCATTATAAGTGCATTACCCCTTACTAATTTGGACACATGCTCAAGGACAGTACCAAATTTAGTTGGGGCGGTCGACACTCCCAACTTAAGTTGGGATAATCCCAGCTTAAATTGGGATAATCCCAACTACAGTTGGGATGCTGCTACTCCAGGAGTAGTACTCCATGCTCACAAGTGGTACATTAAATGGTGCACTTATACTTTGTGTCAAGAAAATGTCCTACTTTTGATCCTAAATAACTCTGTTGTTTACCAATGGAATTAAACCAAAATTTCAGATCATGTAAACAAGGCATGACAAATTGTATGGAGCGAGTATCATCAGCTTTGTGCAAGAGGGTGAGATTTAAACACCATACGAAAAAATACTCACTTTCAGAATCTGCCACTTTTGACTTGGCGTTCTCCAATGTCGATACAGCGCTGGAGACTGTGGCGGAAGGGCTGAAAGCTTCTCAAGGAATGCAGGATCAACCCTGATGTCATTGCACACATCCTCGATCGTCTGGCACAACTCACGATAGAGGTGTGCAATAACATTAGGGGGTGATCCTGCATTCCTTCAGAAGCTTTCTGCCACAGCACGGGCCTTCCGCCACCGTCTCCAGCGCTGTATCGACATTCTGAAAGTGAGTATTTTTTTCGTATGGCATTTAAATCTCACCCTCTTGCGCAAAGCTGATGAAACTCGTTCCATAAAATTTGTCATGCCTTGTTAACATGATCTGAAATTTTGGTTTAATTCCATTGGTAAAAAAGAGAGTTATTTAGGATCAAACATGGGACATGTTTTTTTTGACACGTAGTATGAGCCACGAAGCCACACTGTATGTACACGCCGGTCACACTTGCTGAAAAGTTTCAAAGAAATTACTTGATTTAGTTACTTATGTTGTCTATTTGACATGGATGAAATGGCAAATAGACAATTTTTAAAATTAATTCTACCGTCAAAATTGTACCCAGTATAGGACAATTATCCTGGCTAGTCACCAGCAGTTAGATCAAACATGTATGTCAAGCAAGCAATGTCTGGTACTAGTCTCTATTTCTACACATTTCTCCATAGTCAGCCACCAGACTAATGACATTTAACGAAGAGGTCAGTCTTTTGAAACAGTTGGACTATGGTTGGACATGTACCAGTCTAGTCTGTAGCCTCATTTTTAAATCAACTGACTTCCCTCTCATGTGCATAATATTGAAGAAAAGTCTCCTTTAAAAATTTAATTGAGTCTTCACACTTGGTTGGTGAAATAAGTACCGAGGACCTTTTCTTTGGCAAATGAAAATTTTGGAGAATTTTGGCTGGCTAATGAATGAGTAAAACAATTGTCCTGAGATCATTTTGCATGTAGTTCGATATTCCAACTGCGCCTGTGCACATCAAGATATGACGATTTTTCTTTCGGGACAAGCGTTCTATTGTATGCGTGCAAAAGCATAATTGAAGAGATCGTCGTGTTCTGCAGTAACGTTTTGCAAAAATACCGTTTGGACAACAAAGACTGTTTTTAGGTGTCTTGTGCTCAACTTTAGTGCGAACAAAAGTTTCCACTCTTTTCGATTGCATGAAAAATTTTACAAAATGCAGATTCGGTTACCACATGCCCCTTACTCTTGTGTGCATTTATCTGCCACGTTTATCCCCCCAAAAAATGGTCAAATCTTGTTGAAGAAGCTGTGCTACAGTCCATGTTCAGACTGTTTTGGAATATGGAACATGCTTATTTTCAAAGTAGTGTTATTCTACGCAGTGGCTATCGTTACGGCAGCCGTAACGCATTTCCCATTTTCTATCGTTACGGTAGTACTGCAACTTTTATAAAAACATGAGAAGAAAATATAAAATTAGAAGGAAAAAAAGTGAATTTGAACGTTATGAAATTCGGACTTTATTTCCCTTTTTAAAAAAATCCTCCAAAGCCTCAGGTTAGAAAAGGAAAAAAAATTCGTGTGCAAAACTGAGATGCCAACCCGCAAACTCGCGGTGCAAAATCGTACCCTCTATCGACTGAGCTGTCGCACTGCTCGCTAAAATGTGGGGAAACAAATAATTATATACCTGCGTGCGTATCAAAAAAGTATCGTAGACGGCGCTAAACAACGGCTGCCGTAACGATAGCCACTTCGTTTATTCCAACGTTTGGAAATATATCCCAGTCCAAATTCATGTCTTTTCAACATTTTTGCAATAGGGAACATTCATTGAAATAATAAATAACAAAAGTGGCGACAGGATGCAACATTCTTTCCACATAGAAATCATGAACATTTATTTGTCATTAAAATGAAAAAAGAACATTTGAACTCAAATGAACAGCGCCCTCTTTCTCACATATTTGAACCTGATCCCACCCTTAAATGTTCATTTTCATTTTAACTCTTGTCTTGGAATTTCTCTATTCACTATTCCTTCCTCCATGCTTCATTTGTCATGTCTGTTACCACCATCTTGACTATGTAAATGATACATACATTCTGTCGATTTTACGACAGATTTAACGTTAAACTACGACGGACCATGGAGGATTTCGTGGGCCAGCGGCAGATAAATTATTTGCAAAAGGTTGAAGCTACACTGAGTGCCTGGCCTGCATGCTTACTGCATGTGCATGCACTGCACTCGCAGGCGAAATAGTGGGAGCTGCATTTTCATTTCAAAGCTCTCATCCATAACAAAAACTTCACATAAACGAAATTACATAGCTCTACGAATAACAATTCTGGTAAGGATAAGCTGGAATAGCAACAACACATAACTCCCTTCAACAGTGTTACAAAATGAATCACAAAAAATTAACAATATTTACCGCTTACTTACTTCCACAGCAGCAACGTTCATGTACGCGCACAGCAGCAACACAGTACAAGTATAACTGCATTTCCTATTGGTCGACGTTCATGGCTTCGAAGATTTGATTGGATAAGCTGACCCACGTGTACGAGGTAAAGATTACGTCATCTCTATTTTTGGACGCGTAAAATGAGAAGAATACCAGCACTGATTATTCGATCTGGTCAGACTTCCTTGTTAAAATGTGGTTTAATTTCCTCTTCCTTCTAGTACATATGCAAAAAAGATTGAACTGATTTGTTTATATTTATCTAACTTATTTGTTTATATTTATCTCATTGCACTGTCAAATGCGGTTCTTGGCCAAAACAAGCTTGCATGCGGCTGTACTTTTTTTTTAGGCAAGGGTCTCTATAGTGTGAAGCTAATAATTTGTATTTCCGCGACTCCCAGGCTTGTGTGATTTCAAAGTAAAAATACCTTGAAATCGGTCGGCATGGATATTTTATGAGAACATGTCGCATAGAATCATTTAGGTGAGAGAGTTGGTAAATACTGTAATAGTTTACGCACTTCAAATATAGCGCCCTCCTTTTGTGGCGAGTCAACATTGATCATCCAAAATTAGGCATTTGGCCCAAGTTTTTATGAGAGGAGGGGTCAAACGATCAGTCTTGCGGGCAGGATTTTTATTTGCAATCATGATTTTAAAATCCCAAAACAATCAAAATGTCCCTACAGGGAGGAACAATCAAATACTGGGTTGTTTTCCCCAAGTTTGAACAACAAATTTGTGATTTGTTTGGGGATATGTCGCATTACGTAAGAGAATTTCAGATGGCCCAGATTCATATCGGTTAAGGAAGGGGTTTTCCAGATTTCAGTTTATCCGATGAAATAATTTTTTAGTCGATTTTAAGGACCAAGCTAGAACACTTAACTTGAAAATAGGTTGCATAAGTCCATCCGGGCGGATGAGTTAAATTTTCCGAGACAAAATACTAAAAAGGGTCTTCATGCAACTGGCAGGCCGACCGTTGCAAATTTGAAATATTTTACTAACAAATTTAAATCCGTTGAGGTAAAGGGAATGAGGAAGACTACATAATCGATAAAAAAAAAAACCTCTGTACTCTTTCGCTAGTTTAATTATTAAAATATAAAAAAAAATCAGCATTTGTCTTTTCTTTAGAGAAGAGGGATTCTATAAGTTTCATCCGTCACTGATGGAAAGTAACATTCTTTTCTTTTGCCTTTTCCCAAATGATATTATAATACACATGCAGGGCGAGTAAAAAATACGAAACCCAAAATGTCGGGACTATTAGTTTAGTGAAGTTCTATATGTAGCACGCATGAAAGCCCAATTTATATAGCTTTCTTTTAGTACAAGAATCATTCAAATGACTGATGTACTTTTCAAGTTACGGAATTTTAAACACAACCACTGTTTTAAAGTTCTGTCCACAGCCTCACAAAAAAAGTGTGCGTTCTTTCACTGCAAAACGAAAACAATTCACAGTACACATCCCGTAAGTAATTTGTTCATTTTCGTTTTGCTGAAAGAACGCAAAAACGGTAGTTGTGTTTAAAATTCCATAACTTGAAAGGTACATGAGTAATTTGAATGATTCTTGTACTAAAATAAAGCTTATGAATTGGGCTTTCATATCCTTTATTTTGAAAGTGCTACATGCAGAACTTCACTCGATTAATTTTTTGTTCATTGTATTGTTTATCTTTAATCGATTATTATTATCTTTTGTAATATTCTACTGTATACAGCAGTCTGGATCGACAGAGTGGATGAGTGATCCCTCTCGTATTTCCTTCTGAACTTCTTTCATGACCAGTTCCAGTTCCCTTGATTAATGTTTCGTTCATGGAATGGTTTATCTTTAATCGATTATTGTTTTTTTCCTCTTAAATAATGGGTTTCCATTTCTATTGCCTCGCCTTACTGTCTTCTCACTTTGCTATTCAATGAATCCTGTGATTGTGACATTAATGACCTAGGCTTTCTTTACATTCTTTACACATGTCTTGTGTAAAGACACGAATTATACTGTATATAATGGTCCTGACATTTGGGTTTCGGGTTTTTTTTTACTCGCCCTGTATAATATACGTAATTCACAAGGTTTAGAAAACAATAAAAGAGTAAAATGATTTTGCAATTGTGAGTAATGCACCTCCTCCTTTCTGGCAGGGTCTATCAGCCCCCCCCCCGACTCCCCCCCCCCCCCACCCCTCCCCAGTCCCCCACCCTCCCCCGGACATTCTCGTTGTTGCAACAGTTCGCCCGCAGTATACACATTTCGTGGTATACGGGTATATTAGGCCCATATAAAGTCATAAAGACCCCATATAGTGCCCCGCCCCTTGCCATAGTGTTCTATCATTGTTCTTCCTAACCATTCCTTATTATGAAATGATGAATGAAACCAAATAATTACTTATAAGCCGGTAGTCAACGATGCATGCCTAGTGCAGACGCGGCGATATTATGCATGTGCGCATGAGCGATGTACCGAGCATAATGTTATGAGCAGGGAAACCTCATCTCTCTGCACGGCTGCAATATTGAGACAGTGGTTGCCATATGCTATACACACGACTTGCATTCTCCTCCATTGCTTCAGTTCCACATCTCCGTTATGTTTTAATCTTCCAAGGGTAAATTTTCTATCTTGTGATCAGGTGAGTATGATATTAAATTAATTGAGACCAAATTGGAGCCTGGCAAAATATTCAAGTATGTCATCAGTTTTGATAAATAACCGACAGGCTGATATCGTTTTAGTTTTATCAATGAATATGTCTTTGTATTGTTTATGCCTGTCATTTATCATGATGTTTGTGAATTATTTTTTTTCTTCCTTTCTTTTATACGTTCCTTTTATTTTGCATTTAATTCACCCCTTGTATATTATTTTTTACACTTAATCCTGAATTAAATGTTTGAACCTTTTTTTATAAAAATTAATGGTTTAGCACAACATTTCTAAATTTCTTTCATTTTTTTTGTTATTTAGCATACATTTTTTTGCCTTATCCGAAGGCCTTATTTCTTATTTTTGTCTAAATGAAAATTTTTGACATACACCCACGCAAAAATGCAATGCCTTTGTCCTTTCATTTCATCGTTCTTCGCCATTTGCAATCTTACTCAGTGACCTGAAAGACACGTGGTCATATTATTGCTTGGTAATGAAATTTTGCGTGGCATACCCGCATCGTAATTATCTCTTAATACATTCTATGGTTATTAATTAATGTGAAGTATCCTTAACATATCAAGCTGCGCTCTCCAGCTATGTAATCGAATCGGGGCTTACCGCGTGAAGCTGATCATATCATTTATTTCATGATATAGTTTGGAGGTTCCCAACCTAATTACACGATTCGTCGTCATTTGCCTCGTTATGCATCGCTTATTTTGATCTGATACACCGGGCCTCGAGACATGCACACAATAGGGAACAAAATATTGTATACGTCTCCACAGGGCAAGCTCTATAGATAAATAGTTTCCACAAGGTTTTCACGAAATAGATATATGGATTTTACTCCAAAACTAGGAATTTCCAAGATATGTTGATCCGTCGCAAATGGTGGAGTTTTAGAAAAGGGATATTAATTCCGAATTTCAGCCAAGGAAATTAATTCTGGTTAAAATAAGAGCATTTTGAAACTGTACTTTCAAACTCTAAAACTTTAGTACACGAGAACAAAGAAATGTCTCCAGAAGGATACAAATTTCAGTAATTGCTTAGGCCGAATAAAACAAAAACATGTTTCTCGTCCGGGTTTTCGAAAAAAAGGAGGAAGCGGGGCTTTTTATTTTTTATTTGTTTCAAGATGGCCGCCATTTAAAAATTCCTGCAATTGTTGGTGTTTCCACTGTTCAAAGACACTTTTAAAATGAAAGATAAGTTGGACAAGAGAACTGAACATATTTACAGTGTCATTTTAGACTTGTATTGGTCTACAATTTATTTTCCGATGAATTTGTGGACTATTTCGGTGTTTTTTTACTGCATTTTTCAAAAATATAAAATAATAAAAAAAAAATCCAGGCGGCCTCCAAAAAGGAAGCGGGCGGGGACGAGAAACATGTTTTGTTTTTTACTTCGCCTTACATCAAAGACTATTCGAATTCAATTCATCAATGAACACCATTCGCCAAGGAAGGACTTTCAAAATGAACTATCGAATTTGCTAACCCCAATTAAACGATATTTTCATTTAATGATATGGGCGACTGAACAAAATAATTAGAAATGTAGGTCTGTGCCCTTATTGTTAGGCGCCTGAACACTCACATTTTGTCTCGCATAATACATGTAACAGCCATGGGCGTCGCGGGGGGGGGGGGGGGGGCAAGGGGGCACCCCCCCCCCGAAAAGCAACACAGAAAAGGAGAAAGGGAAAGGGAAAAACAGGCGCAAAATCATATTGCTGTTGACGTAATGGATTGGGGGGGGGTTAAATGTCCCTGCCCACCCTCGAAAATAATAAGTCGACAATATGCTAGAAAAATACAGGGATTTCGAGGAGAAAATGTGCTTTACCCCCCTCTAGAAAAAAATCCTAGCGACGCTTATGATAACAGTCGTCGATAATGACTTTTTTGCAACCAGCAGAGGCCGGGTTCACTGGCCACAATCTCTTCCATCAGACAGAAAACTAAAAACTTCAAGACTTTCAATGAGCAAAATAATACCAGCAAAATAAAAAGTTGTAAAAACAGAGTGGAGATAATTTAGCCCTTACCATTGTGTATTCTTTACAAAACAATACAATAACAGGCCTGGACTTCATGATGAGTTATCATTCAGAACTTCCGTAGTTTGTGCTAACAACACTTGTAATGAAAACTTTTACTGGTTGTTCGAGTATGTGTACATGTTCAACCCCACTGTAAAAAAAATCATAATGTCGACTGAAGAAAATAATTTGCTAAGAATTACACGCCTGATTTTGTATCGCGCTTTCACCACGTTTCCACGATTTGCTGTCGCCTCTTATTAACACCAAAGGTGTTTCTTCTTAAAATAAACTAGGCATAAAACGACCTCCCTGGCAACAGGCACTTTATTTAAATTCGGGTGACAATGAATGTGCTAAGTGTTTGTCCATGCGTATCACAGATGAACAAAGACTTGTCCTCGTATCGATCGTAGGGGGCGCTCTATGTAACGTGTCTATGCCATAGACATAATTTACAATTACTATACCTCATACATATTCATGATCGAGAGCCGAACGTTCACTGGTCAATTCACCATCACGTGCCAGATGTTATTCTTGCTGTTTACCCAACGCGCGCGCGAGGATTCACGCACATTGTAAATACGCATGCGTAGTAGACTGTCGCATGGGCTACCCGTGCGACAGTCTACTACGCATGCGCTTTACAGAGCAATCGAGGAACTGTCGCACGGGTGCAGTACGCACGCGCGAACATCGCGCGAGAGATGCATGGTAGGAGAGATGCATGGTTGAATGGTTCGCGTAAATGTTAATTTCCAGAGCTCAATGATGCCGTACTGGAGAAAATGTATAGACAGTGTAAAGATGTCTCCTGTACAAAAGAAAGTTGTACACATTGCAAACATTTGTATTTACAACTGTAGTAACTGTATTATATTGCAAACGATCCGAACTAGTAATTGAAGTTGAATTTTTTGGTGAGCTTTACAAGTTTCCCCGAATTTTGTTTTAGGTGCATAATAATAAAACAAAATTCGGCAACTGAATATGTATGAGGTATAGTAAAACAAATATAACATGGTTTATTTTGGGTGGACAGTCGATATTAGCTCCCCTCGGTATTGGAAGTTGACAAACTAGTTCCAATACCTCGGGGAGCGAATATCGACTGTCCACCCTCTAACCATGTTATATTTGTATAATATTGAATGCTTCGAGTGGTGTAGTAAAACTAGCCTCCCTCGGTGATCCATGGAGCATTCTATTTTCCCTCGGCTTCGCCTCGGGAAAATAGAATGCTCCATGGATCACCGAGGGAGGCTAGTTTTACTTCACCACGAGATAAAGCATTCAATATTTGTTTTATTACACTTCACCCACAGATTCTGCTTGGTTTTAAGATTTTAAATTATTTAAATCTGAACACAGTTGAATTAGACTTCAATTTCAATACAAAATTGGTGGAAAATGTATTTCTCTCTTCCAAACTACCCCTTCACGAAATGTTTGAACCCAACCCTGTGGCGCTCTCTCTTTGGAACAAAACGCGCTACGCACAACGCGCAGCGCGCACACCAGCATGCATTTGCACACAAATACCGCGCCGTGGAAATAGTACTTTGGTTGCTAATGGTATAGTACTTTGGTTGCTATGGGCATAGTACTTTTGGCCGTGTACAGAAAGATAGCAAAAATAGAAAGTATCATGTGACTTGCTCTCGGCCAATCAAGACACAGAATCTGTGGGTGAGGTGTTATAATATACAAATATTGAATGCTTCGAGTGGTGTAGTAAAACTAGCCTCCCGAGGTGATCCATGGACCATTCTATTTTCCCGAGGCGAAGCCGAGGGAAAATAGAATGCTCCATGGATCACCGAGGGAGGCTAGTTTTACTTCACCACGAGATAAAGCATTCAATATTTGTTTTATAACACTTCACCCACAGATTCTGCTTGATTTTAATATTTTAAATTATTTAAATCTGAACACAGTTGAAATAAACTTCAATTTCAATACAAAATTGGTGGAAAATGTATTTCTCGCTTAAAAACTACCCCTTCACGAAATGTTTGAACCCAAGTCTGCGGCGCGCTCTCTTTGGAATAATACGCGCTACGCACAACGCGCAACGCGCACACCAGCATGTATTTGCACACAAATACCACGCCGTGGAAATAGTACTTTGGTTGCTAATGGTATAGACGAATCCGATAGACTATGCATGGAGGGGCGCCCTCATTCGACACGGACATTGTAGGGGGCCAGTGTCGCTTAGCAATCGCGGCGGGCGCCAAATATAAACAATTTTGTACGGCGACAATTTCCAGTCTAGTTTTTGTTAAGTGCGAACAAATACAAACACGCACGGTTGACTGTGAGTTATGTATCTAATATACATGTAGTCGGTAAAACATCACAGGGGAAACATCACACCAACTTAGAGAGGAGACAGTGAGAAGAAACTATAGTTTTAGAGGTTTATTTATTTATTTTTTATTTGTTGTTAACTTGTATTGTAAGTTGAAGGCCTAATCTTTTACGTGAGGGTAGGCCCCCTAGTCCATTCCAGTTAAAAAAAAACTGCTTTCCAAAGGAGCCCTCACAAACATGACAAAGAGGTGAGAGGAAAAGCCCAGCCCAGAAGCTATTCTGGGGGAAACCCATGGAATCCGGTAGGGACTGAAAACCCAATCCACATACATGTACATGTATTGGCCGAGGCGGGATTCTTACCCTGGTCACAGCGGTGGAAGGCGAGGAAAGTACCGCTACGCCAACCTGACTCCCCCATAGTTGAGCATAAGAATTCTGCAAAAAAAAACTATGGATGCGTGGAAGGACGACGTTCGTGACTGGCCAAAGCTTGAATTTCAAGGTAAAAAGCCACTGTTTACGTGCTGTTTTAGCATGTTTAGGCTAGGCCTAACGTTAACGCCAAACATCAACTTGCTTTTGGAAATCGGATGACTGTAATCACTGACATGAAACGATGATGAACTTTACTAGGCTTAGATCATTTTTAGGAAAGTGATTGATGTTGATGAAAAACAGTATTAAGTTGTGGGCAAATTCATTGCATCAAAAGGGAACAAATAATTAGTGTAGGCCTACAGCATTTATGCATTCATGGCATTCGGACAGTGCCGCTTAATAATATTACTAGTCCTATTACAGGAAAGATGTAGAAACAGTTTGGGATTCAACGAGTTTGTTGGGTTCAGGAATCGAAGCTGGTGTCAGTGGGGTGATCAGGCCAACTTAATACTCACTCTTTTGTCAGCAAATTTCTCCAAAAATTCCATTGGGCAAAGAAAAGGTCCCCAGTATTTTACCAACCAAAATGGCAGACTCAATCCATGGTCTGACTGTGTCAATTTTTTACTGTCATATTTTTTGGGGGCTAGTATAATTCTAGTTTCACAAATTTTTAAGGAAAACATGTATGCCAAAGATTAAACAGGCATGCAGCTTTTCCAGGGTGACTGTTTAAGCCGATTTTAGGCTAACTTTGACAGATTTTTTGTAAAAAAAGAAACGAGTTTGACAGAAAATTTGACAGAACTGATTTTTTTGGGCAGATTTCTGGCGGAATTCTGCAAAAATGGAAATTTGACAGAAAAACAGCAAATTTGATGGTACATTTGTTTAAAATAGATTCAATCTTTTCAAACAAACCCTTGCATGATGGGACAGATTGGCTGGTCTAGGTACGGAGGTTCACTGGGAACCGGATTTTGTGGTGAGGCAACCACGTTTTGCCTGAAATTTACGCAATTTCGTAACTTTTTTTGTGACAATGGATTGTTACAAGGCAATACTACAACATCTGCTTGTGATTTTAAGTGTTTATAGCGCATTTCGAGTAATCTGGGAAATCTGGAAGATTTGAATAATTTTGACAGATTTTTGAAGTGCATTTAGCAGAATTTGGTCATGACCTTACGGTCACCCTGAGCTTTTCCTCTTTCCCATTCATTGTGCCACTCAAAGTAAAATTTTATTTGAATTTTCTTCACAGATATCTATGACTACTTCATTAATGCTCCAGCATGTGATGAGCAGCCTAACCGAAACTTTCGAAGCATCAGCGAGGGTATCAACTACCTAAACTCAGGATGGGTGGGCACCATCAAGCACCGCCATCATGAGGATGGATCAACTGTCATCTTGAGGGGGACAGTGAGATTTTCACAGCAAATCTCCAGCTATCATCAAGTGGAGATCAGTGTTGACAAAGAAAATAGAACAATCAAGTCTGTGAAATGCGACTGCATTGCTTCGGAAGGGAAATGTTGTAGTCACTCAGCAGGCCTGTCCTTCAAGATAAATGAGGCATACAAGAAAGGTTTCATCGGCATCACCTGTACAGACAGACCTTGTTTGTGGAATCGGAGCACTCAAGGTAACGTGGTGCCCGACAGTGTTGAAAACATGTGCGATCCAACCTCAAAGTCCACAATGAACAGTGCTCTTGCATTTGACACAGACGAGGCACTGAAAAAGCACCTGAACAGTCCACACATGTGTGAGCTCGCGTCCATACCGGGCACAATTTTAAATCAGGTGCTGACATCTACACAAACTTGCAAACCAGCCAACAGTGATCAGCCCCTCCCTGCTCATGGACATCATGATGTCAATCTTGAATGCGAGCCTTGTCAAGAAATTTTCAACAACTACATCCAGTTGAAAGACCACGAGGCAAGAAAACTTGCCTGTCAAACACACAATCAGAACTCGGCTTTGTGGACATCGCAGAGGAAGCTCCGAATTACAAGTAGCTCAGCAGCAAGTGTCCCCAAGAAAACAGAGACAGACCCAACAAAGTGGATCATGAATCACATCAGGCCACACTTCCTTGGAAATGCGGATACTTGTCACGGGCACACATACGAAGCTACTGCAAGGGAAGCCTTTGAACATCAATTTGAAACACTTGTAGAAACCACAGGTTTAGTTGTAAACCCAGAGGAAAGTTGGCTTGGAGCAAGTCTGGATGGAATTGTTGACGACAACACAATTTTAGAAATAAAATGTCCCACTGAGAGGAAGTTGGAGCGATATGGTGGTACTGTTCGAGGACTAGTGGAAAGTGGGACTTACGATGTTCGAAGTAGAGAAGGGAAATACTTCCTTCGTCAAAGTTCAGCAGCTAGTGGTTACTACACCCAGGTACAAATTGCCATGTACTGTTCGAAGCGACCCATGTGCAAATTTATGGTTTGGTCAAAGAAAGACTACGTTATAGCAGATGTCAACTTTGACAATGAGTGGTTTGAGCAGCGTCTAGGTCAACTGCGAAAATTCTACTTCAAGCATCTTTTGCCAAAGCTTACAGATTCAATAATTTCAAGGGAACTAAAAATTGTAAAACCAAGAATCTAGATGCATGTAAGAGGCTTAAACTGAAAACAATAAATGACCACTATTATGTGTCGGGGGAAAAAATTAGTCGATACATCACACTTGTTTAGTTGAGGACTGTGTTGACCGTGACTTTATTCCATGACAATATTTAATATTCATTGATTATGATCAACTGACCTGGATAGTACTAGTTTATATGAACTATAGCTCTACTGTAAAGTTTGAACTGCTAACTGGGTACTACATTGTATATGAGACTGAAGAGGAATGTGAAACTGAACTGCTACTGAGAAAGTGTGCTATTGATGCAGAGGTTAATATACTCTTCAGTATGCAATTAAAGAAAAATCTGTTAAGACACAACATTTTCACATTCTATATTGAACTATTCTGAAAAAAGCAATGTTATGCTAGGTTCACACATTCCCGAATTAGTTATAAATACAACAAAAATTAATCAGGAATTGAAATTGGCTCCTGAATCACCCCAACAATTTGAACATGTTCAAATTTCAAATTAGGTTTTGTCCTTCACCGACGTTTAAACACTGTATACTCGGTGTGTTTCCTCCCGAGTGAAAGTTGGAAAAAAGTTGGTAACACACTGAGTATACAGTGTTTAAACATCGGTGAAGGGCAAAACATAATTTGATTTATATCACCCCGACGCAAATTTCCATCTTATGAATGTTCAAATTTGTCAGGGCGCTTCCCGATCTTTAACCTTACAACCAAAATCATCATGAGGCAGCCAAGAACCATCCCAGATTTACTAAAAAACTGCTATTCGTGACGATTCGGCTTAAAAATGAGGAATGTGTGAACCTAGCATTACAAATCAATTTTTTAACAGTGCCATACTGCTTAATTTGAGGGGAAAGTGACATACACACGTAATAATGTACTCAGGATATCCGGTAGAGGCCTGGAGTCCCCCTTCATTTGTGTTGGTCATTGTGTTAACTGGAATCTGTAGATGTTTTTGAGGTACATGTACCTGAGGGGGATGTGTGAGGTAACAATGAATGAAGTATCATTTTATTATTACTTAATTATTATAACTATTTTATTATAACTATTATTTATTATTATTATATTTTTTTTGGGGGGGGGGGGGTGTGGCAAACACGGGTGTCCGAGACACTCCGAAACACACGCCAGATGAACAGTAAAATGGGGGGGGGGGGGGGGGGCTGTTCAAAACCCTTAATTTTTATGTGAGGGTTTCCTGTCTTAATAAACATTCACTGTACAGTACAGTAAAATATACTTGTATTGATTAAATGTTGTTTCTTTTCTTTTCCCTTTCAATTTTTTTTCTTTAATACTTGGGAGATTTAGTAAGGGGGGACAAATGGTGGGGTGGCAAGGAAGAACATTGGGGGATGCCCCTTGCCAATGTACAAAAAAAATACTTCAGCACAAACCTGATGATGTTTAATTATACTTGCAATGTACATGTACATGTATGACTTGAGAAGTTGAAGGTTTGCAGCCCGGTGGAAGGACAAATGCCTATGCTTTGCAGTAGCACCATGTTCATAAAGTCTAATCGCTTTTGTGACTACTACTGTACATGTATGTGTGGTTCTGAAAAGATCATGTTTTGTTATGTTACAGGTTGGAAAGAATGCTTTGTCTGTCTTCAGACTCCTGAAAATGGACAGCACACTGTCTAAAACTTTGTGTAACAAAACACATGTTGTTTTCAGAACCTACATGTAATAGCACAGTCACTAATTAGACTACATGCACATGTACATGTACTTGCTGCAACTGCAAACCATCTTTATGTCAAGCACATTCATACTTTCAAATCTTGTCATTTGTTTTGAAGATGGAAACACACATTCAAAATCAATTTCAGCAAAGTCATACATGTAAATGTACTTATTCCTCCACTGAAAAAACGTTTCCCTCCTCGTCATTAGAATCACTATCACTTGTTTCCTGGGCTCTGTCGTCATTAATTAGGCAAGGCTGTAAATTGCAAAGTCCAGCACATGTAATCAATATGTCATCTACATTTTTTACACGCATCGGAATGATATTGGCTAAAATTTTGAAACATTTCAATCGTCTGATTGCCCTTTCAACATGAATTCTTACGTTGGCAATACGTCGTGTTTCTGTCACACTTTCCTCTGGTAGACGCCTGTCCTTGAGTCCTCTTGTGAAGGCTGGGATAGATAACTTCACACCGTGTGGAAGAATATCTTCGATAGTGAAGGCACGGTCAGCTAGAACCTCGTCACCGGGGAGCAAGTGGTCCAAAAAGCCAGAGTTCCGAGAGATGAAAGTGTCACTGGCACGACCTCCAAATAATTTGGAAACATATGTCACCAAACCATTTGGTGCAATGCAGTACAAGGCCTTGTAGGTATTGTGATGTTTGTAGTTAGAATAAGTTTGGGCACGTTTTCTCAAGTTCTTGGGTCTCTGAACAAAGATTTCAGTGCAGTCTATGATGCAAGTAGCCTTAGGATGACAAGACTCGAAACATTTGGGACGTATCCTGGCAAGCGTGTCACGTGATGGCCAAAATATGACATTTTCTCTCATGAATGTAGCCAAACGTGGTACCCAGAAGGAGATAATGTCACAGACTGTGGAACGAGACACTTTGAAGCGTACTCCAAGATCCCAGATCATCAGGGCTATTCTTAATCTCATCAAAACAAGCAAAAGTTGGTCTGGCACTGGTAGTTGAAATTTAGGGGTGGTAGTAAGAGTCACTACAAGCGCATTCACAAGCGCCCAGAATGATCGCACGCTAAGTCCGGTGTAAAACTTCATATCAGATTCTTGAAGATTAACTGCTGATACTTCTGGAGCCTTGACTGTTTGCGTACCTTTTGCCTTGGATTTAGTGATAGGATTAACATGTGCATAAGTATGGTCAGCTACTCTGGCATCATACCACTGTACTGATGCATCCTTCGTCTCTAATCCTGCTGTTTGTACACATGTAGATGTTCTCTCAACACCATGCGGACTCATATTTGCAACCCCTCCAGCCTTTTCTTGCACTGTCACTGCTTTTGTTGCTGTGGAAACTCTTCTCCTAGGGGGAGGTCTTCCTCTTGAGAGCTGTTTCTGTAAAAAGAAAAGTAAACCTGTACATTACATTTGTTGTTGAATCCTCAAACCCCAAGTCCAAGCCCCAAGTTTTGAAACTTTCTGTAATTTCATGCGAGCCTAGGATCTTACATTGCCAAGAAATTAGAAAGAAAAAAAACCGACCTCAACACAACAAGAAACGTACATTTGTACGAGCACAACTTTTGATTTTTTTCGAGGTCACACAAAACGCTTGTATTCTGAGTCATGCACGTGCAAAATGGTAGGAGCGGATCTGTCCGGTAACCCGTACAATCATGTGCATCGAGTGTTTCTACAGTACTCTGGAGCATGGCGTTGTTGATGACACGTTCACGGGTCTAGGTCAGTAGGTAGCTGTTTTTTGTTATATGTAATTACAGATGTACCCAGTAAAATAGAATATTTGTATAAATTGGAGGAGTACTAGACAAGAAGAAATAAATGTTTCTTTATAAATATTTATATTTGTTGTGGGGGGGGGGAGATGCTTCCAAGAATATTTCTTTGAAAACCAACCACAAACTCCATACTGGGAACGAAACTTGACTATTAATTTACAGGACTACATGTAGCTTGATTTAGACTTACATAGGGGATATATCCCATGGCCACAGTTGGGTAAGGGTGAGCTGATGTTGGCTTCCCTTCTTCAAAATGGACAGAACATACCTGAAAAAAAAGAAACAAACAGACAGCAGATCAGTTGGTAAGTTGTGGACAAATTCTGACAAAATATTTTGGATGGGAGCAACCCATGCAACACAAACCTTTTTTGTACGGGGGCCGAAGCACTCAACAAACATGCAAAACATACATTAAAAATAAATTTGATTGCACTTGTCTTTACACTGGCATTTCATTAAAAAATGGCAATTGTGTACATGTATCTATGGACCCAGTTCCCTATAGGGAAAACATCCACTTTAAAATTATTAGACCGACCAAACTAGTTTGTGACATTAGGAAATAGGAATAAACCGGTACTCCATAGATAGAGGGCAATGTTTTGAATTTTTGAAGGGAAATTGGGGGGTAAAATGAAAATGACAGTGCAGTGACAACACGCAACCCGAAAATAAAGATGGCGATCACTGCGCGATGTACCGTGAACTCAAACAGCACTGAATTGCTAGGCACCAACTGGCAGAAAACCGTGCAGAAAAATTGTGATTTCTACCCCAAGAAACTCAGTTTAGAATTACAAAAACCTAGAATTGAGCGAAGTCCGCTCTTGATTGAAAATGTCATTTTGGAGCAACAACAAACATCTATGAGTATATGACACTAATTTGATCAAAACTAAACAGGGGCCCTTCACTACACGATTGCCCCCCCCCCCCCCTATTTTTTTGTTTAAACATACAATTAAATACATTAATTTCCCAGGCTATATTCATACTTACTAGTACCGTATTAGTAATATAAATAAAAAATGGGGGACATAATTTAAAACTCAAGCCACTGTCACTGAGTGGCAAAGACGCACCTCTACAAGGCCTACCACAAAAATTAAAAGCTGATTTAGGCCTACCCGTAAACCCATGTCCCAAATTACTGGATACCATTCCAACAATCATGACCAAACATGAAGCATGAATTGAAGTACCGTCTGATGAATTACACAGTCCTTCCCTGAAAAAGGAACTTACAGTGCTGTATTTTGAAGGTCTGAAGTCCTTTCGGTTGATATTCCTCACCCACTGCTTTCGATTGGCTGCGGAATTGGCGTTGGAACAGTTGGGGAAACGATGCATTTTGTACGGCTGTAAACACACACAATATTCGTGCGTTTCTGGTGCATGCAATTCGCATGTTGCAAGCTTCCATTTTCTCAGCTTTTTGCTTGTATTTTTGCAGCCAACGACGACACAGTGTTTTCCTGATCCTTCGTTATTCTTCTTCGTTGATTCTTTAGCCATAATGTTTTCAAGAATCCCGATAAAAGCCTAAAATTGGAGCTCGATACGCATGGTTCCAGTTCGTTCACTGTTTGTTGGCGTTGCCACTTACAGACACGTACACAAGCCCGTCGTTTAGCGGTTTTTAAAAATGGCCCCTCGGAATGGCAAATGCAACAGCGCCGCCAACGACAAAGGTAACAAAATTGTCTCCGTTGGATTCGTCTATAGTACTTTGGTTGCTATGCGCATAGTACTTTTGGCCGTGCACAGAAAGATAGCAAAATTAGAAAGTAACATGTGACTCGCTCTCGGCCAATCAAGACACAGAATCTGTGGGTGAGGCGTTATAATAAAACCTAGACACGACATTTGCTATTGCGCCTGTGAGCAAAATGCTGCGCGTATAGAGTAACTAAGAAGTATGCGCGTAAATCGAAGCCATATGCCATAGATATTTTAAGTTCTATATCTATGGCCATATGCATGACATTCGCGCATCTCGTAATTAAGCCGCGTGATGACGCAGCCCGTTTTGCTCGCCGAATTTACAACGTAAAAGCAGATAATGTCGTGTCTAGGTTTGATTATATGCCTATGGTCTATGCCCTTGAAATCATTATGGGAGTAATTGGTGACTTTTTATTCGGGGAAATGTTGGTTCCTGATCAAATTATTTATTTTCTTTAGGGGGGATTTACGGGAGAGAGGTTTAGACGTTGAACGTTTAAAGTCGTTCGTTTCACTTTAACAAATATTTTCAAGTTGATTTTTTTGTTAACACTTTTATCATCGTTTTCCTAAGGTTTGTCACATCCATAGCTCAACATTTATGTCGTTAGGAGGATATTTTCCTACCATATGCCCTTCTTTACATGTAGTAACTGGAAAGCACTCAGAGAGCACAAACCTCCGCCAAGGCTAAACAATTCCCCGCCATATTGTCAGTACACCCAAAAGAAATACTCGCATAAATGGTGAAGAATCCTTTTAAAAAATCCTACATCTAGACCCAGACCCGGATCACTTCCAAAATCTAATCGAGTTGTGTACTTGTACCAAGGACTACCCCTACTAAAACAAATTCACGCAAATCGTTCGGTAACTTTTTGAGTCATCTTGTTAACAGACAACCAACCAACCAACCAACCAACCAACCAACCAACCACTGAACAATGACTGCCGTTCCTTTCATTTCATGCGCCATCACTGACGTATAATAACGTTCATTAACATTTTTTCAGCATGAAATCCTTCAACTGTAACCGACATATGCCATCTGGGTATTACTATGTTTTCCTACTTGTGGCTTTCATCCTCCTCCTGATCTGTGCCGTCGTTGCCTCCTCTCAAGCTGACGAAAAGAGGTCCAAATTCCGCGATCCAGAGGTGGTCCGAAATAAGGAGTGAGTATCTTCTTACTGTAGGAGTCTTCAGGTTGGGGTTTTAAAAAGCTAATTGTTATTTTAATAATGGGAGAGATGTTAATTTATTTTTGGGTGTGACAGTTGTCCTTTTTGTAATTTTTTTGAAATTTAAGGCAATTTAATTTTAGATATTTGAGTGAATGTAAAGAAATAAATTTAGACAACAGTTACTTGCATTATTATGAAATGAGAAACTTCAATGTGTTTTTAGAGGTAGGCCATCGGCCTGGAGGTATATGGTCGGTATCAAATGAGGGGTATAATGATAGAGTGATTTTTGGCAAGGTATGCACCCCTGTAGTTGGAAAATATGTGAAAGCATTGCAGCGGTGGCAGCTTTTTGGGTGCTATCACTTAAAAAATGGCAGCCAAAACATGCTTGTTACCACATGTAATTAATCCGTTTCAAGCATATCGGCGGCCATTTTGAAGAAAAGTTTTTTAAAGTGATAACACCCAAAAAAACTGCCACCACTCACCCTACAAAGCTGTCACACATTTTCCAATTCTAGATGTGTATACCTTGCCAAAAATCGCTATGAACATTGTTCTTTTCGATCATTTGATACCGGTGGCCCAATTTTTGGACCGAAGCTGATAGTCTAAGGGGGGCTTGACAAATTCGAGAGTCATTGCCCACCCCTTCCCAGACCACACTTAAAAATCACCACTTTTTTTTCTTCTTTTTTTGCAAAATCCGAGAAACAACCACCACCATCAGAGACAGACATCAACCAGACAACCATCAACCATTCTTCCAGGCTGAACATTTGCTATTGTTTTGAATTAAATTCATTTGATTCAATTTAATTTAACTTCAGACCATCTGACTCATTTGTATGTTTTTGGTCAATCCAGTCAGTAAGCAGTTCACTAAGTCAGTAAGTTTTATGTTTTTATTTCCTTCTCGCAACAGGCATGTCCAGGAGCATCTTGACGAATTGAGGGGAAGTGAAAAACGAGAAGAGGACATGACGGACGAAGAGCTGGAATTCCACTATTTCAAGTATTACAATTATTTTATCAAAAAACCCTTAAATTTTCAAATTTAAAAAACAAATTTTGCAACATTTCAGAAATTGAATTTCTCCATCAAACTTTCGTTGAATTTAATTTCCTGATTGATATTGATGAGCATAAGCTCATGTCAAGTCATCAAATTTGTGCTGGCTTTGTTTTGTTTGGTTTTTGTTTGATAAATTTATTTTTTATTTTTATTTTGGAGGGGGGTCTGATTTGGAATTTTTTGGTTTTGTGGGTTTTTCAACAATTTCTTCATTCCTTGTATTTGTAATAATACTTGAATGCTTTTTCTGCTGTACTTATTTGAGCTAGGATCTATGGGAATACATTTTGAATTGCACTGAACAAAAATTTCAGGGGGGGGGTTCAGAAACAAACCACCAAACCAATTGACAAGTAGAAATACATAATAAACATCCTTCTTTTTCTTTTTTTTTGCTTTGTCCTTTCAGATTACATGATTTTGATAACAACACAAAACTGGATGGGCTGGAGATCCTTGCCGCAATTAATCATGTCTTGAGCGACGAGACGCTGGATCCAAGTATGACTCCTCAACAAGCAAAGGACGCCAGACTATTACAACACATGGGTAAAATGCGCTTATTTTGTTGCAAAAATGCAAGAAAATAGCTAATTTGCAAATTTTCCTTTCTCTTGGAGTGGAGTGCCGTGGCCTTGTGGTTAAGGGCATTGAATTCGTGCTCTGCGGGTAATGCTGCGGGTTGTGTGTTCGTGTCCAGCCAGGGGTTATGGTGCGTGTGCCCTTGGGCAAGGCACTTTGTCACTCATTGCTTCTCTCAACCCAGGAGTAAATGGGTACCTGTCAGGGCAGAGATGGTTAATGTGATTGAATTAGCTTGCTTGCACCTAACAGGCAGCATCGAGCTGTATACTCCCCAGGGAGCTGAGATGGTATTTGGAATGTTGCATTGGCCCAACGATCAGGGGTAATAATAATACTGTAAGCGCTGTGATTTAGTTTACTAATAAGAGCGTTCTTAAATGTCGATTATTATTATTAAAAAAATAATGAAACTAGACCACAACGTCAAATAATAGATATTCACTTCCAGAACCAGGTAGCCTTTTGAAGTAAAACACGGTTACCCTGGTACCCATAAAAGACGGTCTTATCAAAACTGAAGTTGTCTGAAGGGCTTTATAGCTTTACAGTGTAAACTGCAACTTTCGCGAGTGTCTGTTGAGTGTTTAACGCATAAACGTGAAATCTTTTTTGGTTTTCCATGTAGCCCTGTTTTCATTTTGAATATTCCCCACAAATGGCAGTGATAACCTTTTGTTTTTCAAAAAGTTACTAAGTAATTGGTAAATTTGGTTATGGGTACGCGATTCCATAATCTGGAACCAGTTCCTTGCATCAGGGGTTGGGTACTCGGGTGCCCGGTTCTGATGCACAGCCCTATTACTGGAGTTTGAAGTCCATCTTGGTACTTGGTACTTGGTAGAGTAATCCCATCGCAACCCAATTTGGGCTAAACTGGGATGTTGTGCAGATAGAGGTGACGTCAACAGCCATATGGATAAGGTGCCAAAAGTGAAAACAAAAAGAAAAGGAAATAAAAGGTGCACTTTTTACAAGTGAAGAAGAAAGAATTTACGGGACAGTGTTGCCATACAGAGGCTGCATTGCTTTGATGGCAGGGATGGCTGGTGTTCGGAAGACCTATACGGATGGGGATATGTGTAGAACGGCAGATGGTGGAAGCCTGTTCCAAAATGGCATAGTCCTTGGGAAAAAGGCGTATTTGTATGCATTGATAGTTGGTATGATGAGAGAGGTGTATGTGAGTGGATGATCGATACGTTGTGAAATATGTGTAGCATGCTGGAAGCACTTTGAAAATGTAATGTTGACTAGGTTGTAGTGGATTTTATAGTACAGAGTGCATTGTTGAATCAGGCGACGGGTGTGAAGCAGATCCCAGTTGAGTTGTTCTATGAGTGGTGAGATGTGAGTGGTTGTGCGGTAGTCAGAAAAGACAAATCTGGCAGCATTCTTTTGGATCTGCTCAAGGTGATTTATGTCACGAGCCAATATGGCTCATCAGGCCGGCGTTTATCTCCGGTTTCCTAGGCATGAAACGACAGAGGATATTTCTATCCCCCCTGGATGGGATGATAGTCCATCGCAATTTACTCCCCAGCTAATGCTGGTACCCATTTACACTCCTGGGTGGAGAGAGGCAAGTGGTTTGCCCAAGGACACACATATAGCCAGCAGCTGGATTTGAACCCCTGACCCTCTGATCACGAGCCACAAACCCTAACCGCTACTGAGGCCCCACTCTCCCTAACTAACTGGAGTTAGTTAAGCACCAGAAATTAGTTGACTCAAGAATCACAAAGATTTCATAACAAAGCTCTTGGATTTCTCTTTACAGAAATGATAGACCAGGTGCTAGCGGAAGACGATTTCAACAACGACGGCTACCTGACCTACCTAGAATTTGTCTTGGCCAGAAGAAGAGCAGAAACAGAAGCTGAGAAATACCAAAAAAAGAAGGAATAACAACAGTTTCTGTAGTCTGCAGTATTTGTTTTTCTGTTTATTGGTGTATATTAATTAGGTGTTTTCATTCTAAGGAAATGTGTAAAATGCAAAATACCCTTATTGCTCTTTACATGATAAAACAATGAATACACGTCACTTCCACTAACTATTCAAATGCAATTGTCTCTTGGTGATGAGTACAGCTGTGTTTGTTTTTTACTACTTGTAGAATTAACAGGCTTCAAGCCTTTCTAATTCGGGCGATTCACAATGCAGTGCGCCACCAAGAATTTGCCACGGAGAGTTCATTTTTCCCAGTGCATTATGGGAGATGGTCGACAAATTCGCAGCGCGGGACATTTGAAATTGTTAGTTTTTCCGGCCAGAAAGTTCGTAAGCGTATGATTCGAGTATATGTTTGCCCTTTTCTTTTCGTTTTATCAATATGGAGGTTTTTTGCCCCAATCTATAACAAATTAGCTCAAGTTTTCTACTGACACTCGTTCAAATGGGCCATGTTTTGTCGACCATGACCTTGAAAAACGAACTCTCCGTGGCAAACTCTAATCGCCCGAATTCTAGAGTAGTTTTCAACTAGCAAATATGAAATAATACAAAGTGTTCATGGGAGTTACTGAGGCACGGGGGAAAAAAATCTGCTTTTCTTTACACACTTTTTTTTTTCATTAAATGCATAATAAAAATTTCAGCTAAAATGTTTAACACTTTCGCTTTCATTTTTTGTACACTCCTTTTACATCGTTTTGAATTAACAAACACACAATATTTACCACTTGGATCAGTTGTGGACATGAACTGTCTGAAAAGATTATCACACATGAAAGGCAAGTTAGGATATTATTTTGTGGCTTCAGAGCCGGGCACAATTTTGTGGCTCTGCTAACCACAGAGTTCTGCGCTTACGATCACAATTCTGTGCTTACAGCGCTAGCCAAGAAATTCTGAGCAAACCACGTGAGCACACTTGTGTTTTACGTTACATACCTAGTGTGGACATTCCTTTGTTTTCGTGAAAAACCTGTGACAAGAACTCATTTTACTCACACTGTGAAACCTCTTTCAACTCATTTTTTTTTCCTATGATTCCCTTAAGTGTTTCTCTTCATTTTGCCACGGATAAACCTAACCCCAAAATGCCTCTAAACCTGTTTTCCAGAGAGGGGGGAAACACTGTGTGGACGTGGGCAAGTCCACACGTGGCTGCTACCTGGTTTATGTGGACATCTTTTGTTCGGAAGTCCACACAGTGAATGTAATGCTTGTACAGAATGCTTAGTTACAGGGGTGTACGCAAGAACACAAGCCAAAATACGCTAACCGTACGCAATCTATTTTTCACTTAAGGTAAGCATAGCCATGAAATTGGGCCCAGAAAAAAAATCAATTGTCACAAAATTCTTAACCTGAAACCGCGTAATTCCATTAAGAGCTGCATCATGATATTAGCATAACTGCCTACAAAACTACCGAGATATTTTGAAAGCAAATGATGATAGCTGAATTTTCCAGAAAAATACTAAAGCGTTTTCTTCCTAGCTTATGTCAATTTAAAAATGAAATGACAAGTTATGATTCATAGCTATCACTTGCTAGTGTGTTCGGTCGAACAGGCTGTAAGGGCTTAAAAGAAAATGAAAAGGCAAAAAAAAAAGTCAGTCTCTGGTCAAACCAAAGTTCCGGAATGGATGTGGCGATGCAGGTTTTTTTTTCAAGCTTAGATTGTACAGACAAGGTGGGCACTATTTTGCTTGTTTGTGTCCTCATATTCCTTAGTGTCCTCCATCATTTGCCTTGGTGCCCTCCATTTGCCTTTGTACCCTTCCCCAGGTCGAGCTGTCCATGAAAATTTGAGGTGGTGCGGCAATAGAGGGTGCTATTGTAGCTACCGCAGAAAATTTGAAGAAAAAAAATTAAAGAGCATGATTAAAACCGACGCGCACTGACCAGAGACCGACTACTACACAATATGTATCAGAAATTGATACCTGAAGTTTACAGAAAAGCTTAGCTTAGTTCAATTTAAAAATGAAATGACAAGTTACGATTCACAGGTATCAGTTGCTGGCGTGTTCAGTCAAACAGGCTGTAAGGGCTTCTCGGTGACCACTATGCCTTTCTCGTAAAAAACCTGCGCCAATTCCACTTGCTGAAAAAGAAAAGAAAAATCAAAATTGAAGTCTTATATTAACAACCTGTGCACAAATAAATTGTGTGTTTACGGTAAAACGACCTACCTAGATTGTTTTGGGCCTACTTGCCGACTTCATACTTTCTTTGCCACATTCCGCTAAGCATAATTATGGGCTAAGCAGGAATCACCGGGGAACCAGTCACAAGCCATGTACAAGGCAGGCAGGTTTGGCTGGTAACCTAGTGCTGCTAAGCATATGGTTTCTGTGCTTAGCAAATTTATATGTCTAGTATCTCTAGTTTTTAATATTATTATCATATTTTTAATTTAATTCTTATTTTAACTGGGTAGCCCATACAGTGGAATCCATTGGTCTCCCATGGGGCCCAGTAAAGAGAAGACAATGTGAAGAAATTACAGTTTGAGACGTGGGAGGAAAACCTCAGAGGAATATTCTGCGGAAAACCCACGGAATCCAGTACCAAAGCCCAATCCACGTATTGGCCCAGGCAGGAATCGAACCCGGGTCACAGCAGTGGAAGGCGAGGAAAGTACCGCTATGCCAACCTGACTCCCCAAAATTCTAAGATTTGTGTTGCCCCTCTATGTGAAGACTATTTCTTTAAGTGCAATATTAATGGTGAATTGTTTTGTTATTTTCAAGAAAGTGCTGTATAACCTTGCTTGAGACTTATTGTCTTTTAAGTGGTTTTTTTTTTTTTTTAAGTGTTTATGTTGTTTAGCTTTTAGTGATAATGCTGCGTCCAAAATTGAACTTGTAGTTCTCACATCTCCAAAATATACAAAGAAATGCCAATAAAACACAGTACTGTTTTATGAAATCTCAACGTCCCGGTGTAAGTTTTTCAATTATGTCGTTTGTTTTTATATGCAATGGCATGAGAAAGATTTGAAGCACATTTAAAATTTGAACAACCTAAAAATAGTCCATCCCACCCTATCTGGTATTGTGGTAAAAAATACTAAAGTTTGCAAAGTTTTTCTCCCAACAGATATGAATTTGAAGGTTTTATTTAAACAGGAAAAAACCTAAATTTTCTTTCTATTTTGAGCATCTGCAACTCAAAACAAAAAACAAATTCATATTTTGTTGCTTTTGCGCCTTTAATGCAGCTTTTGCGCCTTTAATGCACAAAAAGATCCGCCTTAATTAGTTTTTGGCTGAAAATATATGGACATTTGGAAACCAGTTATTCCATGACTAAACTTGATCAGCTTTTTCCTTTCAATGTCTTAAGTCAACATTGAGTAACATGTGCATTGCTAAAAAAATAACAGTTCAAGATAGCAGTTCAAAACAAGAGTTTAAATTGCTCACTTTTCCAAATTTAATATCCTTTTCTCATCAATATTTGATTCTGAAATTCACTTTTGTATGAATTATTGTCAAAATGTGACAGATAAGACAAAATGTGAAACATCATATATGCATTTCCATATTACAGCTAAATTCTGAAATGAAAACTTGCCGTCTGCTTATTGCAGCAGCTGTGCCATGCCTGGCTTATAACAACAACATTAACCATTCGAGCGACTTGACCTGAATGCCCAATGCATGCAACAGTTTTACTTATAGAGAGTACCAAGAGTAATCCACGCGAACACAGCCAACAATAACATGGGGAGAGCCTTTCAATGGTAGAGATTGCTAAATAGTTGCAAGAGACTTCACAAGTCCTACCTTGTCTTTCCAGTCGTCAACTAACGGCAGACTGCCGACAGTCGTAAAGGCAGGGTAGGTGTGCAGCAGGAACTCCACAGCTGAGGCAGCCTGAAAACAAAAAGGCATTTCAGGTGAAACAATTGCCATTATTTTGGAACCCATAAACAAGGACGGATCCGGGGGGGGGGAGCAAAATCTGGCCAGGTAAAAAAAAAAAAAAAAAAAAAAAACCTGAATTTTATTTCATCAAATAACCAGAAGAGGAGTGAAGATATTTAATTATAGATCAACGCAACTCATCCTCTTTAACCTTAACAACTCTGTGACAAAAATGACAAATGAACATTTTACAAATATGAACCAAGCAGCAAAGACATATCTTCTTCTATCTTTTCAATTACAAACAAATTGTAATAAATCAACGCCAAGTTTGATAGTAATTCCAGGGTTAGGATTTATGAGATTATCTCACCTCCGCAGGTATTTCAACAAACTGTGGCTCCTTGCTGTGATACACTCGTGAGTTCTCCAATGTGTGGTAAACACGGACTTGGTCATCTTCGACAATCAGTCTGGATTCATACAACAAAATCAGACCCAAAAAAATGAAAATTTTGTATTTCAACTGGATGCCACGTTCACTTGAAATTGATTCTTCGTATCAATTCCTATATGCTAAGTAATGCTCCAGGCGTGGATCCAGAGGGGGGTTTTGGGGGGTCGGAAACACCCCCCCCCCCCCCCAGCTCTGACTGAAATTTCTTTTTTTGTATAGAAATTCATTAAAAATGATGTGAAACATGTCAGTTCCTAAAACACAGTAAAGATTTAGTTAAAGAGGTTGTGGAATGCTCGAAAACATTTCCGTCATTTTTTGGGTATATGTAGCCTAAGGTGTGATGAAATAAAAACGACTATTGTTTCTGTCATGAAATGAGTACAAAAGGTACTTTTGAGAGCTATTTTTCAGGTCCTGTTTCGACCCGAACGTGCAATTTGTGTAAAAGTCGTCGTTGCGGGCAGCAAACAAAACACAGTAAATTGTGACGTAATAAACAGGACTCGTTTATGCTACTCTGCATCGAGAGTCCTGTTTATTACGTCACGATTTACTGTGTTTTGTTTGCTGCCCGCAACGACGACTTTTACACAAATTGCACGTTCGGGTCGAAACAGGCATGACAGGACTTGAAAAACAGCTCTCAAAAGTACCTTTTGTACTCATTTTATGACAGAAACAATAGTCTTTTTTATTTCATCACACCTTAGGCTACATATACCTGAAGAACGACGGAAATGTCTTGGAGCATTCCACAACCTCTTTAATATATTGCAGTGATATCATCTTTTTTTTTATTTTGAAGATCAGACAAATTCAGCAGAAATCTTACCTGACCACTCCCCGTCGCACTATTCGGATCTGTGTGTCCTCATCTATTTCTACTTCATTTGACACGCTCCCGTTGTTGCACACAGGTCCGTTGCCAAATATGCTGCATGCATGCTCATCTAGTTCAGCAGAAAATAACATTAGACAATATTCGAAGATTAAAAATACTGCAAGTGAGACTTGCGCAATCCCCCTGGCATGCTGGCAGTTTTTTATAAAGTCAGTTTCCCTAACCAAAACGGAAGATTTCTATTATTTTAGCAATAGTGACATTGACCTTTGACCTGTCAGTCCGAAAGTCAAAAGGCTTGATAAGACTACCAAGAGCAACCCACAAACCAAATTTGAAGTTCCTCACTAAAGTATTTTTGAAACATTCATGCTGACAATATTTCCATTGTTTTAGCAATATTGTCCTTGACCTTTGACCTGTCGGCCCCAAAAGCATCAGTCTTCTTAAGACTATCAGGAATAACCCACAAACCCAATTTCAAGTTCTTAAGTAAAGTATTTCTCAAGTTATGGCGTTGACAAGATTTCTTTTGTTTTAGCAATACTGACCTTGACTTTTGACCTGTCGGCCCCAAAATCGATAGGCTTCTTAAGACTATCAAGAACAACCCACAAACCCAATTTCAAGTTCCTAAGTAAAGGATTTCTCAAGTTATCGTGCCGACAAGAGTTAATCTATGTTATTATTGTGTCTATTATTCTAAACAATTAATTTTGGTCTTGGAAACAATATAATATTGTAGTTAAGAACCTTGGGTCAGTTTTGGCGGCAGACTGTCGTGCATGGCTCCCTTAGCCATCTGGTCAGCGGCGTCGTCCATTGCTGCATATTGGGCTAGCTTTATCATCATCTCACCAACCTTCTTGAGAAAGGCTATTCTCCGAGGGTCAGTCTGAGGACAAAAAAAAAAGATGACCAATAATAAATAATAATAAATCTGACAGCGAGAAATCATTCTGCAATGAACAGAAGGGCAATTCCACGGTTACTCACGTTACATTTTCGTAACATGAGTAACCGATTTTGTGCGTCTTGTTTATCATGCATAACACATTTTTCTGGATGTCATCTTTGGTCCTTAGGTAGGTCTCGGTCTACTCTATCTACCATGGGGATAACAGTTGTTAAACCTTTTTAGTAAGGTAATTACAGCCCAAGGAAACTCAAAAGTACATCAAAAATGTAACGTGAGTAACCGTGGAATTGCCCAGAAGCATGATACATAAATAAAGACTAATCCAACAAAGAAAAGAAGTTGCCATTATTGTAGTGGCACCATGTGAGCGAATGGTACGTGTGCACATGTGCAACTTCAATCGAAATGATTTTTTACATCAAACCCAAGCCTCATTTTAAGAATGCGCACTACATGCATGTACTTAAACGTAGTGCCACCTCATTACTGGCAATCGCTGGAATAGTCTATAACCAGGTTTTGAATTGAAAAAGTAATCTACATGATGCATCCAGTTGGATTGGAACCTTGGTCAAAGTACCGGAAGATGTGAAATGAACCAATGTACCAAACCTATTGTGTGTGAAGTGTTTCTATTGATAAAAAAGGCAAACTTCCTCGTGGGGCTTCTTTTTAAAGGCATTTAGGATCATTTGCTCTTCATGCACTTTGTTTGTTTCCAGTAATAACACCACTCAAAATACAAAGAAGAATTATCAAAACCTAATCAATTGAAGTTTCAGCTCAGTGGATATTACACATTTCGAGAAAAAAATAGTGAAAGCACCACCTTTTGATCACGAAACACAATTTCATCAATAGCACTCTTCATTTCCAAAAATCAGTCCACTGACTGATCGTTGGAAATCACCTACATTTCTTGATTTCGTCTAAATGACAGCGAGCCAGACGGAATAATTTCACGGGGTGTTTCGTACCAGTACGATCTTTAATCCAAGTAGCTTTTTGATTATAATTTTGTAGGTTTACTAGGTTAGTTTTGGGATAAATGCAAATGATCCTATATATGCCCTGAATGGTGTCCAAAACAGTAGTTCTTTCGACCATGCCTTTAACCTGATTTTGCCATTCCAAATTAAGTTGAATCATAAATTTATGGCCTTATTATGTGAAAAAGTATCACGAGTCTTGTAAAGTGTTTTCCTGAAATGAGCATTTCAAGTTTTATTGACCTTGAAAAAAAATGTACCAGTTGACATTTTGTGTGTTTTTTAAATAATAACAAATACACCGCATTGATGATTCGAAGAAAACAATTGTGAACTGATTTTATGAAATTAGTCTTTCGGACAGTTTTTGAATTCTTAGTTTTTCATTAAGCATACCAGTCCTTTCAGTTTGAAATATCTACTTTTTAACATCCTTGTGTATGCAAATGCATGTAATATGTGAGTAAAAATGTAGACCATTCCTAACGCTTTCTGTTTTGCAAGATTTATCAAGAGAAATATGCCTATTTCTCAAAACTATCTCTGAATAATTTGGTTGGGTTGAGTTCCAATTTTGGAATAGCTGTGCACTTTTTGAAAAAATATTTTAGATTTTTTTTTTTCTAATCTTGTGAAAGAATAATAATTATTATTATTATTATTATTCTTGGTTTATTAAAAAAAATCAACTTGGTTGCCAGAGGCAAAATTGCATTGAACTCACAATGAGTAAAAAAAGTTAACAATAAAAAGTTCAGCTTCATTAAAAAGAAATTAATATAGATTAAACATGGACAGAGTATTGTACAATTTCAAAAATATTACACATGTTCACAAGAACTAAAAAGGTTGCCAAAGACAAAACATGCAATGAGTTAAAAAAATAATAGGGAGTACAGACAAAATACACAGGACACAAACCTTATTGCACAAACTTACAGAGGTGGAGTGTTGAATTGTTATAGAGAGTATTTTTTCGGTAGTTGAACAATGAATGGAATTACACTGTTAAAATACATTTAAAAAAAAAAAAAAAAAAAAAAAAAAATCAAAAAATTTGCCATTATTATTATCCCAAAAACCAAACAAAATATCTATTTTTGGAGTAAAAGTATTTTACTCCAAAAATGACTTTTACAACATCTGCCTAAATTTTTCTGACAACAAGCGACCTCTCACCGATTCCGAGTTGGCAATGCCTGTATACTGCATGTAATCCCTAGGGAGTGACTGTCGTAGCTCAGGGTCATTACTCAGTGCAGCCTGCAGCGTCTGGGGCAGGAGTTTCTCCAGCAGATCCCCCCACGTGTTGCGCTGGCACGTCGACAACGTCATGTGCAGGGAATGGCTGTCTTTTGGTGTGGTTGCCTGCATAGAGATATCAAATTCTTACACCATGTGAACAGGACTGACACTCTGCCACTCACAAAAGGCTTGAATAAAAATCTTCTTACTCTTCCCATGCTCTTAGAAATATTTGATTTTTCAAATGAAACACAAAGGGAAACTGACTGGGTGAATTATAACAATATTCTGAAAAGTTGAACAAAGAAATTGACTGGAGTGGGGCTTGAACCTGCGACCTCCGGATAATTGTTCCGGTGCTCTACCAACTGAGCTGTCCAGCCTTATGTTGGTGGTTCCCCAATAAGTCAATGGTTCATTTGAACATTTGTAATAAAAAGCCGTATCCTCTCTGAGTGATCCCCATTTTCCATGTCTGCTATTTCACAAGTCCACATTGTGACTTTGGGCATGATCAAGTCCCTGGCTGCAAGGCTCGTATGGGTTTATGGCTTCTGAATAGCTGACTGGCGCCGCTTGAACATAAATATTGACATATCAAGTATTGGGGATATTAATAATATTATCGATTTTAAATAGGGAGATATGACATATAAATGCCATTGCTGCCATACATCCATCAAAACCGATGTGAAGACGGTACAGCTTTGCGCAAATTCCTGGCAGCTGAAAATTAATTTCACCCTCCCTCTCTGGCTGGCAACTTCAACAAAGCCATCCCGGCAGTCAAAAGTGACTGTGTTTAACTGATAAGAGCTCCCTTCCTACATAAACCAGGATTGATATATACAAGTTGACTCACCTGGTGAATTGTCCCTCTTGGGAAATACAGCAGATCACCAGGCTCCAGGACGGTGTCAAATATTGGCTCACCGATCTCCTCTTGGGTAAAGTTAGCTGGTCAGGAAGCAAATGCCACAAGGAAAGCTTATGAGTGCAATGGTAAGAATAATTACATGCGGTGGCAGATGGAATGTTCCATTCCACGAGGTGAAGCCAAGTGGAATGGAACATTCCATCCGTGCTTAAAAGCAATCCCTGGTTCCATGTACTAACCGCCCTTGAGGTGCAACTTATTCAATTACAGTCCAAGCTAAGAGCTGCTAAGCATCAAAATTTCCTAAGCAGAGAAAATATTCGCTTAGCAAAAACAGATCACCAGCCAAAATGTCATGAGATGTCTACTGCTTGTCACTGGTTCCCGGCTGATTTTTGCTAAGCACGTAAATTTGCTAAACGAATTTTCAGCTTTTGGACCCTGGTGTTTTCTTTACAATTTTCTCTGCAAGCTTACCACTTGAGAATCTGGGCAAGACTTCTTTGGAGTTCTTTGGGCTGTACAATCTCCAGTGTTTCTTGCCTTCCAGCTGCAAGACGAAGGCCTCAATGTCATCATAATGGGGAGCAAAGCCTTGGGAGCCAGCCGGGGTCAAGTATCTGTTATCAAAAGTATAATGAGATTTGAAGAATGAAATAAACAAAGAGTATTCATAAGGTGGAATTTGTGTCAGGTAATGTACATTCAATAGTGGGTTTTTCCCTTCACCGACTTATTTTTGTAAACATGGGATGTCAGTCCATCAGAGGGTTACTCCCCAGCTAATGCCAGTACCCATTTATACTCCTGGGTGGAGAGATGCAAGTGGGGGTGAAGTGGCTTGCCCAAGGACACAACATATGGCAAGCAGCTGGATTTGAACCCCTGACCCTCTGACCATAAGTCACGAACCCTAACCACTAGGCCACACTCCCCCACAATGGAAGGAGCCCAAGAAATCAACCAATGCTCTGATCCAGATTTCAGCCATAAGCCCCGCCCACCTTTTGTTTGTGCACATCTCTCACAATGCTTGTCGCAAACTTTGACTGAGCTATACTGTGGTCAGCTGACCAAGACTTGTGATCTCATTGGTCAATGGTCAGTGTTTGATTGATAAACAGGAAGGGTCTATTAAAACCAATCAATTTTTTTGAAGATGAGACACGGAAAATTCTTACATGTTCGCCCCAACGAAGCTTCCAAAGTATTCCTGAAGCATGGAGTTGAACTTCCACACTGCATCGGAATATGACTGTGGATTGAGAAACCGTACTGAGCAACCAGTCTGTGAACAATAAAAAATAACGTATACGGTTATGGCAGTCCTTCTCATTGGCCATCCCAGCAAAGAAATTGTGCAATCGAGAGCCCCTGTAGGGCTGTCCCGAATATACCAAAAATAAATTTGCAGGCTTGAATATTCGGGGAAAAAACACTTTGCACGAGCACACACGACTGTGATGTTATTTTAATTCTAAACTTGAGGTGCTTTATTGTCAGATGTCACGTTTTTTTGTCAACGGTGGTTCTCTGTTCCCATCCTTTAAAGGGAATATACAACATTTGCAAACATCAAAAAATAAAACTACCAAGTTTTTACGAAATACCTTACTAGGATGTTGGTAAATGACAGTCTAAAGCATCCTGTAAAATTACGGCACCTGGTGTCAAGTCATTTTCAAGAAAATGGTATTTTTGTATACATTTCCAACGGTGGTCGGCCGACCACCGTTGGAAAAACCTAACTATTTTTGAACTACTGCTCCAAATTTACAATTTTTTTCAGTCCAAATTTTGTTTGCTATTGGTTACATGTTCATGAACGGGTGCAGGCCAGCTAGACTGGTTCCCTTACCTTACAATTTTCCGACATCTATAAATTGATCCATTTTATCTTTAGTGGAGTCAGGGAACCAGAATACTTAAACAATTTTTGTTTTCCGCGGTTTTTCAAGCATTTTCGAACACAAAACTTCAAACATGTCACTTAAACAATATTTGATCTATTATACTAACCCCTCAAATAGTTCATTTCTGAAAATTAAAGCAAAAGCCAATGATGTACATTCCCTTTAAGCAGGTTAAAACCCTTTACATTTATAAAATACCTACTTTAAAACACTACAGCCGTCCATAGTATAAATCGCCAAATTGCATGCAAATTTTGACCGGCGTGGCATGCAGTTACAGCTGGCGTGTGTAAAACTAGATCAGAGAGTTTTACATAATCAAATATTTGGTGAAACGCCGTTCCGAATAATCAAGTATTCAATTATTCAAAAACGGACAGCCCTACGCCCCAGAGGGAGGGAAACACTTCATCCTGCCCGTGTGCTGTGAAGAATTACGCATAACTAATGCTATTTTGAACATACACGTCCAGTTCATCCGCTCCGGCCTTGTGCACAAGTACGCCTTCAATGCCGGAACAGGAAAGTTGAGGGAGACCTAGACTGGTTTCCGGTTCATCCACTGCGTAATTCAAATGATCCAAAGTTGTTGGGGGCGGGGATTAGTCTAGGAGAACATTGCAAGTTTGATTTGAACGCATTCGCGCGCAGACGCCACACAAAGATGCTGTGGCTGATAGCTTTGGCACATTCAGGAGGTCATGCATACTTTGAGCGCAAACCAGTACGCACACGCTCGGTGTCCCGTCCAAAGAGATCTCAAAAGTGGCAAAAAGGCACCCTCTTTTGTTGGCGCACAGAGCCCATAGAGTCTCCGTGAGAGCATCAGGTGTTGCAAACAATGCATTCGAATGTCCCTCCCAGTGGTCCCCCAACTCTCTCTTTTGCAACCATTGAGGGGGTACTTGTGCACAGAGCCCATATCCGTTGAAATTTGCAATGACTTTCTGTGTGTCATGCTCTAACTTTTTGAAAAGTCAAAATTCGTCAATTGAAATTTGTAATGACTTTCTGTGTGTCATGCTCTAATTTTTTGAAAAGTCAAAACATATCAGAATTATCGGACTGAAAAGTAGGTGATTTCCCAAACTGCAAACCTTATAGAAGTCCCAAACCACAGGTGCATGAGCTCTACCGACAGGGTTATGGGTCTCCCTCTTGCCATCGGTGTAGGTCGTCACATCGATGTTGGTGGTGAATTGGAGGTCATTCTGAAACCCACACGAAAAAACAAAAAAGCTTGTAAGACAATTATACCAAAAGCGGTAATCTAACTGGTCAACGTTTAACCGACAAGAAGGAAGGGTTAATTGTGAAAAGCCAAAATATTTAGCATTCCAATATCATGCATGAGACTCAAACTTCTGGAAAATGTTTTTGATATTGACCAACCTCTCGCAGGATGTTGTGGAGTTCTTGAGAGCTGAAAAGGTCAGAGTTGTAGTCCGGCATGTGTCTCTTCAGTAACAATGGCTTCTTCTCCCATAGACCACTGGGGACAGACAAACCAAAAACAGGGACACAAACATGAATATGTCTTTACCAATTCAAATAAATCATAATTTGAAATACAAAACATTAAGACGGGCTGATATTCTGATCTAAACAACATCTTCCTCACAGGCAAAATGACAGAGGTACAAGAAACAAACATGTAGGGACTCACAAGCACGCAGGTTTGGGAGGAGAAACACACAAATTAGGGGAATAAACCCAATTTCATGGTGCTGCTAAGCACACAAAATTTGCTTAGCACAAAAAAGTCTGGCTTATAAAATCAGGTTACCAGCCAATACTCCATGTGATTTTCAAGCTAAGCAAACAACAGCTGAATACTAATCACGAGCATTATACATCACATGGCGTTTTGGCTGGTAACCTGCTTTTATAAGCCAGACTTTTTTTGCGCTAAGCAAATTTTAGTGCTTAGCAGGGCTGTGAGATTGGCCCCAGTGTTGGTGAAGATCAAAGGGAATGGAGTAGAAGAGAGAACAAGGAGTGCGTTGATGGGTAAGGGACGCAGGTGTGGGGGGGGGGATATACAAGGGGAAAGGAGTGTTTGAGTGTTACTAGGAAAAAGAAGGAGGGTAAAAGAAGGTGAGAATTGGGGAGTAGGAAAACAAATTGATGAGGCAAAGGATGGCAACAAAGGGGGAAATAAACCCCAAAATTAAGACGCAAAATGCTTTCGAATACGCCTAAAGACTTTCGCGTGATAATTTAATGCCTTGTCTTTTTTCTGACCTGAAGAAATCCTCCGGTGTGACTGGGTTGATGAGCCACTGGAACAACTTCTCGGCTTCCACAGCGCTGTCTGTGCCTGGGGCGGGCAGTTCCTGCAGGAGCATCGTCACTGATGTTCCTGGTTCCTCGTGATAGCGAATGTCAGTCTAGAATGAAAAAAATTGTTTGATTTTAGATGCATCAAAGATGTACTGTCCATGTACTTAAAAGATTTAATGTTTTTCTCCAGACAAAATGTCCAACTTGCATGCTTTTTATTTTAACCCTAACCGCACTCAACCCATCAAAGCCCAACAGCAGGTTTTGTTGAAATCTGTTAGGATAGGTACAGTACCCCTAAACAGATGGTATTTTACATTGGGTTTTCCATGTGGGTGTTGGAATTTGCCAGAATGGGTACGGTTCCTAGTAAAGTATGCTAAGGAGTTAGGGTGTAAGAAGAACAACTTTTATTAAATCTTAGCATCTGCGACCCTCAGGAACAAGGCTTTTATTTAGAGATACTATCATGCACAAACGGATCTGCCCTGTGTTTAGACTGGTTCCTGATCCCTACATTATTGATTGTAATAAGGAGGCCGGAACAAGTCTACCTATCAAGAACTTAATTATTATTAGACTGGACATAATTCAACATTTGTGAAGCCATCAAGCTAAATAAGTCGTTTGTCGCGAATTTTTATTTAGAGATACAAGCCAAAATAGGGCCACTTCATCACATCACTTCATCACATCTCTTGGTGTTCCAATTTCAATAAGTTTTAAACTTAAGATGGTATCAGCATGCGGTTTTCACAGCAATAATGCCCGGATTGAGCTCTTTTCAAATCTGTAATAAAAAAAAAAAAATTGACTAGGGTCGACAAACAACTCAGGTAGCTTGATCGCATCACGTTGGGCTGATTTTTTTGGGTTCCATGTCTCAATCAATATTGAATAGCTTTTGAATGAAAAAATATCTATCTATAAATATCTTATCTATTTCTAGGGTGAAAGCCGAAAAGTAGCACCAACCAGCAATATATCTCAATCCTAACTCCCTAGGCCTTTTTGCTAGGATGTAGCCTCAATCCTGCAAAATCCTCCAATCGGCCTCATGGAAAAATAGCATATAGCCTCAATCCTGCAAATTCCTCCGTTATTTCTTGAATATGGTCCATGGAGGGGTGACCACTGCCTGAATCCTGCAAAATCCTGCGGCAGTGACTGTCAATATGTTGAGGCTTGGCCAGTGACATCCTGGAGCAGTACGGAGGATTTCAAGCATAATCCAGGCCTATATTTATAGTCAGGTGGCATATGGTCGGAATCGTGACCGACTGGTCCAAAGCACCAAACTTGGCACATAGATTATTATAGTCCTAGAGAAGATATTTAGAAGGGGTGACACCTGAAATTCTTTTGGGAAGGGTGCCTAATTTGCATAAATCGTTAATCCCTGCCGTGTAATATATTTATTCCCATATTTGGGTATATTTTTATTTTTTTATTTTTTTGAAAAGTGTATTTTGGTGATTCTACTTGCATATTCTTACTTCAATAACATTTTGTAAAACATATAAGTTACTGAATAATTAGGAGGACATAGTAAAGAACCAAAATTGCTACTATTTTACCCTAAAGTTACGCGCATTTACCTTTTCCTCAGATATCATCAACTAGTCTCGCCAAACGTGGGTATTGATGAGCTTCAAATTCACAATGTAACTTACTGGCATAGTTACCCTAACAAAACTAAGTTAGAAATCAATTGAAAATTGATAAAATCTTGATGTTTAGCCCAAAAGACCAAAAAAGGGGAGAAAATGTGGTGTCCGTAAATTGGGCTAGTACGGGAAGGGTAACGTAGGGACTTGAACAAGTTCAACGAAATCCCCCTAAAAAAGAGATTATTGTTGTTTACAATAATTTTGTCTACACCAAAACGTTTTCTCAACAATAATTTTGGGAATTTCCTTGAACTTGTTCCAGTGTTCCATGTTAGGCAACCCTTCACCTTCTTGTTAGCCTAATTTATAGGCACCTCGTTTTTTCCCAGTTTTTGTTTTCTTGGCTAAATATCACATTGTTATCATTGTTCACATGATTTTGCATAAGGTTTTAATAGGGTAACTGTACCAGTAAGCTACTTGGTGAATTTGAAGTTCATCAATGCTGATGTTTGGCAAGACTAATTGATGGTATCTGGAGACAAGGTAAATGCGCGCAATTTTAGGGCATAATAGTAGCCATTTTTGATCGTTACTATGTCCTCATAATTATTCAGTCACTTATATGCTTTGGAAAATGTTATTTAAGTAAAGATATGTAAGTAGAATCCCCAAAATACACTTTCAAAAAAAAATAAAAATAGAAATATACCCAAATATGGGAATAAATATATTACACGACAGGGATTATCGATTTATGCAAATTAGGCACCCTTCCCAAAAGAATTTCAGGTGTCACCCCTTCTAAATATCTTCTCTAGGTCTATAAGAATCTATCTGCCAAGTTTGGTGCTTTGGACCAGTCGGTCACGATCTGGACGAAAATTAGATCTAAGCCACCTGACTATTATGCATGGCTGAGCCAAAAAAACACAAGGTCCAACCCAAGACCTTGACAAAGTGCATCCTACGAAATCAGTAACACACTTTGGCCATGTCACGTACTCCTCCAAATTCACCCACTTTGGCAAAGAAGATTTAGAAGGATTCAGGATGGTTATGGTTATAATGGAAAGCATTCGTAAGAGAGGGTCAGTGTTTAAGTCAAGGTTTTTTCTTTTCCAACAAGTATGTTGAAAAATAAGCCGTTGTAGTATGAATTTTGCCTCACAATCATGACGATACCAGACAGTACAACTAGTCTAGTCGGTGTATGTGTGCTTGTGAAATGAAAAGGTATACTGAAATGTCCAAATATTTGCAAAACGGTCTTGGACCCGAGTCATTCCTTGGTCAAGCGTGTCCAAACACTCATCCTTACTCACTCAAATTGAATGTTGCTCTTGAATTTTAAAAAAATTAAACTTACTATTTGAGTGAAGCAAAATAAATTAACTTTAATTACTTAGTTGTTTAAAGCCAATCTTCAACATATTGGATTTTCTTGATTAAGAAATACTTTATTGTGTGGCTACATCTGGAAAATGAGATCAACTAAAAACCTCCCATAAAGCCATTCTCCCAAGGCATTTTTCCTCAAAACCTTTCTAAATCCTTCAAAATCCTTCAAAATGAGCCATTCTTTGTACGCTGCTGGACTGTACCTTCCTATGTCTTGAAAAATCCTCCAAACCTGTTAGATTTGATAGATCAAGGAGAGTTCCAATGAATATTTTTAGGAAGTCCCAGCAGCAACTCTGGCAACTTTACCTTGACTGGCTGCTGTTTGGTGACGTACTTCCGTTTGGTAGGAGGAGAGGCAGTTCCATTGCTGTTCTTTTTCTTTATACCCCTTCTGCCATCTAAAAGGAATACATAAGGCCAAAAAAATTAAGTCTCCGGTTTCTGGTATGCGCGCGCGTCGCTGTAGCCATGCGCGTCGGCAAAATGAAAACGTTTTTTTTTCAATGAAAGATGATGTCTCAAAACCGCCAAACTCACTGGTTTGACTGGAATCCTGCTGCTGCACAATTTTAACGTGTTTTTAGCTTGGGTTATGGTCGAGAATAAGCTTTATGTGGCCTCTCTGGACTCCCATATATTTGCACTATAAGTTTAGTCGGGCACCATTTGCAGTCATCAGCCGATATTTGAAGCAAAAAAATCAGGTAAAAAAAAAAAAAAGCCGCGTCGCCGCACCACTTTTTGGGCAAGCTCCATACCAGAAACCGGAGACTTTTTGGGGGCCTAAACATGGCTGTCTGTTACGTGTATATGGTGAAACTGCAGCCTGAACATTGCATTTGAGGGAAACATCTAAATGTAATTAAGAAAATAATTTGCAGGTGCACCACATGTGCAAAGCTCACCATCTCTTTTGTGTGGCCAACCTTACACCCGACAGTTAAAGTTACGTTCCCCATGCAATTTTCGGAGTTTCATCCTGAAAAATAGATTCCTTTTATAAATTGCTATTTTTCTAGCAATACAAAAGTAATTCACTTTTGAACGAAACAGTGACTGAAAAAAATCGGCCCATGAATTGAATTAGTACTTTACAATTTTGAATTATTGGCTGCCAGACAATAATTCCATTCTTGCGGGGTAGGCTGGTTCCTGCCTCACAATCAGTATCGATAATGTATGGACCAGGAGCCAGTCTGCTTGTAAAGCAGATCGGATCGGTTTGTACCAAGAGAACAAAACCTCTCTTTTTCAGAGGGTTGCAGACATCAAAAAAAGGGGGGAAAGGGCAGGTTTTGGGGGTTAGAATAAAACATAAATTTTGAAAATTATTAACTCTCCTGCTGCCTGAACAGTCACAGACAGATCATATTTCTAGCAAGGTGACTAGTCAAATTCAGTCAACAGACTAAGCAGGCAAGTGGTAGGCACAGCTGGCTTAATCCCATCAACAGTCAAAGCATAGCTATATCAAGTTACATAAATATTCACAGCCAGTCAATCCTGCTTTATGTAGGCTGGGGCTCTTAACTGTTAAGAACATCCACTTGACTGATTTGGATTGAAAGGACAACTTCGCACAGAGTGTATATTTGCATAGGAGGGTTAAACAATAAACAGGTTAATTAGCACTCCTATGCCAAGTCAAAATCAATCAGGTGACTGTTTTCAATGGTTGAGAATTCCCAGCCAACATAAACAGGATCTACTGGCTGGGACTGTTTAAGTAACTTGATACAGCTATGGCCAAGTTCGCGCAAGGACTATAGTTGACCAATGGTTAACTAACGTTTGCCCGAACTCTGTCTAGTCGACGATGGTTGACTACGCTAGTCGACTATTTGGAACCAGCCTACTGGGGTTGGTTGCTTCGCTGGTAACCAATAGCTGCGCGCATTCATAACGCTGGCAGAGAGCCAGGATCCAGAAGTTTTGCGATGACATTTTGACCAGCGTTTGACTAGAGACGTTCGCACGTTGCTATCAGTGCGCAGGCGCAAGGTACGTCACAAATCAACCACTAGTCGACTAATGGTCCTTGCCCGAACTTGGCCCAAGCTTTGACTCCGGGTGAGTGATAAAACAGCTGTAACCACAACTGACGCTTTATCTGTTGACCCAGTTTAACTGCCACAGTGCTTGCTTGACATATGATCTGACTGCTGGTGACTAGCCTTTGTTAAAAGTATCCGCTCCATTCACAAGTACCCCTTCACCGGCAAAGAAAGTACAGTTGGGGGTGACCGACCGACACCATCTTGCCTGACTGCAATTTTGCCGCGACGCGCGGCCGTACCATGTACCACTGCGTGTACATAGTACAAATCCCCTGGTGTACGTGCGTCACACACAAGGAACAGTGCGCGTCAACCAGCTAAATGTCCCGCCTATGGGATGTCGTTGCTAGGTAAAAGGGCGCCCTCTTTCGTTGGCGCACGGAGCCCATAGCAGGGGGAGTGGAAGTGAATTTTGACTGTCTGTGACTGTTTAAATAGCAGGAGGGTTAATAGAACAAAACTTTTTTTTGTTAAGAGCACGTTGAATGCAACCTTAATACTCTTTGAACAATTATAGACAGTCAAAATTCAATGTACATGTACTTTCCTTGCTATGCCTCTATATGAAGGCTAGTACCCATATTCTGTAAACACTGTGACTACTGAAATAAGGCATCATGGGGATTCATCACTCACTTTGCAATGTTTCCGTCACCTCTGCCTTGATGCCAAGCTCAGGGCTCAGTGACGATCCTCTCGCACGCCTGCCGGTAGTCTCTTGATGGTTACCGGTCGAGTCTGGCTGGTAGCTTTTCCTTCGGACTCGGAGGGATTGCCGAAACTTCTTGCCAATTTTCTTCTGTTTCTCAGCCATCGCATGTTTCTTGACAACTTTGCCAACGCGAGTCTCCCCACCAGCCGCCTAATAAAACAGTATTTAAAAAAAGTAACCACCAGTTTAAAGGGAATGTACATCATTGGCTTTTGCTGTAATTTTCAGAAATGAAATATTTGAGGGGTTAGTATAACAGATCAAATTTTTTTACACTGACATGTTTGAAGTTTTTTTGTTCGAAAATGCTTGAAAATCCAAGAAAAACAAAAATGTTCAAGTAGTCTGGTTCCCTGACTCCACTAAAGATAAAATGGATTAATTTCCAGAAGCCGGAAAATTGTAAGGTACATGTAAGGGAACAAGTCTAGCTGGCCTACACCCGTTCATGAACATGTAACCAATAGCAAACAAAATTTGAACAGAATATAAAATGGTAAATTTGGAGCAGTAGTTGCAAAATAGTTAGGTTTTTCAAACGGTGGTCGGTCGACCACCGCTGAAAATGTATACAAAATTACCATTTTCTTGAAAATGACTTCACACCAGGTGCCATAATTTTACAGGATGCTTTCATTTACCAACATCCTAGTAAGGTATTTCGTAAAAACTTGGTAGTTTTATTTTTCAGTGTTTGCAAATGTTGTATATTCCCTTTAAAACTTCCAAGAAAAAATATTATTATTTTTGGAATTAAAGTAGGCCTATAAAAATACATCTTTATTCATAAGATGGAATTTGCGTCGGGGTGATGTGAATCAATATCAGGTTTTTGCCCTTCACCGACGTATAAACACTGTACACTCTGTGTGTCACCTCCCGAGTGAAAGACAACTGAGTGGCAAGAAGAAAGCAGGAGGTCGTTGGTTAGAGTCCCACCCGAGTGATTTTTTTCCAACTTTCACTCGGGAGGTAACACACTGAGTATCGGTGAAGGGCAACAGACCTGATACTGAAAAAGAAACTTACAACTTCTTTTACCAGCTGTGATTACTGGCAATTTGTGGTGCCATTGCCTGGATTGTCTGACACCCATATAAACATTTCAAAGGGGTCAGCTAGACAATGAAGAATTTCTAAAGCCTTTTGAAAAAATATCCTGGTAATGATATAGCCATGGAGGTTGAAGAATTTGTTAAAGAATTTCATGTATTAGGCCAAATTTTAAAAAATGAGTTTCTGGTCCGATTTTTTTTTAAAAAGGAGGATGCAGGCACTTTTGGGCTTAGAATTTTTTTTTTTTTTTAGACTTGACATACATCATTAAATGTTTATTTAATTTTTGATCTTTGTTGTGTCAATTATTTGGTTACAATTTTGGTCCAATCGAAAAGTGCTACAGTTGTGAAATGTAGGCCTACCTTTTTCCATCTGCTATGTACAACGTAGTTTTGTCTCAAGTGTTTATAAAGGTCAAATTCTTATTGGAGCTGAATTGATGTTATGCACGTATCAAATGTTTCCCCCCACCCCTCCCACCCCGCGCTGCCCCAGGTCCAATGTCGGGATTTGGTCACGTTTTTCATGCCCCAGGGTGGGGATTTTGGTCACTCAAATTACATTGTTAACGTTGGCGTACTAATGGAAAGGCAATCACTAGTGCGCCCCACGTATGTAAGTCGGGGCATGGTCGGGGATTGTCACTTAAATTTTGCCCGAGGGGTGGGGATTTTGTCACTTCAAAAGTGACAATCCCTACGTCTTGGGTGGGGCTACTCCTAGAACTAGTATGAGGCTCCGCGTGAGCCTCATAGTTCTAGGAGTAGGGTGGGGCAGCCCGGGAGGGGAGGGGACTCAAGCTAGTTTATGGGAGAAAGTATGGGGTAAACTACAACACTTTTTTACAGCGTTTGAAAAACTGTGACTCGCACGTCTCCAACTGCTAATAAAAGTAACAACAGCATTTGCCGAAAGAATGTTGTATTCCACTTTTTCATGCAGACGCCACTTTGTGGGTTGTGTACAAAGTCTACGGAGAGTCAAAAAGACTTCCAAGTTTTTTTCCTCACAAAATTGGAAATGTTTCCCAGTCCAATTTTAATCTTTTCAACATTTTTGCAATGATACTGACCTCTGTTGTGATGATAATGATAAAAAAAAATGGCGTCAGGATGCAACATTCTTTCCGCATTTTCTTCCAAAAAAGGCCTAGGCCTCCTGACTGATCAAAATTTGAAAAACCTAGAGTTCATTCATTAATTAATGGGAAAAAAAGACACTGCTTCACTGCCTTCACTTCTTCAGATCAGTCCGGGGAAAGATTCCCATATCTGGCCATCAGTATTTTTCCCAATTTCCCTTAAACATGTTAAATGAAGTATCAGCCATCAGAAAGTGATAATATGTCCTAAAAAGTCCAAATCAGCAGGGACAAATTTTGAATTTTTACTGAGAAAACACTTAGAAATTTTCAGACCAGTCCCATATGGTTTGTGCACAGGGTGACAAGTGATGGCCAGATATGGGAATCTTTCCCAGTCTAGCTGCACACATGGCAAAAGTAACTCATTGGGAAAATTTGAGTCATTTGCAAAAGTCATTTTTGAACGATACTAGTACAAAAATGGAGGTGTCCTAGACTAAACGATTACCCTACTTTTAATAAACAAAGTCTTAAACAAAAACAGACCTTTATTTTTGAGCCTAATGCAGCAAAAGCTGAAACTTTCTTAGCACTCATCTCCAAAATCTGTCAGTTTCAACATGTTCAAGTTCCATGTATACGTAGTAGTCTGGTCCCATCAGCTCGCCATCACATTTCCGAAAGTAAGTAATGATTAGCCATCAGGTACCATGCACATACCAAATGTATTTTTGCACGCAAGTTTCGAATAACGCGCGCAGATTTAGTTACGACTAGACTACGACACGACACAGTACGACTACATTGTAAGTTCTCAAAGAAGCGTGCAAAACGTGCATGTGCTGAATTTTTGAAATGTCGATCGTCTGAATTCATATGGGAGGTCAGTATATGATAACTGGGTAATCCTTACTTTTAGGACCCCTTTCCTATAAGGTTAAAATACTCACCAAAACAGCTGACTAAATCATGACACTCAAAAGTGACATTCTGATATTTATTGACACATTTGAACATTTGGCAATGACACCTCTTGAATATCAGCAGGTTTGATTTTGTAGAAAGAGGGCAGGGTTTTGATTTATGAGGGGTTAAAGACGACGATGACAAACAAAAAATAAATTTAAAAAGCAAGATGGCGAACTGCAAAAAAAGGTAGGGAAGTCACATTTTCTTTGAAAGTGCTTTCAAAATTATAACTAACATGAGTTTGTCTGAAGAAAAAAGACTTCTTTAGCCTGCAAAAGTCACTTTGGTACTGGACAGTCATCTGCAAAAGTCAGTTTTGAACAGAACTCGTACAAAATAGAGGTGTCCTAAAATAACTGATTCATAAGATTGTCTAAAACGTAATCAGAGGAGCACTACTGTGGCAATTTACATGTTGTTGGTTGTTGGCCTCATTTTTGGGGGCCGCTGGCACTCGCCAACAAGGGGCGTACACTTCTGTTTTGGTGGTGGGGGGGGGATTTATTCTCAATGTTGGGAGTGATCACCTTTAACCAATTAATTTGTTCTGGTTATTACCAGGTCAGTCTCTTCCATAGTGCATATCATGTGAAAAACAGTCCTGATTTCGATTTCTTTATTACTTTTCCCATACGCAGCTACGGAGGGAGTCCATGGCCATAGCCCATGCCCTATGTTATTGTGAGCCACATTTATGGGGTTAATCTGCAAAGTGCATAGATTTTGAAACTGAATTGAAATGTCCATCATGATGTCAATGATCATCCCAATCGTCGAAGCAAATTTACTCCCTTGGTCTAGGTGAAGAAGTACATGTAGGCCTAGCTAGGACAGTAGGAGGACCTCAAGAAAAACAATGTTAAGGCCGAAAAAATAGTTCTGCTTCTGGTTCTTCTACCCATGGTGGAGGGGCTTCCTCCGTGCCCTATAGCTACCTATTAATTTTTGGGGGGGGGGGGAAATGAGGGAAAAACCCGAAAATCATCAATTACTACTCCTTTTACTTTTGACTACACGCAGACACTTCCAAATTACCATACACAAAAAAAATTGCCAAAAAAATTCCTACCTACATGTACAGGTGTACCCTGTTTTCAAATGCCATGTAATCGGAAGCAGAAATATTTGTTTGGCCTATAAATGTTCATTGAAATAACTTTTTGTGATGTGCCTAAAAATTAATCCTAATTTGCTTATATTACTTTAACTCCATCTCAACCAAGCAGAGATGGTTTTATGGACTTGCTTTTCGTATAAGAAAAGCCTGATTAATAATTTGAAAACAATTTAATATTTCTTTGTTAATTGCAGGTTTTCTTTACCAATGAAATAGCCGAGAGGATAAAGGACATCAAACGGAGTGGAGAATGTCAGGTCCGTTGTCACGTCGTCGCTTTTCATCAGACTTACTGCTAGAGGAAGATGATGAAGCTATCCCATGGACTTACGTCTCTACCCAGAACGATTCCAGTCATGGTGACGTACCCACGTACACCTCCGAAGGTGTCGCCAACAAAAGAAGAAAATTATACAGTTGAGTAATACTAATAGAGAGATTAGCTAACTGGATCCAGGGAAGAAGTCGATCCATCACAAGTCCTGTCACAAGTCCATTCACATGTCCAGTGACAAGAAACTATGGAGGAACAAACGAATGCCTTTGTTAAAGCTCATTTGAATAGCTTGTGAGTTGAATTGGGACTGGAGGACTTGTGATGGACTTGCAGGGACTTGTGACAGACTCGACTACATCCCTGACTGGATCACACAACCCGGCAATTTGATATTGTTTGAAAGTGAACGTAAGCAGTTTCTCCTTCTTTGATCAATTTAAATATCAAAACAGACGGTGGGAATGTGATTGAAGTCTTGTGCGTTTGTGTCATAGGTGGTAGGAGCAGGGGGTTGGGGGCATTTGATGGATGTCGGACAAATCGACCGTTTGCCAACTTGACTCGGGACAACTCGACCATTGAGACAACTCGACGGATGGGACAACTCGACCGTTTACCAAGCTACCAAAAAATACAACTTCAACCGAGTCCCAGCAACCCTTCACGCCCACAGAATGTACCAGCCCTCAATGCCTCACCCACAAAAAAAAATTGCGAGTCGACTTATGTCTCAATGGAGGACTTGTCTCAACAAGCTACTTGTCTTTCCAATTGATGCACAGACGGTTGAGTTGTCCGACCGGTCGAGATGTCTCAACGGTCGAGTTGTCCCAAGTCTGGTTGGCAAGCGGTCGAGTTGTCTGATCCCCCGTTTGAAAACCCCCTCCCCCCTCCCCATTATAACTTCTTTCTTTTCATAGCATTCCCATCTGTGGCTAGCCTGCCACAGAGATAATGGACTGTCCCCGTTCACTTGCATTTCGTTCTGCCATCATTATTGTAATCTTTCCACCTATTTGTCAATAATACAAAACATTAGGTATGTGTGTTTTATATTCCCGCAGGACAGAGAAAAGACGATTTGGACGTTAAGCCAACGTCATCAAGGTCACGCACCGAGTCTGTCGAATTATGGACAGAAGTAGAGGATTTGAGTCTTTGTCAAGCTGTATCCATCTGCCTACAGCATACCTCATCTGAGTCTTCCCTTGCCCTTACAACAGAAAACCTTTCAGATTTGGAAAGAAATCACCCTATGTCTGTTTTCTCCAGAAACGTATCAAGGGAATTGCAAACACTGGATATTTCTAAGTGTTTGGCCGAGTGTTTTGTGCCATCTCATGAGCACGGGGACGTCCTGGCCAGGGTCCAATCGAGTGCTTTCCGCCGTACTTTCATGGGCTTCTTGAACAGCAAAAGCAGGCGTGGACAGAGCCTGCTGTGTACGGATGCCGCGGAATCGAACAATGCCTGTAATAGTAGCGACAGTGGTGCGCAGTTCAAACACGACTTGCAACAGGATTTGAAGAGTTCTCCTTTCATCAAACCGGACATTTATCCCGAAACCTTCGAAAGCGACCAAGGGAAACACCCGTCACCAAGTCCATCCGAGCGAAATAGCAGAAAAAAAACTGAGAGAAAGTCTGAGAAAATTGATTTGAACCCCGGAAGCAGTGTGGAGCTACTAGATAGACAAGAAACTGATGTTCTGCAAGGGGAACTGGCAACACAGGAAGAGGGAAGTGAGAAATTTCAAGAGACACGTAGAAGCTCTTCAAGACTGAGGAGCAAACTACGACCAGAGGATCGTGATACATCCACAGATAATGAAGACATCCCAAACTTGACAAGACAAATTCCACAAGTTTCCACAGATAATAGCAATGACCGAAACCTATCTGAGAAAAATTTAAACGTCGGCCCGAATAGTCATCCACCTGCAAAAACAGATAAACGGAAAAAGCGCTTACCGAGGAATAAACAAGAAGTCATTCAGAGGAAACAGAGCAACGAAATGGTAACAGAAACCTCATGTGAACCTGCAAAAACTGGCAAAATAGAGAATCGGGAACAGGAAAAAAGACATGAGAAAACTGGTTCGCAGTTTGAGAGTGCTGAACTGGAACAACCACCATCCAAAGTGCCGGCGAAGATGGACACCAAATGTGAATCTGAAAAACCAAACAAATTAACTTCCGAGAATCTGCCTCAGGTTGATACTATTTCCAGACAATTGAAGGAATCGACCAGTAGTGAACAGGAAGATACGAAAGCAAGCAAGAGCCCTCTGCAACTGACTCCAAGTGGCAAGGCTCCATTGATGGCAACTGTTCGACCACTCAGAAAGGCTCAAAATGAGAAGGTAGAATTCTTTCCCTCTTTTGTTCCGCTCTGCATGTCTTTTGAACATTGGGTAATGACCTACTAGATCGCAAATGTTTTAGTGGCCAAATCTAGAACCGTCAATTGAATGTCTGTAGCAATCTTCTGTGCAATTGAAAAGGTAAAAGGGGTAGAAAGGTAAAGATCCCATAGCCATTACTGGCCGTAGGGGCAGTGGGATGTTAGAGGTCCACCGTGTCTTGGGCGCGGCATATGAGTGGCGGGGCCCAGTCCTCTCCTCTCGCCGTCTTACCTTCCCTGAACGAATCAAGTACCCATTTTACTGTTGGGTCGTCAGAGAGAGATTTCCAGTTTTTGGTTCGAATGGGATTCGAACCGCCAACCTTCCACTCCGTAGCTCTACACTCTAACCGCTCGGCTACGAGGCCCCTCTGTGCAATTGAAAGTGAAAGTTAAAAAATTAATATCAGAAATTTTACAAATCAAGAAATGAAACAAAGGGGGCAACAACAAAGATGCCTAGCACCATGTAGCAAGAAAAAAACCCTCAAAACAGAGAAGAAAGGGTCCTTACATTTTACTTGGTGAATATTGGTTTCAAACTGGTATTCCAGAGTTGCGTTAGTTGAATTACTTTGATTATTAGAATTAAGTTCAACGATTGGAACAATTAGGAACGACTACACGCTGAAGATTGACTGTTGCTTTGTCATTTCTCCATTGTCTTAATGGTATTTGTGAGGATTCCTTGGTTTAATTACTAAAATTAAAACGAAATTAGCTCAGAAACCCCAATCAGTCCAAATAATGTGGCTCATATTTTGCAGCCTTACTTCATTTGGTTTTCGTCCTTTTTATTTTTATCCCAGGACAATGAGAAGAGAAGCTTCAAAAAGTTCCGCAAGAAGTTTTTGGACAGGTGCCTTGAGGTGCAGCACAGCGGGCTTGGTCTGACGGCCAGGATACCAGGCCAGGGGACAAATATAATTTCAAATGTAAGATTTTTAAAAGGTCGTGCGAGCAATGTGTGCGTGCAATGGTTGGCTACCAGTTGGAGCAAGGCACGCTTGACTACTTTTGATTTGAATATGTGAATAATCGGATATTCGATCATTAACCGAATATTCAAATAGCTTTTTGCCGGTTTGAATATTCAAAAACTAAAACTACAAATGTAAACACATGCCACTTTGTGGTCAGTGGCAACTTTTTAGTCAACGGCGATTCATTGTTCTCGTCTTTTTAGCAGGTTAAAGCCTGCTAATAGGTTGACAATAGGTTCGACTAGAGTCGTTCGCACTTTAATGTTACAGTGCATGGGCATTGTTTGACACCAACTAACCATTGGTTGACTAATGGTTGTTGCGCGAACTTGCCTTTGCTGTGCCCTTGGATTATGCAATAGAAGGGAAAGCCTTTTCAAAAAAAGGAAGAGCACTCAAATAATAAAATGAAAATTGTTCCAATTCACTAAGACTACCTCCATTAACAAAATGAGGGTTTGATTATTGGTTTAAAAAAATTTGTTCTGCATGCAGGTACATTCCAGTCTTGACGAGTATCTAACTATGCAGCATGTGCAGCAGAGTCGCAAGGGCATCTTGGATGCCTGCCTCATGGCACAGAGGGATACCAGCTGAGGAAGGAACAGCAGAAATAAACTCTCACATCTTACCCCTCTGTGAACACTTATGACATATGGCACAGAGGGACACAAGCTAAAGAAGGAACAGCAGAAATAAGCTCAGATCTTACCTTGACCAGAAGGTATCCCTCTGTGAACTGTTATGACACTAGGCACAGAGGGATACAAGCCGAGGAAGAAACAGCAGATTTAAGGTCAGATCTTACCTGGAATAGACCACACCCCTCTGTGTACAATATGCCAGTAATCACAGAGGGATACAAGCTAAAAGGTGGAACAGCAGCATTGAACTCAGACCTTTCCTGGACTGGAAGACACCCCTCTGTGTACACTAATTGCTGGCCGGCTAGAAACAGCTAGAGGGATGCAAGCTGCGGATGGCACAGCAGAATAGTGCCCGCTCAATGACGGCCATTTCTGTAGGAGAACTGCAACTGCGTATTTTACGCAATCAAGCACGCATTGCGCAGTGTGGAAAAATGTTCCAAACACGCGCGCTTGTTGCTCGAAATGTGTTCGAAATACGACACAGCCGATGCGCGTTATGCAACTTGACGCTCAAAATGCCGAGGCATGTGGATGGTCTGTAGGAAATGACGTCATTTGAACGAGACCTATTACCTACATTGGAGAGTTCCGATCTGTGGATACAAGTTACTACTCTGGCATTGGGATGGGACCAATTTAGTTCCTGAAAACTTCCAAACTATCATTAACCACTATCTGAGTTTGTAGTGCATGATTCCCAACCACTATATGGGTCACAGTGTCCAAATTTTGCTATTGATTTACAGCTCAATGTTTGATTTTTGAGGACTCTGGATTATTCCAAGAAAAAATGCCCATTTTGTTGGACTTCACCTGCTTTGGACATGAGTGATAGAAGTAAACCCTACCCCTCCCCTCCCTCACACTAGTCCCTTTAAAACACAGAACACTTGTAAAAATGGATATCATACAAATGCAGGTTCTCATATTGTGTTTGAGAAACTCAGAAGCTGAAATCAAAAAATTGACAAAAACGTACATCAATTCATTTTGAAACTACAACACTGTTTTATTGCCCCATTCTTGTACTATTGCGAGTTGGTTACAGCGGTCTTTAAATTTTAGGTGAATTTCTCAAAAGAAATGTTGATGTCAAACTCCATTTAAATTTAATGTTGTACCAATACCAAATTAAGTTTATGGCAAGTGTGATTTTTGATTTCCAATTGATGAAATTAATTGGAGGTTTGATTCCCATCCCAAAACATGCAAAAGAGGGGAAAAGCAGTTTTATATTTCATTAAAGTAAAATACACTTTTTCAAAGCTGGTTGAAAGAAAAAAAATTCAATTTTCTTGAAGAGCACAGACAGAATATCTTTAAGACACACACAAAAATACTCAACAGGATAATAAGCAAGTAACCAAAATGCTCGTGATTTGAATATACACATTTAAGTGAAAAATGCTTGTTAGAAGATCATAGCTGCCAACATTTCAAAATCCCAATTAGTAATCAACCCGCACGGTCATTTTCAACTGCTCGTTTTATCAAAAGCTTTACCAACATCGAGTACAGGTACATGGTTTACATGTACACATACATGTGCATACCCTTCTTCTTGTGAATAATAATGTAATGTAGGCCAAAAGATAATTTAATTTTTTTTTTTTTTTTTTTTTTTTAATTAATTTTTTTTAATGTCTTTATTTGTTTGTTGGAGTCAAATAAATAATAACAATAATAAAATATGCGCATATTTTTTTGGACATGCATGCTATCGATGTGGAGTTTCGAGTTCGTATCAATGTTTTTACACAATGATTTAGGGCCACCGTCATGACCGTATGCAATAGAAATATCCCGCCAACATACCTTGCAAACGCATGCTGATTTATCTTTTCTGGACGTTGTGACAAACTCAAACTGTAATACCAATTATTCCAACCATACTCTTATTAAATTCCATGATTAAATTGTCGCACTGATGGGTCTTAACCCGGCAAAAAGCGACCAAATGTGCTCACGATCGTCACTGAAAAGTACTCACATACAGCACACACAACCACACATCCACGAGATGCACACAAATGACACACCATTGAAAAATAGTTTTAGTCTGGTCCTCAAGTACTCCACTGCGCACACTGCATTGATGTCTATCTGGTGCTTGACTGCATTCTTATTAGACTTGTCACCAGTCCATCCATTATCGCGACATTTCGCCAGAAGTTTTCGGTCAAAAACGATACTTTACATTTTTTTTTTTCATTAGGTAGAAAATGGGAAATTCGTAATGTTTTAGTGGCAAATCGTATTTTCGTAATTTAACAAACAATTCGTAATAATTACGAAAAAATCGTACTAGTTGGCAGCTATGGAAGATGCAATGACGATACCATGAACTTTTAAATGATTAACCCTAAAGGGGCCGGGGGGGGGGGCCAAATCCGCCCCCCCCCCCAACATTTTTGGCAATAGCCTCTAAAAAAAAAAAAAAAAATTCGCGACCCGAGCTGTTATGACTATTTAGCCTCGAGCTTTGCGCATCTTTTGATACCAAAAACATAAAAATCGGACCACCGGTTGCTGGGTAGCAAAAAATTTTCCGGCGCTACGCGCCGTGAAAACTTAATTTTTTGCATAATAGAGACGTCATGTACACAGAGCAGAATTGTCATTCGTACATATGAATAATTAATTAGCTATAATTCCAAAACCCTTTGACCTATAGTCATGAAATTTCTTGGGTATGTTAAGGAAGAGTTGCTCTATGCATGTGCTGAGTTTCAAAATTTTTCGTCACTCGATGGCCGAGATCTTAGGGGGGGCGGAATCCGCCCCGCCCCCGGCTGAGAGATGGTCAAAATAACCCGGCCCCTTTAGGGTTAAATTAATATTGGATTTTATCAATTATTGTTTCAAGGCTACACATGTCAAGTATTTCTTGTCACCATAAACAGAAGCTTATGAGTAAAAAAACTTGGCTAGCCAGTAGCCAGCCACTCATATAAAAAAGAAAACAAGAAAATTTAAAAGTCACACCTTTACATTTCTTGCCACTTTTGTTACTTTTGAAGACCCAAAGACAAGTTAAAATCAGTTTTAAATTCCAAATGCAAATAACTTCTTCAAGGGTTTACTTTTCTGCATAAAATATTCACATTGTAATGTTATATTTAACATTTTAGTCAGTACATTTGAAAATACGTGTATGACTGAAGTTACTACATGTACTTGTACTTGCAATACTTGACTGCATATTACACATAGCACAAAGTAACAAAAAGTACAAATTTGCATGATACATGTTCAAATTTTCAACATGTGAAACAAATCATAGTGACAACATCATTGTTCCCAACTAGAAATGTGGCTTTTAAAGCTTACGACAGTATTTCAATGCAGTGCATACAAAAGCAATTTTACATTTGTCGGGAAATCCAGGATAATTTTCAGTAATTTGAGGAGTAAAAAGGAGGAAACTTTTGGCATATAAAAATTATAAAATTGTGAATAATTCAGTGATTGTCAAGGTTTAACACTCATTATTGCAAATATCCCTAGAAAAATTAAGTGAAATACCTATGTGGTCAACAAAATGTAGGCGTGTTCAAAATCACACTTGATAATAACATATGTATTGCAAATGATTCAAAGCATCAGGAATGGATGAGTCGGGTTTTTTTTAAATGGTCTTTATTTTTTTTGACTGATGTATCTTTGACCAAACTCAACAAAATCAGCCACAAATCGCAATGTTCAGCTACCGGTATATTTAAGTAACAGGTCTACAAATCTTGCACCATGGTGATCGATAGGGTACAGTAAACATTTATTACTATGCCTCATACATATTCATGAGCGAGAGCCGAATTCTTACTCGTCCATTTGTCATCATGCGTACAGGGTAAATACGCATGCGCAGTCAACTATCCCATGGGTCACCAATGCGAGTCTACGATGCACGAACTAATAATCGTAGAACTATCGAACGGCGGTAGTGCGCATGTGCGGATATTGCCCTATCTTCATGAAAAGATGGCGGCACAGAAAAGTGGTCAGAAATTGCCCCAAATCACACCACAGTGCATCTAGAATCCAAAAATTTTTCGGGCCCTTAAGTGGGCCCTGAACCCCAAGCCGTAATTTTTGACCCATTTTTGGGGGGACCAGAAAATGTTTTGGGCTCCCCCCCCCCCCAAAAAAAATTTCGTTCTGGATCTGCCCTTGCACACGTAAAGCAATGTTCTGCCAAGATACCTGATGCGCAACTAGACGAAAGTTTGGTGAATATGTATGAGGCACAGTAAAAGAAATGAAGGGTTTATTTCCAAAACACGACATATCCATTTGAAAAAAAGGGAAAATTGTGCACGGTTATGAAACTTTAAAGAATTAAAACAGTATAACAGCTGTTTCTTAATTTCACTTTTCGCCTTATTGTATTCTTAAGTCGTGTTTAAGTTTATAACGGCCGTCGAACTTACTTTTGGGCAGCCAGGAGAGAGCAGGATTCTAAAGGACAAATAAAATGGCGTGTATCGCGTCTTGGAAGTTAACTCTTACTATAACATGGTTTGTGTCTGGTGGATAGTAAATATTGGCTCCCCTAGGTATCGGAAGTTGACAACTATTTTGTCCTTGAAGAGCTAGTATCAACTATCCACCCTCAAATAATATAATTTTTGTATACTAACATAATGTCTGCATACCTAAATATGTATTTCACACTAAGAGATGTATATCGGAATAGAGAGCACACTATGCTATTTCTACTGCATGTAAAAATTCTTACAGGATCTGGTAAGATATGAAAATGTCTTCTATTTCTTCTGACTCTTGAGATGTCTGAGTGCGCATCTGGCTGCGGTTGCCTTGGCAATGCGGTAGTTACGGCCTATGCCCTTAAATTTCCCCTTGCCGACGACATTGACAGTCACTCGGGTCTTGCCGTCCATTGTTCTCTCCGGTGGGCTGAAAAACAAAAACAATTTTATTAATTTTACTTCTTATCGGTATTCTAGTCCATCACAAGTACTCCAGTCCCAAGTCAACTCACAAGCTTTTTTAATGCTTGATGTGACATTGGCATTCCTTTATGTTGTTCATGCCTTATTGTGACTAGCCTTGAAAATTGACTTGTGATTCACTTGTGATGGACTTGTGATGGGCTTGTGATAGGCTTGTGATGGGCTCAACTATAACCTTGTTTCTTACCATTTCAATAATTCAAAACGAGCATAAGGGAAATGATTTCAACGAAACTTTGAATTTATTGAATTCATAGTTAACTTTGAGCATAAGCTTTAATGTATGAGTGGTTGATGAGCTTTCTGTCTTGAAAATTGGGCTCGCTATAGCCGTTTTTGCTAACCTTACCCCTAAATCACTCAAATCGGCCGTATGAAGGTGACATAGCAAACCTTTCTGTTATTTCAGTATTCTTGGTGGATTTGGGAAAAAGACTACAGCTCTGAAAGACTGAAATTATTTTTGTTCAACATGGACACCTGTTCTTACCCGAATCTTGCTGTTTCTGGTTCCATTTCGAGAAGCTCTCTCACAGGAGAAATGGGTAAACTGGCAGCATATTGTTCTGTGGTCATCAAAAACAAAGATGTTTTTACAAGGAAATTTGTATTGTCATTTTTACTTTTTAATCCTCACTCCGTGTCCGAATTATCGGCTACGGCTTGAAATTGTACACCAGTCTTTGGGACGTAATTCAAGTAGTGAGCCAAGTAATTCGGACATCGATGTTACCGCCGGGCACCAGCCAGTTTGTATAATACATGTGTGCAAACGACTTGGAACCAGCGTGTGTGTCATACACTCGCTTTTTAAGATGGCGCCCAAAGGATTGCCATGTGAGTCTGAAGTTTTCATCATGTTCGTAGTATTCACGAAACATTTTTTGAACTTAATGTCACATCATCATGACTTCCAAGACAACATAAAGGGGACAATTTTATGGAGACAAATATTGAAAGGAGAATGAGTTTATCACAACATCCAGAAAAGATAAATCAGTATGCGTTTTTGCAAGGTATGTCGGCGGGATATTTCTATCACGTACGGTGGAACTAATGTAAATGTGTGTAAAAACATACAAACTTGAAACTCAACATCGATAGCATGCATCTCAGAAAAATATGCGCACATGTTATTATTGTTATTATTTATTTGATTTCAACAAACAAATACAGACATTAATAAAAAAAATAATGAAAAAAAAAATGAATGAATTTTTATTTTCAGTAATAAAAGACAATAATAAAAAAAAATGAAAAAAAAATTAATGATTTTTTTTCCCTCGAAAGACCCTACAGTATCGACAGATTAATCATGAAAAGAAGGGTATGCACATGTATATCACTTTTACAGGTGGGACAAAAAATCCCAGAAGAACATTCTCAAACTCTAGTAGGGGCTGAAAACCCACTCCACATACGGACCTATGGGCGAAACTGAATCGGACCCTGGCCATAGAGATGGACGGCGAGGAAAGGACTACTGCGCTGACCCAACTCCCCACTGATATAACAGAGAATAAAACTGATCACCCCAATAACAAAACTGACCTATTTGTGGCTTCATGAGTGGATAGTAGACTCTCCAGACAGTGTCCAGGGACATGCCGCTGTCCAGGTAGACTGCCCCAGCTACCGACTCAAAGATGTCTCCCAGAGCTTTGGGTACTTCTATGTCCTCACTCTCATCCTCGCGACCTGGAAGCCCTTCCACATCTAGCACTTTCAACTGAAAGAGTGACAAACAAAGAGACAACTGGGATGATTCACAATACTGCTTCCATACACTGCATGTGGTCCAAGGGCTGGTGAGGTGAAGTTACTCTTCAAGCTTCTACCCTTGTATGCCTCACTTAAAACTCCTTGCCAAGATCTTCCATTCCCCCTTCTTACAACTTATCACAGTGCAAGCACAATATCAACGGATTCTTCCTCGCTCTTTAACTTGTTTTGTAATTAATTTTGAAGTTGAACTCTAAAATCGACGGGGAGCGGGGTTGAACCTCCAACCTCCAGATTGCGGTATGGGTGCTCTACCTAATGAGCTGTCTAGACCTATTTCAGTTTGAAAACTTGTTTCTTTATTTCTTGATTGCAGTCACCACCTTATTGCAGTCACTGCCAAAATATTATGAAAAATCCTCCTTGAATGTATGTAAATAATAGGATCAAGCATCCCATGAAATCGTTGCGCCTAGTGTGCCGCCATTTTCGAGAAACGAGGTATTGCCATCACCTCACAATGCTCCAGACCAAACCATTGCAAGTAAAAAATGACTTTTTTTCAAATAATGTCCCAAATTGTCCGAATTTAGTTTAGTTTGGAATTAGTTACATATCCGTGAATGAGAATATAGTTTTCTCAAGTGACCATCTGGGGATCATACCACTAGAGGGTGGAAGTCAAAACGTATTAATGAACATGTATGAAGGGAGGGCTTCCAATGGAAGCTTGGTATGCGTCAAGAAAAATGAAGATGCATTTTCAAAGTTTTCTCCAAAGTGTACAATCTACTTGGCTGAACTTTCGACAGGTTAATTGTTAATAAGCTGCTTCAGATTTATTGTATTGTTGTTCCTTGAATTAGCAAAAATACGTTTTTGCAAATGGTGTCCGTTACTGTTTAAAATGAGGGGGAAAAAGACAGGGCACGAAGAATGATTGAAGAAGTGAAGAGCAAAGATCAAAGATGTAAAACTAACCAGTGTTTACACCTAATTCGGTTTTCTTCAAGAAACAAACTATTTCTCGACATTGTAACTTCAGACAAATGAAATCCAATATCAAGAAAGATATGCATGAGTAACAAAATGTAAAAGCTCTGTAGGAGAGGTCTTAAACAGTGTATCCAAATAATTTCAATAAAACAAAATCGTAGGCACGAACATTAAACAAAAAAATTGTGCTGAGAAAGAGAAATGAGTCACGTCCCTGGCTCACTAAATCAGAGTGTATATAATATAAGCTGAATATAAGACTCAGTAATGTTGAGGCATCGTGTTTCTTTAAATTCCAGGGATGTCCATCACAAGTCCTCCAGTCCCAATTCAACTCACAAGCTATTCAAAAGAGCTTTGACAAAGGCATTCCTTTGTTATTTTTCATCCACTGTTTCTTGTGACTGGACTTGTGAATGGACTCGAGAATTACTTGTGACTGGACTTGTGACTGGACTTGTGACTGGACTTGTGACTGGACTTGTGACTGGACTTGTGACTGGACTTGTGACTGGACTTGTGACTGGACTTGTGACTGGACTTGTGACTGGACTTGTGACTGGACTTGTGAATGGACTCGAGAATTACTTGTGACTGGACTTGTGACTGGACTTGTGACTGGACTAGTGACTGGACTTGTGACTGGACTTGTGACTGGACTTGTGACTGGACTTGTGACTGGGCTTGTGACTGGGCTTGTGACTGGACTTGTGACTGGGCTTGTGACTGGACTTGTGAATGGACTTGTGAATGGACTCGAGAATTACTTGTGACTGGACTTGTGACTGGACTTGTGACTGGACTAGTGACTGGACTTGTGACTGGACTTGTGACTGGACTTGTGACTGGACTTGTGACTGGACTTGTGACTGGACTTGTGACTGGACTTGTGACTGGACTTGTGACTGGACTTGCGACTGGACTTGCGACTGGACTTGCGACTGGACTTGGGAATGGACTTGCGACTGGACTTGCGACTGGACTTGCGACTGGACTTGCGACTGGACTTGCGACTGGACTTGCGACTGGACTTGGGAATGGACTTGCGACTGGACTTGCGACTGGACTTGCGACTGGACTTGCGACTGGACTTGCGACTGGACTTGCGACTGGACTTGCGACTGGACTTGCGACTGTACTTGCGACTGGACTTGCGACTGGACTTGCGACTGGACTTGCGACTGGACTTGCGACTGGACTTGCGACTGGACTTGCGACTGGACTTGCGACTACATCCCTGTTAATGTCCTTCTAACTCTGCTTCAAAGCAGGGTATCGACACCGATTTTCAATAAAAAATAAATCTGAATGTCCTCTCTTCAAAACCTCAGATTATGGAAGATTCAACTCGAGATTTAATTCCATCGATACAAGAAAAAACACATTACCTGTGATCCCATGCCAAGAGCCTCCTTCTTCTCCTTGACAAAAGTCACAAAGTTGTCGATGACGTGGAAGAGCTCGGGGCTGAGCGCCTTGAAGTACTTGTGGTAGCCAAACTTGACGGCCAGGGAGGCAAAGATGGTGTTGTTGACCAGGGCCGAGCGCAGATCTGTCAGGGCGCCCGGGGACAGGTCCTGGTGATGGTCAAAGAGGTGTCGGGTGATCAGGTAGTCTAAGATGGCGTCACCAAGGAACTCTAACCTGGGAAAATTAAGGTGGAGAGATGGTGTATAAGACACTTTTTTCTATAAACAAATTTTCAACTTGAATGTTTTATTTCAACCAAAAACCTTTTTTCCCCTTTTTGGACGTCTGCGACTCTCTGAAAAAAGGTGGGTTTTTTTTGGAACAAACAGATCTGTTTTGTGAGCAGACTGGCTCCCCGTCCGTGCATTAACGATACTGATTATAGGGTGGGAACCAGCCTACCCTGTGAGAACAGAATTATTGTCTGGCAGCCAATATAAGAAATTGCAAAGTAATAATTCATGCAGCCTCGACTCCAGGGGCGCGTGCTCGTTCCTTACACTAACCCCTGGCTGTGATGATGACGTAAATGACGCTGAATGGCTACTCACAGCGTACTGCGCGCGCATTTCGAAGATTGCACGCCGGGCGCGCCCATAATGCGCTCGCGTGCTTTGCACTTAACGTCACGTACGAAAAAAAAAATTAGGATTCAAAAGTCGCAATGCCTGTACGATATGGATTATGTCAGCCGCGTTTTTCGCTAAAAAAACCCTGTATCTGTGGTTGTAAAGGCACGAAAGGGGTACGTACAATCTTTGCTAATTAACACAACGTCCAAACGTTGTGTTTGAAAGGATTGATTCTTCAAAATCACAACTTTTAACATTTTAAGATGGCGTCGGCACGTAAAACGGATAAACTGCAGCCCTAATTATAATATACCGTATTTTGGCACATTTAAATTACACAATTCCAGGGGTTACGATTGGGCAACGCATGATGGGAAACAACATGGCGCTGCAAGATCGTACCCACGGGGCACGAGGTTGTAATTCATGGGCCGATTCTTTTCGGTAGTTTCTCATTCAAACTGCATAACTATTGTAATGCTAGAAATAAAACAGATCAGAAAAGGAATCTATTTTGCAGAATGGAACTCAAAATGTTGTGTTTTGAGACCCATTCTGCAACCCAACAGATGTAAGAGGATGTATTGTAAGCGTGGAATAACAGTACAATCAGAGTTGAAAGTCAATCACAAGTTAGGTCACGGGTCAGGTCACAAAGTAACAGAGGCTGAATGATGAGAAACCAATGTCTCATCATCGTTCACTTGGAAATCTTGCAACTTGGTCTGAGACTGAATGACTTGTGATTGAATATTGATTGCCTTACGAAGACTTGATTACGACACTGACGATAAAATAAAACAAGAAAAGATGTAGAAAATCTTTACCTTTGATAGCAATCAGTGACACAGTTGTAGTGGTAGGAAGCATGAGTGAAGGCCTGCACTAAGTAAGCCTTGTCGCTGAAGCTGTAATTGATGGTCTTCTCAAAGCTGTCCATACCGACCAAGAGATGTGCTAACCTCTCTTCAGCATCTGAGGCATTCCTGAAGAACGGGGATTCCGGCTGCTTCAGGTAACCGTAGCATGACCTAGGTTTCTCGCAGTAAGCCTGATTGGTGTATTGGTGGTCGTCCTTGATGGAATTTTGATTCCGAGTGATTGTATCACCAAGATCTACAACTGATTGACCTGTTGTGGTTTTATCATCAGCTGTGTTGCCTTTGAGTCCACGAGATTCATCGTCTGGAATCTGCGGCAGCACGCGGAGACCAAACCAAGACATCACGATGAGGGCACTCCGAAAACCACAAGATATGAGGTAGCAACCTATGATTGCCTCCACAGAGTCGGCTAGGTTCTTATCAGAGAGGCTGTGCTGGGTGTGGATTTCGTAGGGCAACTCAGGGAGGTCTCCCATGTCGACTGGCTTTCGGCCAGTGTAGGTTAACCCAGGAAGATTATCAGCATCCTCGAGGGAGAAGGACCAAGGGTCTAGAGTCTGGAAGCTGCCGTTAGGGTACTGGTAAGTTGGATCGTCATCGCTGAAATCGCTATCCATGTCCCCGGGAGTCATCATAGGGATGTCAATATCCGGAGCAGTCTCCTCTTCCACAACCATGTTGGGGTCCCACATGTCCACGCTGCTTGGATCCCACGTATCAATGGCAAAATCGCCATCATCTGAGGAAACATCACTACCTTCTTTCTGGTAGGACTGATACGACCGCTGCTCATCGGGGTGAACGTTCTCCTTGACAGAGAAGCACGCGGCCAGCCAGTTGATAGCGGGATCGAACAGCGCTACCTGCATTTTCCGCCCGATGTCCTTCCGCTTGCCGAGGCGGTAGAGGTTGAAGTTGCTGACCTGCTTGCTGCGCATGTAGCTCAGCTTGCCCTCGTGGCGCCGGGGGTAGGTGCAATACAGGTAGATGGTGACTGCTTGTTTGAGGAAGGAGTCGCCAAGCATCTCAAGCCTCTCCAAGTTGAACCCATCGCTGGAGTTGGACATGGTCAGGGACTGGAGGATGGTCGTGGGGCTTGGACCAGGCAGGCTGGCTGGGTCATGACCTTGATCATCTAAGATGCTAAGCTTCAACGAGCAGTCTTCTTTGCCTCTCAAAACCTGACTTGAATCACCTTGGCTTTCCTCTCGCAAGCCTCTGCACTCTTCCTCTCCAGAAACGTTAGTACTGACATTAAATTTCTTCTCAGGATTGCTATAAATGTTATCTCCAAGATTTTGATCTCTTGCAAGTGCATCATTACTTTCACAGTTCATCTGGTTTGTGTCTGTCCCTTTATTGCTTGAATTTAACTGAGGAGGGGCAGCAGATTTGGAGTCGACATCGTAGCCATCCTTATTGCACATCTCAGCTGTCATTGCATCCTGCTCGGTTTCTACCACTGCACTGCCGTCTTTATCTGCAGTGCTTTGGTCAATATTTTCCCGGCCTTTGACTTCAAAGTTTGTGTTCTTTAACATGGTGACGTTTTCTACTTTACCCAAGGTTTCTGGATCAACACAACAGTGGTTTTCTTCCTTTTCCTCTGAATTTTGAGCCTTCTCTTGGCCGGTCACTATTCCTGAAGCAGTGTTGTCTGTGACTGCACTCCCATCCTTCCCGCCTTCAGGTTCCTTGTTTTGGTTTTCAAGGTCCAGCAATTCCAGTCCCTCCCATCCAAAGGTCATGTTGGCAAAAGGGTAAGGGTCTGCCGGCAGCTCTGCCATGCCGACTCCTGCCTCCTGGCTGATTTGGACTCGTAACTCCTCAGCCACCAGCAACGAATTCAGCCTGTACAGGATGCTGGGGAGGCACACCGCCTTCCTCCACAAAGACGCCGGAATCGGATAGATGTAGCAGAGCTCCGGGACCAGGTATTGCTTCTTCTGTAGGTAGTTCTTCTTGCTCTGCATCCTGCTGATCGGCAGGGCCTTCCCCTTGTGGTTCAGGTACCTCGGGGTCAGCAGATTCAGCCTGGACGACATGCAGTCCACGTCCAGCAGAGGCTGCTGGTAGTTGGACACCTGGATGTCGTACCGCTCAAAGTAGTAGTCGATGAACTTCTCGTACTTGTCCGAAGGGAAGGGACTCGTCACGGGGAGATTGCTCAAAATGTCGGCTATGTAGTACCTCTGGGGCTGGTCAATGTTGCGATAGATTGGTGTCACCACGGCGTCGGCAAAGGCTTCGGTTGTGAAGACAAACTGATTCCTGCTGTAGTCTGGAAGGACTGGCGGCCTGTCTAGCATTCCAGAACTTTCACTGACAGTCTTCAAAAAGTTCCAGTCAATGTGGATTTGTTCTTCTTCATCACCTAAGAAAAAAATTACAAAAAAAAGACACTTTTCAATAGTATTAGAGTGCAAGAGTTAATTAAGGCCATGTCCCAAACAGGCATTTGGAGTTATGTCCACAGTCAGCATGTAATTGTCAAAGACCTAGACAATTGATATGAAGCAGCCTACAGCAGGTCTTTTTGCATAAGTAGCAAGCACCAGGATTAAAGGTAATATACAACATTTGCAAACATCAAAAACCAAAACTACCAAATTATTATGAAATACCTTTCTTGACTCTAAGTTAATGATTGTCTCAAGCATCCTGTGAAATCATGGCACCTGGTGTGTGCAGTCATTTTCAAGAAAAGTGGAACTTTTGTATCAATTTTCAACGATGGCCGACCGACCATTTTTGTCAATTTTTTTTTTGCTATGCTACATTTCCTTCACACATTTTTGTGAAAGGGATTTGAGGTCAGCAGTGCCGTTGGATAGGGTATTGCCGTAGAGAGAAACCAATTGGTTACCAACTCTAAACCTCAGATTTCTGGGGGGGGAATCCTTTTTATTACAATTTTTTCAAATAAACCACGACGGGCAACTGACTACGTGGAATATAAAACAGGTTTTGAAAGTTGAACAAAGAAATTGACTGGAGCCGAGTTTGAGCCTGCGACCTCTGGACTGCCATTCCAGTGCTCTACCAACTGAGCTATCCAGCTCTAAGTTGGCAGTTCCCTTGAAACAAAGACACTGACAAAATAGGGAACCGCCAACTTAGGGCTGTATAGCTCAGTTGGTAGAGCACTGGAACGGCAATCCGGAGGTCGCAGGTTCAAACCCCACTCCAGTCAATTTCTCTGTTCAACTTTGACAAATTTTAAACACTCCTTGTGATACTCACATTTGTTGAGAGGCGCTATGAGGTAGCTGGCCTCGGCCTTCTGGGGGTCAAACTCCAGGTTGGGTTTCTCAAGCCGGAGAACTTCCGCAAAGATGCAGCTGTGAAACTGCTGCAGCTGTTTCAACTGGTCAGGGGTCACTGTGATGTCAGAGGTTAAAAGGTCAACCGATACGGCCAGCTCGCCCGCTCGTGTGTAGACAGGAAACCTGGAATCTTTACAGGTAAGATTGAAAGCCACGTACGTTCATTTGCAATTACCTGATAAAGAACCTGCCAATTTAAGAACAGAAACCTTGTTTCGGTAAAGGTAAATGGGATTAACCTGTGTGCACAGGAACGGAGTGCCCATCTCTCTTTTGAAGCGATTGGGCCAGACTCATTATGCTGCTGTGGGGGATCGCCACACCTCCTCCACAGGGAGTCTGTTACCTTCCCAGCATTGAATAATGCCAGTACCCATTTAACACCTGGGTTGAGCGAAGTAATTGAGGTAAAGCGCCTTACTCAAGGGCACAACACGCATGGCCACGGTGGGGCTCGAACCCACAACCTCACGATCATGAATCCTGTACTCCACTGCTAGACCACACATGCCCTTATATAAAACTATGCAGTTATACAATTTAGTTAGCATCACATGGAAAAACCAAAGAAATAAAGACTTAAATGAAGCCTAGCCCACCTTTGGAACGATCTTAGTGGTGAGGATCCCAAAGGATCTCGTTGTCTCCTCTGGAACATGAAGCCTACGATCCCGCACATTGAGTACCTCAGGCAAAGGTGAGGCAAGACCCATATGTATCTCATACAGATGACATGGTTGGTTGGTCATGGGATGACAAGCTTTAAGGCACATTGCAACCTGTTGATACAAACAGAGTTATTATTCAATGTTAGGTTTTGCCCTACATTGATGTATAAACACTGTAAAACGCAGTGTGCTATGTCCCGAGTGAAAGTTGGAAAAAAATCACTCGGGTGGGACTCGAACCCACGACCTCCTGCTTTCAAGTGCAGACATCTTACCAATCGACCAAAGAGCTTGTTGGACTGGTTGGCTGGTTTGAATCTGATGTACATGTAACAGCGGGTACCGCAATTTAACTATTCATAAGATCATATTATTGTCAACTGTGAATACCATTATTTCAACCTACGTCCAAATAAACTACCAAGATAACTAACAAGGAAAAGAATATCTATATCAGGATGAAAGGAAAAACAAGATTCTTCATGGTTGACAAACATCCAATCAGATTTGTAATTTGAGTCAATCATAAGGCCGCCCTTAGGTCAACCTTTCGATGACACAGAACAGTCGACGACTGGTTTCTTAGGATCAAGCTGTGCCTGAGCTACGAGCGTGGGGAACATATCAGTTGGCGATTTTTTGCAACTTGAGTGTAACTACGATGATATTTAGACAGTCGGCATCAGTCGACACTAAAGAAAATCAACAGTTGAAAAGTAGAAAAATTTCCACTTCATTCATTTGAAGACTGACTGACACATGACGAATTGTGAGGACTTGGGTTATTCACTGACAGTCAAAGACTTTCCATTACCTCTTTATTATAGTACTGTCTTCTCTTTGTCGTCCCTGGTCTGCCCTGCCCTTCCTCCACTACTTCCTGATCATAGCCAAGGTCCTCCATCAGGAGCACTGTGTCCTTTCCCACCGGGAGGAGGTTGTCGTCTAATTCCCCTGAAACAAATTCAGAGTGTAAAGCTCTTTTCAGATTATTGGCATTCCATTCCAGTTTACAGCAACATAAGTCCACCCAAATAGAAATCAGTTAAGACAGGCAACTTTGAGTTCTTAGATCTTAGCAGTGCCAAAAAAAAAATTTAACTGACACTTAGTATGCTTGTATTGACACGCAGGCTAGTATGTCTGCACAGCTGAGCCCCAAATTCAAAAATACCCAAGACAGTTTACCCATTGATAAAATACCGACTGGTTTTAAACACTTTTTCTCTGGTGTCACATGACATTCGGGTTCCTAGAAATCTGGCCTTTTTACCCTTTTTATTGGTTGAACCCTCACACGTGACCAGTCACTCTCCTAATTATCTTCACTTAGGTATGCGCTGCCAGTATTTCATAGAGTCTAAAATTAGCACTACATTGGCACCGCTGCGTTCTGTGTCACAACCCACAGTACGCACTATGCGCACACCAATCGCCATATAAGGGGATTTTAATACTTCTCCTGTGAGGCACATACCATAAGCATAGCTTGGGGGTGTGTCACAAAACATGAAGTTAAAGTGTTGAACAGAATCGTTTGAAATTTAAAAGTTTTTTACTTGTTTGTCTTTTTGACCAAAAACGTACTTATGAATGGGAATATGCTTGGCTGTATGTTTGAAACCAGCTAGGGGGCCTGGTCACAGATAATGGCCCTCGTCTTTGACTAGGGCCATTATTGGCGTCCAGGCCCCAAGCTGGTCTTAAATGTACTTGTTTAAAACTAGCCAAGAACATATCTATTCCTTTATTAATGGGAAAAAATGAGTGTGAAAGTGCATGACACAGAAATTTGTAAAGAAAATGTGTGTACAATATATTTGTCACATCCATAACATTCCCCAAACACACAATTTCCAAATAAATGTAAACACATCGATGCTCATTTTACATCCCCCTTCTACACATTTTCTCCCTGAAATCATATTAGACTACTGGAATTCAAATCTTGTTTTACAAATTTAGTTCTCAATTTAGTGATTTAGTTCTCAATTCCAACATCAAAGTCAGTGTTTTGAAATAAATTTCAACCAAAAAAAAATAAGATTTCAAGTCTGATGTGTCTTACCAGCTTTGTGAAGTGTTTCGCATGTCTTCAGTGCAGCAGCCATTTCAGCTAACTTTCTCTTTGGCATCGGAGGGCCCTATGAACAGACGACATTTGTTTAAAACAAGAAAAGGTAAAAAAATTAAGCAATATCTGCTAAGAAGTTTAACGAATAAAATTATAATGCTGGATCACAACCCAATCATGTGGGTGACTTTTGAACTTTCAGCATTTGATTTTTTTTTCCATTTCATTTCGATCTTTGCAAAGTGGACAACAGAAGTAATAACACATACACTCAACCAAAAAAGAAAGTTCCCCCCCCCCTTCCCATACTTCTTTGTCAAACTCAAAAACTACTGAGCACCTCTCGCTCAAATAATGACTAATCAGTACAGAAATTCCTTAGCAATCCAGCCGTACTCTTTATTTGGCAAAAAAACAGTGATAATGTGTACGAATTTATGCAATTTATGACAAATGATACCAAAAACAGTTGCACTTTTGTATACGTGCAAGTTGTGGTTTACACTCGCCTTGCACGTATACAAAAGTGCAACTTTTTTTGCACCATTTGTCAAAAATTGCATAATTTTATACACATTATCACATTTTTGGGCCAAACAATGAGTATGGTTGGATTGCTAAGGAGTTTCTGTACTGATCAGTCGAAGTTTGAGCAAGATGTGCCCAGTAGTTTTTGAGTTAGACAAAAATGTATTAAGGGGGTACTTTCTTTTTTGGTTGAGCCCATGCAATGTAGGTTTTGTTTAATGCAAACATTAAAAAATGTTGCATTCCATTTAACCTTATTTTCAATTTTTGTTTTGAAATTTTGAGCAAAACTTTTTCACAAAAGTTTTTAATGAACACACTTTGGGGTTCATAATTTGAACAGAAACCCCTAAACTGAACAGTAACTTCCTTAAATGACATCACAGCAGTAGCGCCCTCAGTTGTCCGGAAAAGCATAGAAACTTTTTAAATGTTTAAAGAAGTGCACTTTTCATTAACCAAAAAGAAATGTCAAATAGTTTTCATACATTTAAAAGGAGTAGAAAGTTGCACAAAATGTGTTCCTGAGAAAACTTCATCTCATGAACCCACTGATCTCTATATAAAGACTGGATAGCGGATATCCATACACCAGTCACACAGTAGACTTTGCATATTGACCAATTCGTCCTTGGTCTCACGAAGATGGCCGCGTATAATACGAATGTTCTACTCGTATATACAGCGCGCGTTGTATCCACAGTTGACGCGCATTTTGGTCACATACACATATTATGGTGTTCTAAAAAGGCCAAATTTCCGTAGTGATTATTATTTCCAAAACGCCGAAAAAGTGAGCGGCGGCATGAAAACAGCCAACCACGACGTTAGAAAAGTTGTAAACCTTGGACAGTGGTCGTGGTAAAAATATAAGTTAACTGAACCGCGATGTTACAAAAGAATGTTGTCTATTAAGACGGCAACTTGTCCTTTGTAGATCACCAGCCGGTCTCACCAATATGGCGTCAAATTCATTCATTGTGCAGCTCTTTATCCACTATCCAGTCTTTATATAGAGATCAGTGCATGAATGTTATTACAATGTAGAAAGCTGTTTAGATGAATAAGGATACAAACAAAGTTAAGGCGAAAATCAACAATTTTTTTTTTTTTTTTTTACGTCATCTTTAATGAGGGTAAACTCCGATCAGTGCAAGGCACTGCTTTCCATGGAGGCCCTCAAGTTAATGAGAACTATGAGACCCGTTATGTAGCACCTTTATAAGGGTTTACAAGGTGCTGCGGCGCATATTGCAGCCACTGCCAGAAACACCGGGGCAAACCCCTTCTCTTAGCGATAAGTGTAACTGGGTTCTTTAAAGTGAATTACACAACACACGGGACCTACGGCTTTGCGTCCCATCCGAAGGACGAAGCAATAATGGTAAAGTGCCTTGCTCAAGAGCACAAGTAACATGTTCCCACGGTCAGGATTCGAACCCATGTACCACGGCACACGAGTCAAACACCGTAACCATTGGACCAAAGCACCCCACACTTTCTACTGCTGTGACCCAAGTTCGAATCCCACCCGGGCCAATATATGGATTGGGTTTTCAGTGCTTAGTTTGATTCCATGGGTTTCCCAAGAATGTCTTTCTGGGTTTTCCTCTCAACTCCAAAACTGTTATTTCCTTCGTAATCTTCTACCAAGGGACCCCAATGAAAATAAGTCGGAAGAGTTCCGTAAATAATAACAGGTAGATTAAGTAATGAATGAATAAATGAATAGAACTCATAGAAGCTCACCAGTATGGAGTCCCTGATGGGCGAGTTGATTGGTAGGAATATCCGAGACTGGTACATGACAGGACTTGAACCATCTTGAATGGTGGCTGTCTGGCACTTGGGAGACAGATGAGTAAAGGTGTCGCTGGGAAGCTTGGAGCAATATCTGAAAAAAAGGGTAAATTTCTTGATCACAAAACACTTTATATAATTCCTGTTAATGTACCCTTAGGCCCCCCCAAAAAAGTCTCCGGTTTCTGGTTTGGAGCTTGCCCAAAAAGTGGTGCGGCGACGCGGCTTTTTTTTTTTTTTACCTGTTTTTTTTGCTTCAAATGTCGGCTGATGACTGCAAATGGTGCCCGACTAAACTTAGTGCAAATATATGGGAGTCCAGAGAGGCCACATAAAGCTTATTCTCGATCATAACCCCATCTAAAAACACGTTAAAATTCTGCAGCAGCAGGATACCAGTCAAACCAGTGAGTTTGGCGGTTTTGAGACATAATCTTTTATTGAAAAAAACTTTTTCATTTTGCCGACGCGCGCGCATACCAGAAACCGGAGACTATTTTTTTTTGGCCTTAAGGAGACATTTTTCGTCATAAGTCATACCTTAGGGAGACACTAAGGAGACATTTCAATGTCTCCCTAATGTCACAACTCCTGTTTAGAGGCAAAAATGTACTGTCGCAAATAGGCTAGGTCGATTGCTCATGGTCCAAAACGTAAATATACCAGATTTGTGGGGCTAGGATAAGGGAAATTAGGGTTAGGGGTAGGACTGTGCATCTGAACCGGGTACCCGAGTACCGTTAATGTCAGGAAACGGATCCAGATTGTGGAATCAAGTACCCGCAACAAACTGTACAAATTGAAATTACTTAGTAACTTCTCAGACAATGAAAAAGGAAGGTTTCAAATGTCATTGGTGGGGAAATTTCAATATGAAAAACAGGCTACATGGGAGCTCACTGCACACACCTGTATCTTGCCGTATTGACGCACTGATGTAGTAGTATTATCGTGCAGACCTTTATGAACAATCTCAACAGCAACTTCCCAGATTTGAATTTGTTTGGGCTAGGTTTTCAGATTTGAATTTTTGGGCTGGGTACCCGTATTTTTTTTCCAATAGGGTACCCCGTTCTTGTACTATCCATAAATGCACACCCGTAGTTAGGGGTCATTAAAGTTGGACAAATTATGTGCACAACCCTATGGGAATGTCCCCCTAAGGTACCATTTCCCGTAATAATAATAATTATAATAATTACCGGGAATGGGTCATTAGGGAGACTTTCCCATAGACTTGTGCACAAAATTTTTCCAATTTAAATGTGCCCTAACCCAATATTCCCTTGTCCTTTTTCCACAAATTTCGGTATTTTTACTAATTAGACCACGAGCAACAAATATAACCTAATTTCGACAGTAAAATTTTGCCTCTAAAGGGGGGCTGCACAATTAGGGAGACAGTTGTGTGTCTCCCTAAAAGCCGGTGTCTCCCTATTATTGAAAAATTACGATAACGTGTCTCCCTAATAGTACATTTAGTAATATATCATTATTAACAACCCAAACAATTGCACACACAATTTTGCAATTTTCTTTGAATGTTTGCAAAGATATCAAAATACTTTATTTCTAAGAGTTTTAAGATTTAAAGTGTAGTTGGAAAAGGTTACAACAACTTTGTAAACAGTAATTACCAACTGACTGGTAAAAAGATATTGAAAAGGAGAAATGAAAAAGTAAGGTAACAATGTAACTTTAATGTTGCTTCGACAAAGTATAACTCTAAAATCTCGTTCACATTTGGCATTTTATTGGCAAGAAGAAAAAAACAAGTGCTAACACAAATGTTTCATGACATAAAAATTTGATTGGCATAAAATCTCCATTCGCAGCGAAGTATGAAAATACGCGACATATTTCGCATGACCATTATTGAAAGCTTTCCTAAAGTTTTGGGTCATATCATATAAAGTTTTGGTCCAAAGTGTGACATTTTTTCATGTCCCTGTTACCTCTGAAATTAAAAAATCACTATTCTACATTTGTTTGGTAGGTAATTTGCTTTCCATAATAATGCACGTAGTAATGCATTAAGACTTTACAAACCAATGCATTTCAGATGTAACAGGGACAGTTAAGAAGTGGACCCCAAATTTTATAGAATGACACATTTTAAAAATACTAGTGCAAACTTATATTTTACTATCAAACCATGGTACTTGCCACAGACCAACCTATTGACAAGTGAGATGGCTGTTGTCATGGTTACCATGCCCGCATCTTCCCCCTTGCTTGGTTTGTATGGGAGACACAGTGAATCTGCCTCCTGTAGATCAGTTTCATCCCAAGACTGCTGCTCCCTCTGGTGACATTTCCGTTGGAGGATCTGGAATTGAAAAAAATGTTATCACAATCACTAAATGTTGCACCTAATGATATGGACTCCACATACAAGTATTCGCTTGACAAATTGAATTGTTATATCGTGTCTTTGGATACTGTAATTTCATTGGTTTAAAACAGCTACATGCCCAGTATATAAAAATTACAGTAAATCTCATTTACACTGCGTCGCATACAAATTACCTCATACACACCGCGCTGCAATATCAAATACCTCATATATACCCCATTGCATATAAACTACCTCGCATGCACGTGAGTCCAATATGTGTGCAGGGCGCACACGACACGCAGAGCAATGCAACCAATACAGCGTATCAGAACTATCGTTCACTAATAAAGCAACTTCGGCAGCTAAGTGCGGTGATTAAATTTATTTCTCGAAGACTAAATCACGACTTTCATCTTCTTTTTTTTATCACCATATAACAAAACAATTCATTGGTCGCACAACGAAGTAATGTACATGTATTGTGTGCACAAAGTCTATAGAGGTTACAGACCAGTAAATAAACTTCCATAGACCCCAATGGTAAATGCTCCCACTTCAGAAATTCAGGAAAAATACTCACAACTCTCCAAGGTGTTCGAGACACACATCAAATTAAAGCTTATTTCATCATCTTTCATTTTCTTTTCAATTTTCGGGGGGTCAACTGATGATTTTTAGGGGAAATTTCCATCCGAAGATGATCACCCCTGAAAATAGTCCTGAAACCCATCGCCATTTTGAAAAACGATGCCTACACTCCATTGCAAAATAGAGTGCTTTAAGGGCCCCAATTTCATTTTTTACAAACCCTCAAGTTCATGGCCCACAGCATGCTCAAATACTGAAGATTTTGAGGGCATGCAAATCGTGATTTGGCCGGCGTAGGCAATTTCGGACCGATTTACTGGTCTGCAACCACAGATGATACGTCACTTTCTGGTGCACCTGACGAATTGTTGACTGCTGTGATTATGGACATTGCATTTTTTTAATCCCTCGAGGACGCACAGAACCCTCGGCTTCACCTCTGGTGCCATGCGTCCCACGGGAGTAAAAAATTCAACATCACAGAAGTCAACAATTGTTATACATTCGACCCTTAAATACTGTGCACATGTAAATCACAAGTCCTTTCACTAGTCCAGTCACAAGTAACAGGGGATGAACAATAACAAAGGAATGCCTTAATTCATTTGAACAGAAAAAACGACTAGATGACTTGTGAGGACTTGTGATGGACTCATGAGGACTTGTGAGGACTTGTGATGGACTCGTGAGGACTTGTGAGGACGTGTAAGCGTGTGAAGACTTGTGAGGACTTGTGAGGACTTGTGAGGACTTGTGAGGACTTGTGAAGACTTGTGAGGACTTGTGAGTACTTGTGAGGACTTGTGAGGACTTGTGAGGACTTGTGAGGACTTGTGAGGACTTGTGAGGACTTGTGAGGACTTGTGAGGACTTGTGAGGACTTGTGAGGACTTGTGAGGACTTGCGAGGACGTGTAAGCGTGTGAGGACTTGTGAGGACTTGTGGGGACTTCCGAGGATGTGTAAGCGTGTGAGGACTTGTGAGGACGTGTGAGGACTTGTGAGGACTTGTGATGGGCTCGACTACAACAATGCTTTGCGCACGGAACAGTTGTCGAGTCCATCCCAAGTCATTACAAATCACAAGTTTAGTTACAACTAACAGGGCACAAACAAGGACATAGGAATGCTTTTGTCGCAGTTCTGTTGAATAGCTCGTGACTTGACTTGAGACTGAAATGACTTGTGAAATTGATCCCTTATCTCACCTTATCAATTTCCTGAAAGTTGCTAAGTTCCTTGGTGAAAGCACCTAGGCTAGCCTCTTCAACCAGCATGATGTAATGTGAGTTGGGTGCCCTGGCACGACCCTTGGACAGAACGTACGACCGGTAGTGATCGGGAATATCAAAGCGCACAACCAAGTTACACTTGGGAACGTCTACACCTGGAAAACATGAGAAAATATTAATAATCACATTGCCAAGTTAAACTAACACACAGCAAACCTGCAATGCAAATTTTGCAATATTAATTTGCAATGAAGTTAGAAATAGTGTGTCTTTTGTTAATTTTCCAAATATTGTTGTACGGCATTCTTGTCTTGCGATAAAAGATATATTGATGAATCATTTTACACATTTAATCCTCACCTTCCTCAACAGCACTTGTGGCAAACAGCAGGTTGATCTCGTGACGTCGAAACCTCCTCAGAATTTCCTCTTGCTTTTTAAACTGTAGCTCCTTTGTCACACTTAGGGCGTCAAGGCCTCCCCTGCTGTGTCCCATGATGCAGCTGCTGTTGATGAAGCCCAGAACAGGGTCTTTCTTTTGCAACCGCCGGACCAATTTGTCTAGAACCATGGCTAGGAAGCGACGATTCACAAAGACGATGCCGTACATGTTGGTTTCGCTTTGTGCATCGGCCATTTCGTCTTTGTCCTCTTCTTCATCGTCCGAGTTGCTGTCATCATCTTCATCGTATACGAGAAGCCGTCTGTTTCTGATCAACCTCTCATGGTGGACCTTCTGCGAACTTCCACCCCCTAGTATTCTCTCGGTACGTCTCACAGTATCCTGACTTTTAACGGCAGCATTGATGTTACTTGATTCTTCGCTTGGTTGGAACTCTTTCAGTACTTCAAGAAGACGGCGCACCTTCGAGGTCGTGAGTCTCAGATCAAGTGGATCCTCTAATTCCATGATGGCGTTTTCGCAAATCTTTCTCGCCAAGCGTAGCTGGGTGCAACCGTACTGCAGCATGAGCTTACTCGCGGAATGCGACCCGCGCTTTTCGATCTTCTGAAGCCTTTTGAGAAGCAAGGGGACGACTATCCTCAACCCCAGTGGCCCTACAGCCACAAAGGTCATGAGGCACTCTCTGAAAGCCTGCATCACAGCCACCCGAGGATCTCCTTCTATTGCATCATATGGTATGCAGCACTCTTGTACGAAGACCAGAGCATCATTTAAAACATGCTCCACCTGGGTAATGATGTCTTCAAACCCCTGCTGCATCTCACAGACAATGATTGCCTCCTTGGGCTTGGTGCAATACCTGGTCAGGCATCCACTGGAGTAGGTCTCCGCAACACTCTTAAGAGTTTGTTCAAGGACACCAAGTTTCCTCTCCAGAGTCTGCGGCTCACATTTGCTGTGGAGAATGGAGGCCGTCATTCCCATAATGCGGGGCAAGCGGGACGACTCCTTCCATCCACTAAGGCACTTCATGATCTCACAGTATGGGTGCTTCTCCGTGGCACGGTGACACTCGTCAAATACCAACAAATTGACTTGATAAGGACTGACGACGCCGTGTTCGAGTATTTTCAAGAATAGCTCGGCAGTTGTGATGAGGACTTGGCTCTGGACAAACTTTTGTTTCCATAGCGCCAGATTGGAGTTATCATCGTCATCAGAAACACAACTCACAAAGTCCCCAATAGTTAGATCGGTGTGTTCACAGAGCACGCTTGCTTGCTGCGTAACGATACTCACTACAAAGAAAAGCACATGAACGATTTCTTCTTGGAAGAAGTGTGGTTCTGAAAAGAACTGGCCGGTTGAGTGTAGAACTCAATGTTTTGGCCGTGCTCTGTCCGTTCTCAGGAGGGTGAGTGACAGAGCACACTGTAACAGTGGACGGACAAAGCACACTGTCCGAAGCATGGAGTTCTACACTCAACCAACCGGTTCTTTTCAGAACCACACTTCTTTCAAGAAAAGATTACTTTCCAGTTTCCACATGGTGTTACCCGCAATCTTTCTACTTTATCTCATCTGCTATGCAAAGCTTCAAGTCATATATGAACGATTTGTTAAAATACCAAACCTCTTTTACTGATGTGTTTATTGCGCTTATTTCTAATTACTTTATTCTCTTTGGCAAGAACCCGAGAATTCCTCCAAAAATGCACACAAAAAAAACACTTTGACCTTCAAGCCTCAAGAAAGTTAAAGACAAAAGAGAGGCAGACATAACTTCATTGATTCCTGATCATTTAAGCACCACTGTGTAAGGAATCACTGTTAATCCCATTTAAAAAAAAGATTTGGGGAAATCTCTGTGTTCACTGTTAATATGCCTAGGGAACTTAAAACATGCTAAGCCTTTGTTTTTTTTAACACGGCGGACACAAAAGGAGGCCTCTATTTGGTCTTGGTAAATTTGGGTAAATACAAAATATTTTTACACAAACCAAAAAGCGCCCTCCGATTGTGTTCACCAAAAATGGACCAAGTGTCCGTGCGGAACAAGGAAAAAGTAAAATTAGACCGTACCATCATTGACAAGATACACCATTCTCTTTCCGCCTTCTTGCAAGGGCAAACGTAAGGCATTTGATAGCTCCTTTATCAGCATCACAGCAATAAATGTCTTGCTGGCCCCCGTCTGCAGACAGACAATTGTGTTGTGATCCAAAGCAGCATCAAGTAATTCCACCTAAAAATAGAAAAATGTGTGTATCATTCCAACTTGCATTCCCTGTGCTATTTTCCAGTTTTTATCCCGAAAAAAAATATATTTCTTTTTCAAAATTGTTATTTCTCTAGCACTACAGAAGTTGTTCACTTTTGAATGAGGCATCGTCTAGACAAAAAATCGGCCCATGTTTATGTGGCAGGGCCAAATTTATCTTGTTTATTTTTCATGTATGTAATGTATAGTGTATTGAATAGGAGTAGCTCCCCTTAGAAAAGAAGACCATTTCAGTGTTTTTTATTAGATGTCCCCAACCCTTTCATAGTTGTGTTTCCCCCTGATTAGCTTTCCCCAGTAACAGTCCACATTGTATGTAAACTGTTCCCATGCCATTGGCTCCCCCTGTCCCAAGACCATGTGCCCTGCCACCCTGTAAGACCACAGACCCCTCATGATCAGTAGCAGACCAGCGGCAGTAGAGAGAGGACCGTGCATTATATTTCCTTTTCTTTTCCCTTGATTTTCTTGGGTGGGCCTTGCCCTGTGTGAGTGTTTATCTGCTCGAGTTATTGATTTCTGCCAGAAGTGTCTTTAAGGTCCACTTTATACAACACTGTGTTGGTTTGAGTCTTTGTTTTTTTAGGTTTAAGTTTTGGTTTTAGGGTTTAAGTTTCTTTATGTTTCTTTAAGTTGTTGGTTTTAGGGGTTAGTCTTTGCTCTTAGTCTTGATTTTCATGGTCTTGGTTTTAATTATCTGGTCATTTTGAAAGTTCTTGTCAATACATTCTTTTTGTCCTTTTTGTTCGAAATCTAGAATTTGTGTCCTTTGTCCCTATAAATTCAATCTCCTCGCGACTTTTCCCTTCAAAGATCCCAAGTTTAGTTTAGTTGTAGTAGTTTTCGCGAGTTCCCCAGGTGTGTCATTTTTCCAGGTTACATTTAGTTATTGAATTCGTCTTTTTGTGTGGTTCCAGCAAAATTTTAGCTAAGTATGCAAGCTCAAAAGCTGGTAGAATGTATGGACACAAAAGAATCAGCAAAAGAGTTGAAAAGACAGCAGAATCCATCTTGGAAAATCCGCCATCTTGAAAAAAAAAAAAAACCAGGCTCCCTCATCCCATTTTTCAAAAAAGCCTGGACAAAATTTTTTTTTTTTTACTTTGCCTTATTCATGACATTTCAATGATACGATTTGTAAGCACAATGGTGCAGTTTGAAATAAAGCTAGAAGATGTTCAGTTTGTTCCCACCCTCATACTTATCTTAGGCCAAACAAAAAATAGTTCTGCTTCCCATTACATGGCATTCCAAAATAGGGTAGGTAGGTAGGGGTTTTTTTTTTTTTTTGGCCAATTTTTTTTTTTTGTCTACGATCATATGGAGGCGTCTGCGTGTAGTCAAGGGTAAAAGGTAGAAATTGATGGTTTTGGGGGTTTGTTTTTCATTTCCCCATAAAAAAATTAGGGTACGGGCTGTCAGAATAGGGTAGGTAGGGAAACCGGAAGCAGACCTTTTTCTTTCTTTTTTTAGGCCTTATCTGAACTCAAATTGCCAAGGAGGGTTTGAGTTTTGCAACTGCAAACTTCTGCATACAGGCCATTTTTTAAAAAGTGCTAACTTGGGGGTTTTATGTCTTACAAATTGACAAAACAGCAGCTTCTCCACTATAAGATATAACTTTTATCTCTTTTGTTTACTTTGTGGTTGAGTGTTAATGAGATTGTGGGATATGTTCTTTATTTATTTCGTGGTTAAGAGTATTCATTAACATATTTTTTTCTTTGGCACTTTTTGTTCATTTGTTATTTTCCATTTGATGTTATATGCTGTTCCCTAGTAAAGGTACTTTTATGAAATTACTTTTTATTTCCCAAGGTGTTATTATTTTTTTAATTATTATTTATTTGGCCTTTTAATAACAAAGTACAAACATACAACAAGCAATCCACAATAAAATGAAAAAACAACAAGCAATCCACAATAAAATGAAAAAACTAAGACATCACAACCAAATTTTCTTTCGCCTTTTTTTTTTTTTTTTTTTTTTTTTTTTTAGGTTGTGATATACAATTGTAGTGTGAAGGCAAAGCAAATAATAAATAAAAATTTAACAATTGAAAAAAGCTAAGCTTTTGAAACAAAACAATACAAAAACACATGTATAGAAGTCAAAAGTATATCCGTCATCAGGTCATGTGCGTCCAACTACTCCTTGCTTTAAGATGTTGCATAACATGCACATGTACACTAAACAGTTTCTAAAAGAAGGTGCAACTGCAAGTAGACTGATATATCAATCAATTTGAAGGGTTCAATAAAATACGATTTTAAACACAGAAACAAAATATGATAAATTATCAGTGATGATAATCTAAACATCATTATTAATAAAGTTGATAACAAATATACTCCTTTTTACTTTACTAATTAAATTGTAAGTCACAAAAGGTGGATTTTTTGTTTTCAATTTTTGTATAGAAAAGTTGAACATCAACTGAGCTTTATTTCTAAGGTATAGTTTCTGGTCCGTTTATAAACCACACACAATATATGGCCTACTATAATTATACTGAAGGTGAAGCACCCAATTTTCCAAACCCTTTTTGTGGAAAAAAAATTATAAGAGAAAATTATGGGAAGGAAGTAACAGTACTTTTACAGTGTGGGCTGATAAAGTGAAGATGTGTAATTTTTGTTTAAAGAAAAGACAAATTTAAAGGAAAAATTTTAAAAAGATAAAAAATTGCGTTGGCCGGGAATTGAACCCGGGTCAATTGCTTGGAAGGCAACTATTCTAACCACTATACCACCAACGCTCACGATCAAAAGTGGTGAATGTAAATTATTTAAACAATGTTTCGTCGCCGTAACATCAGGACGTGTTCTAAAATGGTTTTCTTATTTTCATTATGCTTGTGTTGTCTCGATTTCAACTTAATTTTATATCTTTGTCTTAAATTATATCCAATTTTCCGATCCCAAAGCCACCAATGCACCAACATCGTCCGACTCAAATTAGACTGGTTCCCGTTCGTCTTTTATCGTTCTGACTCGCTTGCCGGATACCAGTCGCACATCGCGATTTATAGACTAGACTTTATTCGAGTCTGAGTCATGTCGTACAATGCCCGCTGCGCTTTTGAAGTAAACCATTTTGTCTTCACGAACTTTCGAAACAAGTGGGATAAATGTGTAGAGCCTCCGTGCACGTTGTTTTTTTCGAGGGAAAAACTAAGCATGCACGTACTGCATAATGTGGCATGACACCGGCCGCGCTATTTGTGAACACGTACGGATTATGGGGCGCTAAAACTGTTTCCTTCGAATTTTGACTTTGGTCAGGTCGTACTATGAAAGTAAAAATTCGAAAAAAAAAAGGAGTTCTAGCGCCCCAGTTACTGGTCTAGGTACGGGTACATATACCCTAGACTGTAGTGTAAAAAAAAAATGCGTATGGTCAATACATCATGAACACGTAGGGCCTAATCTGAGCATTACATTTTAGAATAAAACATGAAGTTTACTAAAAATGTAATGCTCAGAATCAGATTACATGTTGAGCAACCGACGAATTGTGGTCAAAATCAGCGCGGGGCTGATTTTGTAGTAAAAACCTCGAACCTTACTTCAAAATGCTTAAATCTTGTTCAAACATTTTCACAAGAAGGCCCGATTAAAAAATTACCAAGGTCCGTCGGTCGAGGATTGGAAGGCACGAGGCATGTGCAATATGCCAGGCTACTTTGGGCACTTTGGTTTACGCATGTAATCACCGACCCTCGGGCTGGATATCTGTATTAATTCATGACCGATGACAAGCGTGAGAAATGTGTTTTGGTCAGGGTCGCTTTTGTAATGGACATTAAGGGACCTACTCTTGCTTATTACTTAAAATTGGGTTTGCACTGAGACGAAGACCAAAACATTCAGAAACTCTTCTCCAGCAAACCACCCTCCCAAATGACAATTAGGCCCTACCTACCCACAACCAAATCAATACCAATTTTAAAGGACTGAAAACTCTGGCAACAATTTCCGTCTCTTTTTCTTAAAACATAAGCTTTGTTGTTTCACTGCCCTTCGAAGCACACTTGAATTGGAAGAAAATGTGGTGACATTAAAATGTCCCAAAAAAGAAAATAGGCCTATATTTCTGACTAAATTAGTATACAAAAAGAGAGGGTCATTTTCGTTCTAGCAGATAATGGCAAACAGCTTAACCCTAACCACCCCAACTCCATCAACATCATCCCCCCCCCCCCCCCCCCCCCCCCCCCCCCCCCCCCCCCCATTTTGGTGGACTTTGAGGGGTCTTGGTCCAGGAGGCCTAGCGTGACTATATAAACAATGATGGAGTATGATGGACTTGGGCCTAATGGGCTGAAGCAGTGCTAGGGGTATCTGATTGATTTTGCCTAGCTTCCTGTACTGCTATTGTGATAAAAGCCATGTGTAGCAAATCCATGCGTAAGTGGTGGATTCCATTAATACAGTTTTGTATTGGAACTTTGGAAGCACAGTGTTTTGATTTTGATGGACTTGGTCCAGTTCCTAATCCTAGTAAAAGATGCTAGGGAGTTAGGGTTAATGCCCATGCAGTGGCTATGTACCCCCAATAGCATGGTCCCAACTGTTGCTTGGGACCATCGAAACTTTCAAGGTTTGATCTGTCCAAACTACAAAATGTAGCACATGTAGGGCATGGAGGGGCATTGCTATCGTTGGGGCATAACATTTTCATGCTGGACTAAAAGCATTTTTCCAATTGGCTGTGTTTTAGGTACATGTATAAGGAAGGGGTTACAACGGAAGTTGAGCTCAGGACACAATAAGGTTGTTTTAATTGTGTTTAAAATAAATAAATGCATTATTCAATCTTAATTTGCATTACTGCATATTATGAATGACAAATGAATTTCATTCGATTGCAAGTGGAACTGGAACTGTTTATTTCAATACAAAAGAAACAAACATAAACAAATTAACAGACAAGAATCAATGGTGCAAATATGATGCAGGATGACAAAACTTTCACAAAGAATTTGTTGATTAATTTGTAGTACAAAGTAGTTGGAAAATTTGTTTCAAATTATTCAACCATCAACCAAATGACTCTTGACAAGTTAAGATGATATCAAATTTTAATTTTCACTAAACTGCCCAAAACAATTCTTGAGTAAACAATTATGTTTCGGGGGGGGGGGGGCTGGTACCCACCTTCAAAATGGGGACACTCTTCAAATATGACCATTATTATGCATACTGCAAGTATATATCCTTTTTCACGGAGCATTGGTAATGTTTTTTGAGGGGGTTTCGTTTTTTGGATTGATGTCAACACTCGATCGTTAACCGTTTATTTAAATAATTGCTGAACAAAAAAAATTGTGACAAAAATCTGCCAGGGGGGGCAGACTGCCCCCTCTGCCCCCCCCCCCCCCCCTCCATTGGATACGCCACTGTGTTTGTGTAATAAAATCCTTATAGTTGGTCAAGCTGTTCTCACGGCATGGATAATCAATCATCCTGTGGACAAGACAGTCAGCTCAGCTCAAGTGACAGCTTTCTGACCACTATAACACCCCAAATTGATAGACAGAACATGGGTAGCTGGATATGGACCCCTTTCCCTATTCAAACGTAACTATAGTCTACAGTACAACTGTCGAACTGTGTAAAAAGCGACAGCGGAGGTATTTTGCTAAGTTCTAGCATAGGGGCTCTTTCAAGTTGTGACCACGGCAAATCAATGGAAATATCAAATCTCAACAGACCTTATGGTGTTAAGGCGGACTTGGAAGGCAATGGTTTGGTATCACATGGACGGGCAAGAGTAAAGTTATTGTAGGGAAAATTTGAAAATGATCAGTTTTCTTCTTTTTTCAATTTAAATCCATCATTTGAACGTGTCTAATGAGTATGTTCGTAGCACAAATAATGATATCCCGTACAATGTTGACCTTGGCCTTCCAAATGCTGTGACATCATCAAACTGGAAGTAATGTTATTACATACATACATATATGCATACATGTACATTTAAACATTCATTACAATTTCCATATTTTCAGTTCTTTTCACTTCATGATGAACATGTTCCCTCTCTGAACTAAAACTGTACACAATGTATTCGTTTTGTACATTTTAACTGATGGCGTCATCAAACCGGAAATAACATGTACGTGTACATAAAACTGAAATTTATCATAATCCAAAAGATGCGGGGGGGGGGGGGTTCAAATTAAAACAAATGGTTCTACTGGAAAGGCAGAATTTCATGATCCTTTTCTTATGGCCTGACATAAAAATATTCACAATTTCAATGGGCAATGTCTAATGGAAATAGCTGTCTGCCCGATCACCCTGCATTTGTAACTCAACAAATACAAATCTCTAGTTTTTGTTTTCGTTTTTTTTTTACCAACTTGTAAAAAGAGGCAAGATAAGATCTCACCTGATACTGTCTCGGAGTAAAGGTTTGTGTTGTCGTTGCTCCTTCATTTGTTGCCAGCCTGTTTATTTTATACAAGGAACCAGGTGGGATAATTTCTGCTTCCACCATCTTGATCTTTATAGCTGCTCCTATTTGGTATAAATAAATACAGAGAAATAAATAAATGTGGCTTTGATGAAACCATTCATCCATAAAAATTAGCCATTTCTATATGGATTAATTGAAAATCACAAAATTGTTGGTCTGTTTTTTTTTCAAGGGCGAGTCTGGGACTTGTGGCAAATAATAAAATATTAATCCGATGTTTGCAGGAGTGGAGTGCAGTATGTGGAGCGCCATGGCCTCGGGGCCGTATCATAAGTTCGACGCCTCATAGGTCCGACGCCTCATAAGTCCGAAATTTTGGACTTATGAGGCATCGGACTTATGAGGCATAAAATTTATTTATTCCTCCTCATAGGTCCGATGTCTCATAAGTCCGACAAATTAAACGCCTCGTTTTCTGTTGTCGGACTTATGAGGCGTCGGACTTGTGAGGCATCTGACCTATGAGGCGTCGGACTTATGAGGCGTCGGACCTTTGAGGCGTTGGACTTATGGGCCTTTATTTGGTTAGGGGATGCGATTTTGTCGGACTTATGAGGCGTCGGACCTATGAGGCGTCGGACTTATGAGCCGACCCCGTGGCCTCATGGTCTGGAGCATCAAATTCGGGTAATTCTGCAGGTTGTGGGTTCGAGTCCAGCCAGTGGCTATGGTGTGTGTGCCCTTGAGCAAGGCACTTTGTCACTCATTGCTTCTCTCCACCCAGGAGTAAATGGGTACCAGTGAGGGCAGAGGTGGTTATTGTGGCTGATTTAAGCTGCTTTGCGCCGAAATGGCAGCATCGAGCTGTATACTCCCCAGGGAGCTGAGATGGTATTTGGAATGTTTCATTAGCCCAATGAGCAGGGTAATAATGATGTAGCGCCTTAAGCACCAATACTGTAGGATACGTGCGCTTTATAAATACACATTATTATATTATTATTATTATTATGCAGATCATCTGGTTAGTATTTTTGGGTAAAATTTGAATAACTCGGGTCAACAGTTCATTCCTGCTGTTGATAGATATAGTGTTAGTCTACAACTACGGACTTCACTCCATCATGTCCATAGACCAAATCTATCTACGGCACTTTTTTACCACTTTTAGATAGTGGATATTTTGCCGGAGGTAATGACGGCAAACTAACGTTTACTAAAGGTTTGCCGGCGGCAATCCATATCAACAGAGGGCGCTGTACTCTTTAAGATAGGGCTGAATTATAAGATGTATTAAATTCCCACCAAAAGTTGTGTAGCACGTTTGGTGTAGTGGTTAAGCAAAGGCTCTAGTAAGCAAGATGACTCTGGTTCGTTTCCGACCGCAGCACTTTTTTAAGTTTTTTTTTCTCATCCCCAAATAAATAAGAATATTCTTCTTTTATTATTTTAACATGTCTCATACATTTTTTTGCAGAGTATTACATTTTCTTTTTCAGATTTGTGGCTCTGGAGGTTTTTTTTTAAAAGGGAAATAAAGTCCGAAATTATAATTTGGTCTGACATGTCTGAATCCCATCTTGTGAATACGAGGTTACAACGATAATTTTGGCATGGAGCCAGACTAAAATTTGTCACCGGAAAATGTTTAACTGTAACTGCGCATGTTCAGAGCATATCCGGTAAACTAACGTTTACTAAAGGTTTGCCGTCTCCGGCAAAATATACACTGCCTAACATTAACAATAACATTACGAAGTGGCTATCGTTACGGCACTCGTTGTTTAGCGCCCTCTACGATATTTTTTTGATACGCACGCAGGTATATAATTATTTGTTTCCACATGTTTTATCGAGCAGTGCGACAGCTCAGCCGATAGAGGTTAGGATTTTGCACCGCGAGGTTGCGGGTTCGAATCTCAGTTTTGCACTCGAATTTTTTTCCTTTTCTAACCTGAGGCTTTGGAGGATTTTTTTTAAAAGGGAAATAAAGTCCGAATTTCATAAAGTTCAAATTCACTTTTTTCCTTCTAATTTTATATTTTCTTGTCATGTTTTTTTATAAAAGTTGCCAGGTTGCAGTCTACCGTAACGATAGAAAATGGGAAATGCGTTACGGCTGCCGTAACAATAGCCACTGCGATAACATTAACGATTAACAACAGTAACAAGTAACAAGTAACAAGTAACAATTGTCTAAGAGTAAGAAGAAAACTCACCTGGCTATTTACCACAGGAAATAGGTCTAGTTATCCGGTAATTTTCAGGCCAGCAGTACCAACACAACAAAATATTTAGTTAATTAATATTTAGTTAATTTTAGGCAAGTAAACTCGAGTCGTGTTGTTCGTGGACGTCGTGACTCGTGGTAAACAAAAACATTGACCTGAAAGCGCCCTCAAGTGACCACTTGGATTTAAGACGGGTGGGAGATTTATGCACGTACGGTGCGCGATTTTTTTTTCTCCCATACCACATTTTGGGTGCGTTCCATTTCGTGGCTTCCCGGATCCCCATAACCCGTGTATATATGACAAGCTGATTTACCCGATCATAGATCGGGTAGGGCGTAGTGTTGGGGATGAAAATGTGGGCAGTTAAATGTAAATGGGGGATCATTGAGGAGATACGAAAGCCCATTAGCGCCACTGCAAGTATATATGTTGCGGATTATTTAATTCGTTATTACGGATTATTAATTCGTTATTACGGATTACTAATTCGTTATTACGGATTATTAATTCGTTATTACGGATTATTTAATTCGTTATTACGGATTACTAATTCGTTATAACGGATTATTTAATTCGTTATTACGGATTATTAATTCGTTATTACGGATTACTAATTCGTTATTACGGATTACTAATTCGTTATTACGGATTATTAATTCGTTATTACGGATTATTTAATTCGTTATTACGGATTACTAATTCGTTATAACGGATTATTTAATTCGTTATTACGGATTATTAATTCGTTATTACGGATTACTAATTCGTTATTACGGATTATTAATTCGTTATTACGGATTATTAATTCGTTATTACGGATTATTTAATTCGTTATTACGGATTACTAATTCGTTATAACGGATTATTTAATTCGTTATTACGGATTATTAATTCGTTATTACGGATTATTAAATTCGTTATTACGGATTATTAATTCTTTATTACGAATTACTCATACGTTCTGAGTCATTACTCGGCAAGTATGGCACAGGAGTGCAAACGTTGTATGCAAAGATAGCGCCGCCTAGCGGCGCTATATACACAGGCCCCTGGTCACGTGCTCTCCACGTGTGAGAACATCAGACCTAATTCGTAATAACGAATTAATAATCCGTAATAACGAATTAATAATCCGTAATAACGAATTAAATAATCCGTTATAACGAATTAGTAATCCGTAATAACGAATTAAATAATCCGTAATAACGAATTAATAATCCGTTATAACGAATTAATAATCCGTAATAACGAATTAATAATCCGTAATAACGAATTAATAATCCGTAATAACGAATTAAATAATCCGTTATAACGAATTAATAATCCGTAATAACGAATTACACAATCTGTAACATATATACTTGCAGTGGCGCTAATGGGCTTTCGTAAGGAGACATGCAGTTATAGAAAAACAATTTTTGTGGTGTGATCTGAGGCAGCAAAAGATCATCTTTTAAACATCATTTTCGAGCTTGGGGTAATGGAATCAGCTACACGGTATTCTAAGCAATAGAATCATTATAGTAGGCTACAATTTGTATTCGGGGAAGAAAAAGTGGGGAGGGGACCCAACAATGTCCCCGCTTTAAAATGTGTGTGTGTGGGGGGGGGGGGGGGGTCCCCTGTTCCCCACCGATTTACGCACATGATAATTATGTATTGATAATTATTTATTCAAGTTGGTCAACCATCTATATAAGAGCAAGTTTTACTCGGCCTCCGAGAAATGTTCGCTCCTGAAAGGTTCCGAGACCGCGGTCTCCCGCTACGCCAAAATGGCTCCACGTCCATAGAAAAATACGGAGAATTTCTTCCGCCAAATCAAGCACTTCAGGTCGTCCTAATTTTTCCGTACGGACCGGCGATCCGTTTTGTCGATTTTTTTGTGACTGCGTTCAAGATCGCAATATTTGAGGCAATGCATCGACCCTTCGTTGATCCCAAACAGGCCCCCGAAATTATAACGCGACACTGACTGTGACGTGCAGCGAACTCACAACGCTCAGAGCTAGTGGAAGCATGGAGCTGTAAACACATTATGGAAGCAACAGCACTATCACGCGACGTCACATGCTTGCGCTTCAAATAGCGAGCACCGTAGACTCAACCTCGTTTCCAGGGTGTGGAGCAGGCTGCAGTACGCGTTGCCAGTGACGGTTTTACGCATAGCCGGGAAGTACCACGCAGTGTAGACTTTCGATTGGTCAGACCGCGCTAGGCATACTAATGTATAGTCCTTCTGAGTATTCGTTGCACTCGGCGCAGGGGCGGCAAGCGAAGCATATGAAAGAATAGGGACACTCGGTGGCCACGCACCATGGACAAAAAATATTTTACCAAGGTCACCCCTTACTAACGTTTGGTGAACACTTTTGCCGAACGGCCGAGTAGAACACGTAAACGAAACCCCTACGTCGGCCTCGCTGACCTCGCACAGTCTAGACACGCAGAAAAGCCAGCACGGGGGGCGGCCAGGCAGTCAACGTGAAAGCGCACACGACGGCAAATTCCTGCGCAAAATGCAGTCACGAAAAACGACGAAACGGATCGCCGGTCCGTACGGGAAAATAAGGACGACCCGAAGCGTCCGACCCGGCGGAAGACACCCTCCGCATTTTTCCACGAACGTGGAGCGATTTTGGCGCCGCGTGAGCCCGCGGTCTCGGATCCTTTCAGGAGCAAACATCGTCTCGGGGGCGAGTAAACTTCTCTCTTATATATATAGATGTGATCTAATCCTAAAATTAAACGAGTATAATTACGATGTTTGATTGAGATTCTACGGAACCGTAATTACGTAGCGAAAGAGATCATATGAGATAGTGCCCGCCGCCCAGCAGATCATTCTTTAGCGCAAAGTTGAGTTTACCTGTGAAGAAAACAAGGGAATGGGGTTGGATACCAATTAGGGAGGGCATATGATCTCTTTCGCTACGTAATTACGGTTCCGTAGAATCTCAATCAAACATCGTAATTATACTCGTTTAATTTTAGGATTCTACGTCACCTCCATTACGTAACTCCGAGACCATATGAGATATTTAGAGCCAGGTAAAACGAAACTTTAATCAAGATATAACAACCATGGCTAGATCATCTTTGCACATAAATATTTATTGTTGTACAGCACACAATACATAACTGCAAAATATATAAAAAATATTATAATACAGACCGTTTTGTTCCATATACAAATAAAGGAAGTAAATTGTAAGTCTGTAAAGTCTTAAGATAAACTTTCCTGAAGTTTTGTTGAAAATGCAGCAAGCTTCTCTATTGGTTTGTTGTAAAACCGAGCGAAAGTTGCAGATCCAGACCAGCCAGCCGTGGCCAGTATGGTCTGAATGGGAACACCACAATTACTGGCTGCTGATGTTGAGGCTGCTCGTACACTGTGTGCTTTGAAGACAGAAGCATCAATGCCTGCGTCATTTAACGCATTTGTAATCCATCGACAGATGGTATCTCTAGAAACAGCCTTATACGGCTTTCTGTAACTAATAAAAACACTACATTGATTTCCTCGCAGTGTAGAAGTGCGAGATAAGTATTCGTTCAGTGCTTCAACCACACAAAGCTTCTTATTAGAAGGAAACGCAGGCAAAATAATATCTGACAAATGTACTCCTGGGCGTGTTTGTTTCAGTAGTTTGTGAACTGAAATACGACACTCATTGGCTGTTAGATTAATATCACTGAGTGTCAGTAGATACAAAGTCTGCACTCTCTGAGCTGATAACAATGCTAACAACGTTACTACTTTTTTACATAGATACATCAGTGACAATGTTGAATTGATATCCAATGAATCAAAATATCGTAAGACAATGCTTACATCCCAGATTGTTCGATATCTAGGAAAGGAGGGTCTCTTTACAAATACTCCTCTCATAAACCTACAAGTTAATGAGTGACTACCAAATGATATTCCATTAGGAAACTCAACAATAGTGGCTATTGCCGATCTGGCGGTGTTAATAGCACTATAACTTAACCCTGCTTCAAATAATTCAGTTAAAAATCCAGAGCCTCGCTTATAGATGGCGATATTGGATTAATGTTTCTTTTACTACAGTATAATTGCCACTTGAGTAAGTATGTTCGATACTGTTTCTGCGTTCCTGGCCGCCAAGAGGACAGGATGAGTTCTGCAGAGCGGTCCGAAATGCCTGAGCTTTGGAGACGTCTCCGCACAAGTGGCATGCCAGAAGGGACATCTTCTGATGTAAGGGGTGTACTGCCGCCTGGTCTTGCGGTAAATAAAGTGGTGTCCTGTATGGTTGTATCAGCACCGGTTGTGCCACCAACATACTCATCACATTCGGAAACCAGTGTTGAGTTGGCCAATTCGGGACTACAAGCAATCCATCCGCTTGGTCCTGTTGTACCTTCTGAAGTACACGGCCTATCAGACTGAATGGAGGAAAAGCATAAAAACGGAAATTATTCCACGGTAATAAAAACGCATCAATTGCGTGAGCTTCAGGGTCTGGTTTCCAAGAAACATAGGGCTTCAACTGATAATTTAATCTTGAGGCAAATAAGTCCATATCTGGTGTGAAAAATATTTTTGTCAATTGCCGAAACAAATGCGGCTTAAGCATCCACTCGATATCGACATTCGTGCGCCTGGACTCCATGTCGGCTTGCACGTTGGATTTGCCGGGTATGTGCGATGCTGACAGCCAGATATTTCTGGCAACACACCAAAGCCACATCTCTTTTGCGAGATCATTGCAAGACTTAGAGTGAATTCCAACCATATTATTAATGTAAGTCACTGCCGTTACATTGTCCAGTTGTAATCGGACATGTGCTTGCTCCAATTTCGAGCAAAATGACTTTAAAGCCAAAAATCCAGCAAGTAGTTCTAAGACATTTATGTGATTTCGTAATTCTTGCGGGGTCCAATGCCCCCCCAGTAGCTTCCCCATTGCATTCTGCACCCCATCCTACTTGAGATGCATCAGATGATACAATTACATTTGGCTGGGAATGTATATTTAAGCATTTAAAAGCTTGTTTGGATTCGATATTTTCAATCCACCATGTCAGCTCATTCCTTGCATTTAATGACAACCTCATTGAAGTATCGTAGTCATTGTTGTTATTCTTAAGTGCCTCAATTTTATCCCATTCAATATGGCGATAGTATAGTTTGCCATAAGAAAGTCCTGGAAGACATGACACTAATTTTCCAATTACTTGGGCCACCTCTCGGATCGAGGGTGATTTCT